TAGGCACCCAAGATGTACGGCAGCCTCGAGTCATTGGCTTGCGCCCGGTACGGAATATATGCAGACGGTTGGCTTCCAGAGAATTGAGTTGGGCCATCCCATTTTTATCGCGGCTTCTGTTGGCCTCTGGCCGTGCTCGCACCCCCCTCCCTCCCTGTTCGACAGTTTGGTGCGACGCGCAAGACGGCTGCGGTCAGCGACATGCACCACCAGTGGCCGGAGAAACATGCCAAAAGGATAGGTAGTACTGTACCGCATGTACGTACAGTATGTACAAGACTCATCCATGTGATGGTCAGAAACTCGAAAACAAGACGCCTGGCCCCCCCGCCAACGTTGCTGCGGCGGGTACGGAGTATCGTGCACTGTGCTCCTGCAAAAGTTAACTGTGTGTGGTTGAGGTCACTCTCTGCAGCTTTCGCTGGATAACGCGGTGCTCGGGACAGTGTGTCGAGCCCTGCATACAGTGCGCACAATGAGGACTGTCGTGCTGTGCCTACTGTGCAAAATTACTCACCGTATCTGGTGGGAGTGCCCGAGGGCACAGTGCAGCCAGCTTCTCCATCGTGAATGGTGGCCGCCCACGCGCACACCGTGGCACACACGACGCAGCGCGCACACACAGAGCTTCATCACTCTCGTCAATACATGGGTGGCCGCTGGGCGACGACGAGGGGGCCCGGCTCGGAGCCTCGGCCTCGACTCGACGACACCCACACGGCGGGAATCGCGCCTGGCCTGATCCGACACCTGGTTTCATATCCATCGTCGTCTTGCCTCGTCACGTCGGTGGAGCCCGTTGTGGACGCGCCGCGGCACGGTAGAACCGCGACCGGCAGCGCAGCGCCCCGTCTTCATCGACATGGCGTCGTTTTTCCTTTTCTGCTTCTTCTCACGCAAAACTCTCTCTGGCCACGTACTGTAGGTATGTGCAGCGACAGGCCGACACACACATACACACACACACACACAGCACACACCCTCCTCTTTTCCGTCCGCCATGTGCCCCATCAGCTTGTTATTGCTGATGATCAGCCGGGGCGCCTGCATCGAAAAGACTTGATGGTATGTGTGCAGGGAAACGGCCCCTCTTCACCCCCTCCTCTACTCTTTTCCCCCTGCTGAACCATCCCACAGGCCGACTCGGAATGGTTGGTCGTCCCTAGAACAGAGACGACGCATGCCTTTTCCGCCATGACTTGCCGCTCCTGCGCCATGCCGCAGACACCATTTCCCGCCCTGGCCCTCTTCCGTTAGGTGCTTGCTTTGTCTTTCTTAGCTGGCTTTCCACACGCGGACCCGAGTAGCCGTCAGCCTGACCAGCCAGCCAAGCAACCAAGGTCGCAGCGTCTCCCGCGCGACGGACTTGGCCCTCCGGCTATCAAATCATCCGAGTTGCGTTCTTGGGCCCCTTGCGCCAAAAGCCTCGCGTCCGACGTCGCCCGGACACGCCTTGTTGCCTTGCCCTCGTTTCCGCGCCATGGTCCGTTGTCTCGACGGCCCCATAGCCGAGCTATCGATTGGGACTAACGCCTTTATGTCTGATCAACAGCTTGACTTCCACTTGCTTGCCTGCCTGTCTGCCTGCCAGGCCGTGACCGTTCAGCCAAGCTGCTAATTACTATGCCGACTTCTTGCTTACGCTGACGTCTCCAAATGTGGAATTTTGGGCCCAGAAAGGATCAACTAGTCGTTCGAGCGAGGTAGTTTGTCATTCACTTTTTATCTTTACCCTTTCCTGATTGGTGAAGAGGAAGAAGAAGAAGAAACGTGCCGTCGTGACGGGACCCTTGACAAGGCGGCCTACCTAATCACTGTTGTCAGGCTGCGCATACCGCGCATGGGGGACGGAAAGGGTGCTACGCAGTGCCCCCGGATGGAACGATATTTTTGGGTGTGGTGAAAATGCGGGTCTAGAGGGAGGAACAAGCAAGTAGATGCTGCTTCTGTGTCCCCGAGGCCATTTCCCTTAGTGGTGCTCGTGGGACGGGGCCGTTTGTTTTGGGTGAGCGCCTTCTTTTCTCTTTACTTTGCATGGATCTGAGGATGGCTGGATCAAGCTCTGGCGCCGTGCTTATGCCGCTTGGCGAGCAACAAACCCATGAAAGGCGCCGAGGTTGGATGTGTGCTAATAAGCTGGGGCATGCCAGCAAAGGAAAACGCTTCTCCCGACTTGTCGCATTGCCTGGGTCGGGTCTGGGGTTCGGTTGCTCTCGAGCTGGGTGGCCGAGCGGTTAGATGACTATGAAACACGACGGTCAGGATTGGCTCGTGGCTGTAGTCGTCAGCTGCAAAAGGGGCAATGCCAAACCGCCGGCACAATCAATCCCTCGGAGCAGGGATGGCCGCAACGACATGTCTTCATCTGCCTCGATCCGATTCACGCACTCGCTGGCATGCGCTCCGTCTTCTAGGCCTGCGAGACCAACTGCGCAATGCACGCCTGTGCCTGCCGAGCGGGCCATGGCTACGGATGGGGGCGAGGCCGCGAGGCGCACGTCTTGTGACGCAGATCCAGGCAGGCTCGCAGAGGCACCGACTTGGGGTGATGACGCTGCCGATCTTCGTCAGGCCGGTGGTGATGGTGGTGAATGGCAGGTGAGTCCGCTGCGAGGAGACGACGCCCGTATCCGTACACCCCCCCTCAACCCCCCCGTTCCCTTTTGTCCCGGACGGACGAATCGCCCATTAACCGCTGCCATGGGTCCAGCCCAACCAAGCCAGGCAAGGGTTGCCAGACCGTTGCAGTCGCGTTGCCAGGGTGCGAGGTGAGAGCAAGGGACCATGACGCCGTCCTCGACGACCAATAATCTACCGCGGCGGACAAGCGCACACACATCCCTTACAAGACGGGATGACGGGATACAGGGCACGACACTTGTCCAAGCATATGCTGACCAATTGCCTCGCCAATCGACCACGGGTACAGGCACGGCAGATATGCGCCTTCGCGGCGTTGTGCTGCGACCTGGAGCGACCACTTGCTTCTTCGTCCGTCCTCCCCCACAAGACTGGCGGATTCGGACAGTTCCCGAGTTCGGGGACAGCAGGCGCAAGTTGGGGATTTCTGAAAGCCGTGTCACGTCACAGAAGAATATGATCTCACCGCCAGCCAAGGCCAGCCAACGAGCACCTTCTACCTCGTGCTGGCTCTGCGCATCATGGTTATCCATACAGCACGGTGGGCCTATATGTTACCCAGGTATGATGCTGCTGGTCGAGACACAAAAAAGCAGCCTTGTCCGCGCATGTGTGCGCCATCGCATCGCATCACCACAAGCAGCGTGCCATGCATCCCAAGGCGGAATCTCCACTCCCTGCTTTCAACCTGCCAGCTCGTCGCTTTGGACTCGGGGTCGGCCCCCTTCGGCACGTTGTTGCAAGGGAAGATGACCGCGTCTTTGCCGCTGCGGGACGGGCCAAGTTCTGCGCCAATTGGTTGACCACTGCCCAGGCTCTTTGCATGCCTGCTGGTGAAACACCTGACTTATACAAGTTACGGCTAGAGTTTGGTGATTGATGCTAATTCTATTTCCGACCGAGGTAAAGACATGGCGGGTCAAGTCGGGTGCCCAGTCAATCTGCCGATGCTGCCTCGGACGAGCACGCACCGGAATATTTTCTACGCCTCGGCAGCTGACGAGTACTGCAGCGCGTCTGCAGTGATGCCGTTCTCCCTCGCCCGCGGCACAGGGTAGCTTCCATGGGCTGCAGGCTCGGCTGAGAGGAGAAGGTGCTTCGTGTTTTGTGCTGCGAGCGGCCAGTGGGCGGGACGGAGCACCAGCTGAGCCTTGATTGTCCTCCCCCAATGGTTTCTTGCCTACGACGCAGCGACTTGCAGCATTCAGTTTGTTCAATGTAGTAGCTGCAGGGTCAGTCAAGGCTTGCCGCGGGCTTTGTGTGCAGCTGAGAGGACGACTGGACGCCTGTTTGCTCACTGCTCTCAGACTGCTACGACATGTGCGCGCGCAAGGCATATCATGGCCGGCACCAGGGCGCGCCGCTACTGGCTCCTGGGGGAGAGGCTGCTTTTGTCGCGATGCTTCACCTCGGCGCTCTGCGCGCCTACCACGATGGACAGATGTACTACTCGCGAGCTGACGAAGTTCAGTCAAGAGTGCCCGGTTTGCCGCCTCGGGGTTGGCTCTCCCAAGGGATGTTGTTGAGCCATGTGTTTGTACTCTTTAAGAGACATGGCTCTCCTCCTGGGAACCTCCCGGTTGGATAGACCCCCCGAGCGTACACGGGTTAACGAAACTTGCGTCTTCATAAAAGCTGAATGTCGCAGCGTGGGAGAGAGTAGCCCAGCGTCATGGGGATTACCTACTTAGAGGGTATAGGAACGAAGACAATAGTCCATGTCACGCAGTTGTGGTCAAGGGAGAGACGACAGACCAGGGCGACCAAACAGTTGTCCGAGCAGCCGACCCGTCATTCAAAGGCCATCCCCACTCCCTCTCGTACCTGATGCTCCCTGCTCCCTGTCGACACGCAGCCACCAGGCCGCAGGTGGTTCACGTCACTCAAACCCCGCTGTCGGCCGACTCAAGTGTTTTCCGCCCCCCGAAGGAGCCTGCCATGAAGATGAAGTCGACAGATGATGCCCCCGAGGAGCAGGTCGCAAGAGCCCGTCGCTTCACCTACGGCCCGCCGCCGGATTCCTTGCTGCTGGTAATCCAGCGCATACCGTGAATCGCCGGGCGATCAGCAATCTTCCCCGCCGGCGAAAAAAGCATCACCCACTGCTTCATGCAGTAAGCTGTCTCATCGAGAGATGGGGGCAAGGTATTGGAGGTGCTGCTGTGTCGTGGGCAAGAAGCAAAGCGCCAGCCAAGCCGTCATCCCCCTCACTCCAGGTCCTCGACCGTCCCCCACGTACTGTACACCGGTCAGCACGGAGATGCCATCATCACTGGGGCGTTAAAAGGCGAGACAACGGGCGCTCTCTCCGGGGCGAGTGGCCAAGACAGGGGGGGTTCGCAGGGTCGGGTTCAGATAAATCAACCAGTCGCCGGCGCCACCATGTCGGCGCCGAGGCCCTGGAAGCCCTCTCGCTGCACCTTGAGGGTGGCCAGGTCGACGGCGAACCTGACGCTCTGGCTGAGGTGCCACGTCTTTTCGCGGCAGACGAGGCCGTACAGCATTCCGGCGATGAAGGTGTCACCTGCGCCGACGGTGCTTGAGAAGAGGTCAGCAGGGAGAAGGAAGGCGGCGGGTGCATAAGCACGGGGGGAGACGTTGCGAGGGGTGGAGGGCACAGAAAGGAGAAAGACGCAGGCGTAAGAGGCCCGCCGTCGGAATGCGCAGATGGGGGAAGCTAGACGACGTACTCGACGATTGAAATTCCTCCTGGTTGGTGCTCGACGGGGGCTGAGACATGGCCGCCGCGCCTTCTGCGCCCCAGGTACATAGGCCCAGGGACCTGGGCAATCGCCCCCCGGTCAGCCATGCGTGATACGTCGATGGGGAGACAGGAGGGGGGGTGAGGGTTGGGCTCGTCGCCCTACCTTTGTCGTCGCTGCTCGCCGGTGAGACACGCTTCGGCAGACTGGTGGCCGCGGCTCTGGCAACGCCTTTTCATCAGCGCGTTGACACACTCGTCTCTTATGTGTAGATACGTGCATGTCCGCACAATGTGTGCTCTGGGACGGTAAAAGTAAGGTGCAGAGTTCCAGGTCCACCCCCTTGAGGGTGTCTTACCTCGGCCCAGGACCTCGAGTAAAAGACAACGTCTGCTTCGGCCGCTAGCTCGGGGAGGCCCTGGCGGCCTGGCTTCTCCAGCTCGACGCTGATGCGGGCTGCGGGCAGGTGGCTGCGCAGCAGGCGGATGCAGGCCAGGGTTGTGTCTGGGATGCGGCCCTGGCGACGGAGAGAAGAGGGAGGCGGGTAAGCGGACGTGTTTGGCTCGGCGTGTCCAGAGCGACGACGGACTGACCTCAAAATGCCACCACGAGTCCGGGTGCGAGACAAAGGCGCGCACGACGCCCTCGAACTCGCGGGCCGTCATCTCCGGCAGGAGGTTGTAGTTGACGATGGTGCGGCTGCCGGTGGCCTCGCTGCGGATGATGTAGCTGCTGGCAGGCTCGGAGCAGGCATCGCGGTAGAGGCAGTGGTCCAAGTCGGCCCGGGACCGGGGGCCGAAGGAGGCGACGATGCGGCGGGTGGCGGGCGAGGACCTCTCCGGCAGGGGGGAGACGAGATGAGCTTGGACATTGTCCCGGTGGTGGTGGGCGTCGAGGAGCTGCTCGAGGACCTCGAGCGTGTTGGGACAGTTGCCGCCGCGGCGGATGGCGAGGCTCGTTGCCCGCAGCTTGGAGTCTTGCTCGGGGTAATGGGGGACGCTGGGCAAAGGTTACGGATGGTCGGACGGGCGGGGGCTGTTTGGGTCTTGCCTGAGGATGGTGTCGAGATAGCAGGCTCCGACGAGGACGAGGTGCTGCATGGTGGGCGGACGGGTCTGTGGTTGGAGCTGCAACAATCGGCGGACCGGCTCCGGCCGCAGCAGCGGGGCCCGCGCCAGCCTCGAGAGTGGGCCGGGGCTCCGGGGCTCCGGGCGCTGCCGCTGCTTATCGATAGGGTGCGGGGTAGGAAACTCTGGTGCTGTGATGACGGGGGATGACTCTGTTCACGACAACCACAAGAGGCATATTCGCGATAATGGGCATGTTCCACGGGTGGGAATTGGTTGAAGCCAAGATGGCTTCGCAGATGAGGTGGCAATGCAGAGCCATGCCAATTGCAATCTGCTCGGGTGCAACCTCGGCGTAGACGCCACCATCCCTCGTCCCTACCCTATACTTGCCTGGATTCACAATGTCTCGATGAAAGATGGCAGGAGAATCGAGGTATGCAACAGGAAGCAGGCCGGGAATCACAAACGGCCTGAAATGCGGTGACGCAGACGTGTGTTTGTTCCGTCTCTCAAACAAGTCCACATCGGGCAGTTGGAAAGCCAACTGCAGGCGCCGGCGGTAGCCCCCGCGCCCTCCGGGCTCCATCGTCCACCATGCATCCGCCTCTGCCGTCACACACGGATTGTTCAACTCTCGCAAGTCGCCAACTCTCCGGCCCAGTCGTGACACCCTGCCGCACACCGAGCACAGAGGACGAGTCTCGACCCTGCCTGGACCCGCAAGCCTTCGGCTCCGAGACCCCGACCCGCGCGCTCTCCCCGTCGCAAGCATCAGGCTCTCTCTCGGTGCACCTGCGCGCGGGAGCTTTCCTCCGCTCACTCGAGCCTACCAACGAGTCGCAATGGGCCACGGTGAGCGCGAGGCGCCGGCACAGGAGCGGACCAATCATGTTACGTTCGTCGACGGAGACGGCGGCTCGGAAGATGGCGACGAGGACGGCAAGCCCGTCGAGGTGACGTTTGAGCCGGGCAATTCCCACCGCCGCAAGAGCTCGCTTGTCTCGTCAGAGGCCGCCACGTTGCGCATCCAGCGCTCCTCCCGCCGCGACCAGTGCATCGTCCACCAGTTCCTCGAGTCCCGGGCCAAGGGCGCCGCTGGCAATGGAAGCGGCCCTGCATCCCGCGCCCACTCGTCCAACCCAAGCCCGACCCGCGATCACGGCGTCGAAAACACAGGCGACCGCCGCGCCGCCGACCCCCTGGTCGAGTCCAACGGCCAGGAGAGCCAGCCGCACCGGTGTCGCGCCTTGCTCGATCCGGCCAGCCTGGACGCGGCGCGTGTCGGACAGGCAGACCAGCAGGCGTGGACGCGCGAGATGACGGGCAACATGTCGGACTCGGACCTCGCCCAGCAGTACGACGTGGTCCACAGCCGCATGTTGACCAAGAAGCAGCTGAGCGACATGGCCTGGGGCGTGCGCGAGCTGAGCAGGCGGCTGAGCAGCATGCGCATCCGCATCCGCGTCAAGACCATCTTCATCCTCACAAAGGTCTACGACCAAGACCTGATCGTCGTGACGAGGGAGCTGACGCGCTGGCTCCTCGACAAGGGCCGCCCGGTCCCGTTTGTCGTCTACGTGCAGGACAAGCTGCGCACCAACAAGAAGTTTGACGTGGGCCGGCTGCTGGACGACCTGGCCGAGAGCCACGCCGCCGAGGGGGCCGACGTCGAGACGACCCGCCACGCCCTCGAGCGCCGGCTGCGGTACTGGGACGAGGACATGTGCCGGTCGCGGCCGCACACGTTCGACTTTGTCATCACGCTCGGGGGCGACGGCACCGTCCTCTACGCCAGCTGGCTCTTCCAGCGCATTGTGCCCCCCGTCCTGAGCTTTGCCCTCGGCAGCCTCGGCTTCCTGACCAAGTTTGACTTTGACGACTTTGTGCCGACGCTCAACGCGGCCTTTGACAGGGGCGTCACGGTCAGCCTGCGGCTGCGCTTCGAGAGCACCGTCATGAGGAGCATCCGGCGCAAAGGCTCCGACGACGGCAAGGGGTCCGAGGAGGACGAGGACGAGGCGCACGGCAAGAGGGACCTGGTGGAGGAGCTGATTGGCGAGGAGCGAGAGGACGCGCACACCCACCGGCCGGACGGGGCGTACGAGATTCTCAACGAGGTGGTGGTGGATCGCGGGCCGAATCCGAGTGAGTGCCCTTACCACCGAGCCTACAAGGCCCGGCCCACCTCCCCTGCTGCAGCCGGCTGACCGACGCAGCCATGTCGTACACGGAAGTGTTTGGCGACGACGAGCACTTCACGTCGGTGCTGGCCGACGGCATCTGCGTGTCGACGCCGACGGGCTCGACGGCCTACAACCTGGCGGCGGGCGGGTCGCTATGCCACCCGGAGAACCCCGTGATGCTGCTGACGTCCATCTGCGCGCACACGCTGTCCTTTCGGCCCATCATCCTGCCCGACACGATTGTGCTGCGGGTCGGCGTGCCGTACGACGCGCGCACGTCATCCTGGGCGAGCTTTGACGGGCGCGAGCGCGTCGAGCTGCGGCCCGGCGACTACGTCACCATCAGCGCCAGCCGGTACCCGTTTGCGTCGGTGCAGGCCGAGGGCAGGCGCAGCGAGGACTGGATCAACAGCATCAGCGGCAAGCTGGGCTGGAACACGAGGCAGAAGCAGAAGGGGTACAAGGAATGGGCGGACTGACGGGGTGTTAAGTGCCTCCCCCAGGGGATGGGTGCAGCTCGGGGCGGCGTTGTTCTAGAGAGCCGTGGATCTTGGGATATCTTGGGTTGGTGTATACAAGGAAGGCGTGGGCTACTGCCGCGTATGTTGGGCGGCTGTCTGTTGCGCGCATTTCTCAAGGCTGCGCCGTGGTGGGAGGTTGGGTTAGACGGGGTGTCAAAGCATGTCCGAGTCATACGAGGAACTACTGTCGAGCTTGTAGACGCCGCAGCTCGCTATAGCTATCAAGACCTAAGCGCACGGCTTCGACGACGAGGCAGAGTCTCGAGCTGTGTTGTCGGTTCCAGAAACAAGTCCGTATAGATGAGCCAATGCCCTGACCGGCCTCGGCAATAATGCCGTGTGCCGAGTCCCTGGCTGCTCCGTGGGTTTGTTGGAGGCTGGTGTTAGACACAGCCGACGTGGCCGCAAATGCTCTCCGCCGTCTTCGCACAAGGCAGTGTGCCAGTTGAACTCTCGAGCTAGCCTTGCGTGCATGACTGCCAACATAATCGTCAAAACTTCAACAAAACGGGTTATGCCAGGATTATGAGTTGAGGGCACTTGATGCTGCTGCATATATATAATCAAATATCCAAGTGGTCCTTCAACAATAAGGCAGTGTGCCTGAGTGGTTAAAGGGTATGACTAGAAATCATATGGCTTCGGCCTCGTAGGTTCGAATCCTGCCACTGTCGGTCTGAGACCGCGCCAAGTTGAAACCACTCCAGCTTGGCATCTTCTTTTACCAATTGCTCCAACTGGCAAACTTTTTGCCGTCTCCCCTTTCTCTTGCGTTCAGCTCTCTCGTGGTAGTAGTAATTATCTGCTGTTGAGTGCGGTGCCTCCACCTCTTGCGCCCCAATCCTCTCCACAGTCAGGTACAGCAGGCCTCGAGCGTTCACTTGGAGGGCCACGGACAGCCGACCTCCCACAATCCCCTCCCCACCTTAATCCCCAGCGCCAGCCGCGCCGCCCGCCATGGCGTTCGAGACGGAAACCCGCCCCCTCCCGCCGGACCTGTTCGACACGACGACGATTGCCTCGCTGCTGTCCACCGTGGCCATCGTCGCCGCCGCCTACGCCGTCTCGCGCCGGGCCCTCGCGCCGCGCTCCACGCCGCCCGCCCTGCGCTTCCTCTTCATCTGGCACCTGGCCGACGCGCTGTGCCACTTTGTCCTCGAGGGCAGCTTCCTCTACCACTGCTTCTTCTCCTACCTCGAGCCCCGCCCCGGCTCCGACGCCGCCAGCCTGTTCCCCACGCCCTACAACTTCCTCGGCCACGAGGGCCGCCGCGCCTACGGGCCCCAGGCCGCCCCCGACAACCCCTTTGCCCAGCTGTGGATGGTCTACGCCCGCGCCGACAGGAGATGGGCCGGCGCCGACCTGGTACGCTCTCCTTCTTCGCCCCGCGTCTCTTTCTGCTCGCGTGGGGAGGCTGATAATGTGCTGCGCAGGGCGTCATCAGCCTCGAGCTCCTCACCGTCTTCTTCGATGGCCCGCTGGCCTGCTACATCTGCTACCTCATTGCCCGCAAGGATCCCAAGGCGAGCATCTGGATGATTGTGCTGGCCACGTGCGAGCTATACGGCGGTATGTGCCCGCGGCTCCCCTGTCTTTGTTGATTTCTGACATCATCTTATTCCACTGCAGGCTTTATGACGTTTTGCCCCGAATGGCTCACCGGCAACATCAACCTCGACGGCAGCAACTTCATGTACATGTGGGTGTATCTCGTCTTCTTCAACATGCTTTGGGTATTTATCCCCCTCTACGCCATTTGGTACTCGTTCAACGACGTATCAAGCGCCTTTGCGGTACGAGCCGCCAAGAAAGACCTCTAGAACGTACCACTCGGAGAGCAGGTGATGGGAATGTTGGGCGCTGTGCAGCATGTACGAGAGCTAAATTCATCGACAATGGCTTGCTCAATGATCACCGTGATGTGCAGAATCCCGTTTCAAGAGTGAATTCAGGAACTACTTAGGGGTATCTAAGTCATGTTTTCTAACGTGGAAAACCATGTCTCTCAATCATCCTCTGCGCCAGGTACAAGTATCCGATCCCACTGCAACCCAGCACTCAAAGCTTGTCATCCGGATGCGAATCGATGGCATTGCCAGTCTAGATCTGCTGCTTGTGGGCCTCGGCCTTGCCGTCGTGCTTAGTCTCTTGGGCCTTGTCACCAAGAGCGTCCTTGGCGGCGGAGGCACTGTCCAAGTTCAAAGTTAGTACCTGCCATCAAGGGACGGTAGGCGAGAAGAAACGAACCGAGTGCCCATGGAGGCGTTGGAATCCTTAGCAACCTCCTTGTTGGCTTCCTTGGAGGTGCCGCTGGTGGCTTGCTGGACAGTCTCGGAGACGTAGTTGGCACCTTGCTTGAGGGACTCCATTGTGAAGAAGAGGTTTGAGGTCTGGTGTGGACTTGAAATGGAAGTGTTTGAGAGATCAAGAATTGGGCTTGTGCGGAATGGTTTGAGTGTGTGAGGAGTGATGGAGAGGAAGAGTGAAAGCGAGGCGGGCTTGGAGGTTCTTATAGAGGTCTACGGTGCAGGCACACCTTCTCTCTGCATCACAGCTACGTGCTTGCCCATGACGGACGAAAACAAGGTAGCGGGATTACGACGCGGGGCGATTTGGACAGCATGTGAAGGTCACGTCGAGGATGGAGCATGGCGTCATAGGCAAGACGGGAGGAAGGATGCGATGGAAGCTTCCTTGTGCATGGCGGAGAGAGCTCCGGGCCATGAGTATCTAGGTACTTCCTTGGCACGGTCTAGGTAGGTAAGTACCTGCAACGCAGGTGAGCGCATCGTAGAGACTTGACCAGGAATTACCTATCGATAGAAGCCATGACGTCATGATTTGTCGGCTGGTCGCGGCCCTGGACCGGAGGGACGAGGGCACAGATGCTGCGTGGAATTCGTAGCCGTCATCCATATGCAACCATTGATTGATTCTGCCGTTGGCAGATGGTTACCTGCTCGGTACCTGGACTAATGACCGGTGTACCGAGCTTTCGCCAGCATCAACGTGCCTGCTCAGGTACTCGGATGCTTGGCATACGTAGAGCCGGTGACAGCTGCGGCTTACTGTGCGCTCGCAGAGAGAGCAGAGCAAGACGCCCCTGCCACTTGTGGTTGGACGTGCGGCGGTGCAACGAAGCTCGCCTATTGGCTACCCGGTCCGGCATCGAGATTGGACGGCGGATCATTGTCTCCGGGTTTTTGACTTTTCGCCTCCAACGTTGTCACTGCTTGTGCACAGTGCTCTTGCTGGTCGTGGCTGGCCATCGTCTCCCGCCCCGCCTTGGTATAAAACACACTCACACAGTATTGGCTGTTGATATACACGGTGCAAGCCCCGCGCACGCATAAAGCCCTATCCGGACGGAAAAAAGGACGGGAGGGCGCAGTGGCCTCCGTGCAACCCATTCCACTTCCCCTCGGGCATGACGTTACTCGCCCCTCGACGCATTTGACTGCTGCCAGTGCGACATCTGGCCTGAATGATGTGGCTGTTGCCCTTCCACGAGCCGATAGCTCGTCACCATGACGATCCAGAACGACCCCTCTCGTGCGTGGCGCCTCTTGCTTGGTGGCGCAACCACACTTCCCAGACATCATCTCGCCCGAGTCTGCCTGCTGCTCCGACAAGACCCAGTTAGCTGGGCGGCTGTGCGGACCGAAACTAGCTGGCATTGACGGCCAGCGCCGCAATCATGCCGTCCATTCCTCCCTCCCCCGCATCCTTCTTCCCTGCGACTCCGTGGCCAGCCTATATCATGCTCGCAGGCCTCCAGCCTTGCGCGGGCGGCCGGCCGAGTGCGCTCGCGGCCGTGGACACCCCCATGGCTCACTTCTCGGCTAGTTCTCAGATATCTAAGCCTCTCAGGACATCATGATCAGGGACAGCCGCCGTGACTTGTGAGTGCATGGTGAAAGAGGTTTCTGCCTTTGGCATTTCTTCGACCGCAACGACGCCCAAGACATATCGGGAGCAGCAAGCAATTGCCGGGCGAGCAGGCCCTGCCCTGGACGTGCCTGGTAAAGTGAGGCGATGCGAGGAGACGAAGTGGCACCAGTCTAAACAGCAGTCGGAGCTCGCATGCAGGGCAGATCAACAATGCCCAGCTTGCAGCCCCGCATCATGCCGCATCCCACATGAAGCCAAAGAAGCGTCGTAAACTCGACGGATGAAGCAGCCCGGCTCTGCGCACACAAGAAGTCCTTCGCGGACATGGCCGACGCCCTAGCAACGTCATCTTTTCTCGCCACGATAATGGTTCGTGAATCTGACTCGCAGCGCGGCGGCTCTTCCGTCGTGAACCCTAAATCGGGTGGTTATGAGGTTGCGAGAAGCGGTAGCAGGCTTTCGGCAACTCGACGTTCCGTCTCCGAAACCATCGAAACTGTTTCACGGCTGACCATAGGCGTCAACTCCAAGCACCCCCGGCGCTTTGTCCGATTCTGGTCTAGCGCCGCGACTTGTCAACCTCCTCCTTGCTTTTCGAAACTCGGAATTGTTGCATCTGTGCCTCAGCCCGGCCAGAGTTGCGGCTTCCAGCTTCGCCTGTTACGGATTTGGGCGTTCCTCGTGGCCGACGGAGACTCAATGCCGCCCCCCCATAGCCGCTTCAGGCAAGTTCGCGCTCTCCCCGATGCGCGGGCAGGCAAGAAGCAAGGAAAGGGGCCAACTGGCGGTGGCCACTGCAAATAGATGATGTTTCGCGGTCTACACCCAGTTTGAGTTTATGACTCACCCTTGAACCATCATCCACTCAACTGCCTTGTTTCCAGGTCCATTGTCGTCTCGTGTCTTTGCACCCTCGCTCCCAAATCCCACAAGTGCCCTGTCTGCTGGGTGGGCGTTGGACACGCTTGGAGAAACCCATGGCTAGCTGGGTTTTGTCCCCGAGGCTTGGTGTCAAGAGCCGGGCCAGTTGGGCAGAAAGCCGGGAGCCCAGGCCGTATATGCCTCGTCCTGGCTGTCTCCAAAGGCCCTGGACCAAAGCTAAACATCGCGTCTATCTTAGCCTCAAGCCGCACCCAAGGGTTGCTGACCTTACCGTGTTTGTACAGCTTTCCCCCGGGATAACCCTGCCCATATTGTTTCCAATAGAATCCACAAATCGGGTTCGGCACCTTGTTTCGCCTGGCTGATGAGAATGTAAGCGCCCCTACCATCCACGCCTATGCAACCCGGGGGGGGATTCGGCAAATCCCACCATGTCCATGTTCTTCCTTTGACCTGTCGTCTCGATCTCGAAGCTGTGCCTTCGTCCTGACTTTAGCCTTCATCTTGTTTTGAGGATCGACAACTTCACCTTTCGCTGCCCGCATCTACCTGAACCTATGGATGATTCCATCTGACCCATTACATCGGGCACAGCCAAAAGGCTCTGCGCCAAATACCTTCCTTTGACTTGTACATTGTCAAGTTCGAGCTCAGAGACTCGGCATCGACGAATATGATCGATGGACTCGACTCGAGCTGGGCACAACCCCGAGCGGCCGACCTGCTGTCCAGGGCCCTCGGGGACTCGACAGATGCGGACGGATTCATGTTCCAGTCCTCGACGTCGTCTGCCATCAACAATGAGATGCGATTCGCCGCTGAGCGTTCGCTTCGCACGTCCTTCATTGCCCTCGCAAGCGTCAACGTCGTGGCCGCTGCGGCGACGGCGGTGGGCATATTCTTCGATTGCTACCTCCAGGCAAGGAGGAAAGACCCAGGCTTCAGTCTCAAGTAGGCTTTGATGATGCCCAATCTGTGATGAAAAGACACTTTGGACTGACAAGGGCTATAGGTCGTCATTGCTCACCATCATTGGGCCCAAAGAGACCTTTCCCTACATCCTGTCCCTGGGCATCGCTATCCAGGGCATCATCTTTGCCGCGGCTCAGTCTCTCGGACTTGGAGCCATTCTGACTCTGGGATGCACGGAGACCTCTCAGATGATGCTTCCAGGTACGAGCAGTCGGGAGCAATCGGCAGTACATGAGGCTGACCACAACTCTCTAGCCCTCTTCATCGTGCCGTATATTCAGCTCGTCTTTGGCTTGGAGACGGCCATCCGAGCCCTCGCACGCCAGCCGTTTCCCCGCAGTCCAAGATGGACTCTTCCGGTCTGCCTCGTGGTTGTGCTTGTCGCCTTAATTGCGACCTATGCCGTCACACGTGCTGCAGTCCCGCCCAACTTCTGCTTCGCCGAGCTCTTGTGGCTGGTGCAGCGATGGGCCCTGGGATCCTTTGCCTTTCTCACCTTGCTCGCCGGCATCATGCTCATCGGCAGCCTCATCATCTGCATTCGGCTGTTCAAGTCTTCGGGCATTTCCGAGGCGCAGAGGACCACGGCGTCGTGGACGACGTGCTACATGCTCCTCGCGCTTGTCACCACGGTAAGTCTTATTCCGCCAACTCATGTCCGGGCGCCCACGTTTTGTACAGGCGTGCTGACTCTCTCGTCGACAGGTGATGATGGTTCCCTTCTTCTGGAGCCTGTACGCCGATGACACGGGCAGGATCACGCGCCACCAAACGCGGTTGTCTATGGCGGCCACCATCGTCGTGAACCTGTCTGGTCTCTTGACCGGGGGTCTCTACGTCCTACTTCGCTTCACCAAGCTGGGAAAGCTCGGCCGGGGGGGCTACTTGGAATTCGACAGGCAAAAGCCCGCCATGGGAGAACGCTCATCGACTCCGGGCAGCTCCATCTACACTAAGCAGCTGGAGCAGCCTGTATCGCCTGTGCGGCTGGAGCAGATGAGGCGCGACCTCGAGACGGGCGACGGAGCGAGGAGCGAGAAGATGTCGGCCTGGCCGACAGCATTCGCCGCCCAGGCGGCTCGACCGCAAACCCCCGGCGTCACCATGCCGATTCCTCAGATCATGTCGCCTGAGATGGCCTTTATGGCTGGTACTCTACCGGGCCAAAACCCTGGCCTCCGCCAAGACTCGTACAACCTCTTCCCATCCAGACAAGGGGCGCCTGACACCAAGTCGTCGTATCTCCTCCCCGCCGTTGCACATAACCCAGACGCCTTGTCGGCCGACGAGCTATTGCCGCCCGCAGCAGCCTGGACGGCGCGACACGAGCGCAAGTCGTCGCTGGCATCGTCGGCGACGGTGCAGATTGCGCTGAGGGTGTCCAACATCAACGACATGCCACCGGTTACCTCGTCATACCAAGAACCCCTCGACTCGGACGGCCGCAACTATCGGGGCGACCTGGGCCTGGCAATCTCGACGGATCCTTTTGCCGACGACGCTTCACAGTATTCGGCTTCCATGTACGTGGACGATGACCTCTTCGACTTTGGCGAGGCCTTGGCTCAGCAGCCACCACTCCCAACGGCCACGGACAAGACCACATCGGACGATGAGATCACGCTGAGTCCGACCGTTTACGACCCGGATCAACCAGCGACCAAGCCACGCAAGGCTGCGTCGGGTCAATGGTTCTGATGACATTCTTGTCTCTCACTCCCTTCTTCCCCTCGCTCACATCTTTTATTTCTCTCTCTCTCTCTCTCTCTCTCGCTCTCTCTCCCCCCCCCCCCCCTCTCTCCCCCTCTTCCTTCCTCCATCTACGCACACCGCCAGCGAAAGCTTGATGAACCCTTTCTTTTTAACCTCTAAAAAATAACCCTCTTTGAACATCGGGCAGGCCTGGCACCGAGGAACGAGATATGAATACTTTTTTATGACAGTGGACATTTTACGGAACATCGCTGGGACTGGAAACCAGCGTCGGTTCATGATACATACGTTACGTCTCGCTGGACGACAGGCGGTTGATGACAGGGGGACTTTATCGGCTCTTTAGTCACATAGTACCCAACAGAGACTGAACGCGCAGATGCGCGAGGCAAAGGCTGCTTTCACATTTTATTTGCACATATGCCTCAATTGAGATGTCACAGGTAGGAGAAGTCGTGTCCTCGGGACACGTGCATGTTGTTCCACGTTCTGGCCGTGCGCTTGCCTTTTAGGCGGTTCTATTCTCGCGTCTGTCAGGAGAAGTAAGGTTCTTATGTGATGAGATGTGAAACAACGCTGGTGTGATGCCAGCACGAGCGCGCAACAGCCGCCCGCATCACCCCGTCTTGGTTTTTCTCGCCGCCCGGCTCTCCTCCCACTTTTCCCAGCCGGCCTGGCACATGTCCTCGTGGACGACGAGGTCCCTGACGCGAAAGGCCCTGGCGAGGGGCGTATCGAGGGCCCAGGCCAGGAAGCCGGAGCGGCGCAGGTGGGCAGTGGCGAGGAACCAGGCGATGGCGGAGAGAGCGCCGGCGGCGGTGCCGGCGAAGACCTGTCTGGGAGTATGGTAGCCGAGGTAGATGCGGCTCCAAGCGACGAGGGCGGCGAGGGCGGCGGCGGCGAGGCTGACGAGGAGCCTCTCGAGGAGGGACCAGGGCCTGTGACGGGCCCCGAGTGACAGTGCCCTGGCGCTCGACGACGGCGACGGGGCGGTTTGGGGCCGGTGGCGGACGAGGAGGAAAAGCGCAAGCGAGAGGCTCCAAAAGGCGACAAACTGGGCGTGGGACGAGGGCATGCCGTAGCCCTTGCCGTGGATGCGGCGGGGGCGGTCCTCCTTGATGAGGCGCTTGAGGGCAAAGTTGAGCGCCTCGCAGGCGAGCTGGCCGGCAAAGGCGAGGGCGATTTCGGCCTCGCGGGTGGAGAGGATGAGGGTTGCGTAGACGACGCAGAGGGCCTGCGGGAGCAGGGCGAGGTATGCGCAGCCGAGCGAGACGGGGTCATCTGCGTCCTACACGGGGGTATTCCCGGTCAGCGACAAAGAGTGCAGGGGGAGGCGAGGGCGACGGACATAGTAGACGTGGGTGAGGGACAGGGAGGCGAGTGCCGTGGATGCGTCGTCGGCCATGGCTGCGGCTGCCGAGGGCGGCGGGGGTTCGTGAGGGCGAGGACGGGCGCGGGACCGGGGGGTGATGCATTTCTCTCGAACGCGCTCCCTTCCTCGCCGTGAAGAAGGTGCTGGGAAAAGCCGTTGCCTGCGAGGTCTGTGCTGGGTTGAGGAGAATGCCGACGAGGATTGGGTGGATGATGGCGGTTGTCGTGGGGTGGGTGGATGGGTTGTTCCGGTACCTCCCTTTACCGCCTGCCGTGTTTGGGGCTTGCGGCACAAGGCTCCCACCCCACGGCAGCCCAAGGTTTGGTAAACCACAAGCGCAACTTACAGCCAACTACAGACTCGCTGGGCGGTAGCTGAATTGCCCCCGGTGTCTGGATCAAGACGTTCATTCTCCTTCGGTTAAATCCCTCACTGGAGGATGGCAAGAACCTGTTCCAGCCAATGCAAATGCGAGAAGGCGGTCGAGGCTTCGGCATCCCGCCCTCCCCACACGTTCTTGACGCTCGCCAAGAAGCTGCCAACAATGCATGATGAGGATCGCTAATGGGGCCCTGCGGCACCGCCGCACATGTACGTGCGGATCAGCATTCGTTGCCAAGCCAGACAGAGGCATAGATGGGCCATTCAGCAGGCAACTACATCCCCTGATGCATCTTGAAAATGCCGCCGAGACTCGATGTATTCAACGCCGTCACGTCATGCCAACAAATCCGCTCTTGTCTGGCCAGCGGAGGGCGCCCGAAATGCATACATGTTCACCGCATCAGGTGATCTCGTGCCACTGTATGTTCCTCTCTCCCTGAAATCGTCACGTCGTAAATCTTCCCCATGCTTCCTCCTCTTGGACTGGTTCCTTCTCTTTCTTCTCCCACCATTCTCCCCTTGACCCTCAGCCCGCAGAAGGCGGATCGACTCTCAGCTCGGGCTGCGGCAGGGCGCTTGCCGTGGCGGCGCTGCCGGCCTTGAGCCCGGGCGGGGCCTTGAAGCCGACGTGGTCGCAATGGCGCTTATAAAAGTAGTTGTCGGGCTTGGGCTGCAGCTCGAGCGGCAGCTCTTCCATGACGCAGGCGAGCATGCCGTCTATGGAACCCTTCTTGGACGAGTCGCGGTGCCAGATGGTGATGAGGTGGGAGCTGAAGCGGACCGAGAGGCCGACGCCGCACAGCTGGTCGCCTGGACATGGGTTCGGGTCAGCCTCGAACACGGTTTCCTCACTCGTCTCGGGGAGGGTTGCAGATGCAAGCGGAGATGAGACGAACCCTCATCCAAGGCACTCTGCAGCTTCTCGCCAATGGCCAGGAGCTGGACGCGGGTCCAGACGTCCGGGCCGGCCGTCTTAGGGACGCGCAAGGTCCAGCTGCCGCCGTTGAGGTTGCGGCGGTCCTCCCAGACGGGGCGGAAGCCCGACTTGAAGAGGTAGATGGACTCGCGCATCTTGATCTGGTCGACGGGGGTGTTGTTGTTGTAGCGCCAAAAGTCCTGGACCGACTCGATCTGGCTGCCGAGCTGCTCGAGCTCGGCATTGTACTCGCCGTCGTCGGGCTTGTGATCCTTGGATTGCCTGCGGGGTTATGTGTCAGTCGAGCCATGTTCAGGCAGGGGAGGGGAGGAGAGGACGGACCTGTCAAAGTAGACGTTCCAGTAGTGCTGCGTGGGCAATGGGCGCATCGTCTTGAGAAAGTTGCGCTTGGCGTCATCGCGCTGCTCGGCGGGCGACGTGGCGTCGACGGACTGCGACAGGCCCGAGAGGCCGCGCGTGAAGAGCTGCGGTCGCATCGACGACATGGTCGCGAAGGCTGGTTGTCGCTTTTGCAATCGCAATGTTTGGACAGGGCACGCAAGGGAGAGAAGACGCAAAGTGGTTGACGGGGGAGAAGGCGGGCGTGGACGAGAAGCGGGCATGGACGAGGACGACGGGAAGTGGCAGTGGCTGAGAGGATAAGCCGACAGGGAGAGCCTCGCTTCTTTCTTCTCCTTTCCACACACTCGACGGGAGAGCGAGGGAGATGAAACAAAAGCAGACAGGAGGACGGCCCCGCTGATTGGGTGACGAGGGGAGATCAGGACGAGGACGAGGGTGGTGGCGGCCTCGACGCTGGTTGCTGGTGGGGGCGGGCAACACCTATAAAGTGGCCTATACGGATAGCGGTAGGTACTAGGCACTTTAGGGGACGGCAGCCTGACGCACGTCCATGGCACAGTGGTAGGCTCTTGACGCGCAAGTGCTGGGGAAGTGTCAAGCTCAGCTACAGCGAGCGGGCGCGTAGCCGCTGGGTGCTGGGTCGAGTGGGACGAGGCAGTGGACCCCCCTGCGGATTAGAGCCGAAACCATTTGAAGAAGCGGCATGTCACGCATGCATGTAGACACGCAGTCGCCGACATTTGCTGGAGAAAACCCGGCCGCGCTCTTTGGATGCCAATGATTCAAGGCAGCCCGGGCTGTTGGCTGGATTGTCGCTCTGGGCCTGGGGACGAGTGACGGTGTGTTGATTGGGGCTCCTTTGTTTGAACTCGAACCAACAAACCGGCCCCGTGTTTATGCACCAGCCTGTTTCTTTCTCTTGTCCAAGCTTGAAATCCAGCGTTGGAGAAGCCGAAAGAAGCATATACCGAGAAGAAAAGCTGGAAAAGCAAAGACGACGCGTTTCACGTCCGGTCGGCGCCAATGACACCCGCGCATCTCTCTCTCTCTCTTGCGGGAGACCAGCTCAAGACGCGTCACAGTGCAAAAGTGCGGAACCCCCTCTATCTCTTCCCGGGGCCCGGCTCTGTTTCACGTCTGAGCCCCTCCTTTACCCAGCAGGGGGGTTGAATAAGATGCTCGCTTGTCCCGTGGTCGGCGCTTAGCCCGTAACGGCGGTCCCCATTCTCAATCAAAACGAGGCGACGTCATCGCCGGTCACGACCTCCCTCGCACGAATAAGGTAGACGGCGAGATGGTGCTAGACCCTGCTTGGCCGTCGTGGTGCTTGAAACAAGGCGTACTCGGGCAGTAATTGTCGACAGTCCCAGTGTCGCCGTCACGTGCATAGACAGTGTGCCCGGGCAGCATCGACAGGGCAGCATCGACAGGGCAAGCAAGAGTCATCACGTGCATAGCCGGTCTCGAGATGCCTACTCAACAACTTCAAAACACCAAAACGCCAGCGCTCCCCCCCATGCATCCACGGCTTCACACATTCTCCCTCGTCCCCAGCGGCATCCGCACGCTGTCGGCGTCCCGGAAGCGCGACAGGTCCCCGCCAATGAGCTTCCTCAGGTTGCCCATGTCCTGCAGGTACCGCTGCATCTCCTCCTGCAAATCATCCTCGCCCAGCGCCGTGCTGTCCGAGTCATAGCCTTGCTCATCGTCGCCCTCGTCGTCGCCGCCCGACTCGTATCCCGCCGCCGCCGCCTTGTCCCCCTCGCCCGGCCCACCCCGTGCGCCCTCGATGGTGCTGGCCACAGTCGGGATCGGGTTCTTGAGGCTGTCAATGGCCAGCTTGAGGTGCAGCTTGAGCGCCTCGTTCTCCGTCTGCAGCTTCTTCATCTTGCTCTCGGCCACCATGCTGCGCTCCTCCATCATGCGCTGCATCTGCGCCACCCGCTCCTGGTACGCCTCGAGCCGCTCCTCGGCCTCCTTTGCGTTCTTCTCGCGCTGCCTCGAGTCCGACACGGACAGCTGCAGCGCCCGAATCTCCTCGGCCATGGCCGCAATCTGCGCGTCCCGCTCCGCCGTCGACATCTGGTCCTGGTTGACCACGGCCCGCGTGCGGATCCGCTTGGCCTGGTCCGCGTACCGCAGCGTCGACAACGTCTCGTCGTAGTCGGCCGGCGCAATGCATGCAATCATGGCCGTCTTGCTGTTGCCCCCCAGCGAGTCCTTGAGCAGCCACGTCAGGATCGAGTCGCGGTACGGCACCACTGCCTCCTTGCGCTGCTTGCCGCCGCTCTTGGGCTGGTCTGCCAGCGCCGCAATCACGCGCCCCAGCGTCGTCAGCGACTTGTTGATGTTGCTGCCCTCGCGCAGCCGCGCCCCCGTCGCCTCGGTCGACTTGGCCCGCTCGCTGCCCGCCAGGTCCACCAGCCGGATGCGCGAGCTGCGCTCCGTCGTCTCGTCCGTCTCCATGTCGTGGTGCATCTGCCGCAGCATAATGGTGAAGACGGCGTGGCTGCGGCTGCTCGTGTCGTTCATTTTGGTGCTGGCCGTTGTGCGCGACGCGTCCCCCCTCTTCATGTAGCGCATGATCTCGTCGATGCTGCGCACCGGTACGTCCGTCAGGTCCTTGACGTAGGGCCCCTCGGTCGGCGACTCGCGGATCTTGAGATAGTGCGGCGCGGCACCCGGCACCGCGGGCACCAGCAGGTCGCGCACGTGCTCGTTGTAGACCTCAAAGTACGACACGCGCACGTTGTAGGCGACGTTGGAGTCCTCCTGCTGCGCCGCCGCGATGCGCTCAAACAGGTCCTCGCACGTGCGCGGGATCAGGCCGGGCTGGTCGGGCGTGCCCATCATGGTGTAGCTCTTGCCGGAGCCCGTCTGGCCGTAGGCAAAGATGCACGTGTGGTAGCCCTCGAAGTTGTGGTCGAGAAACTCCTCACCGAGGCTGTTGTAAACGTCTTCCTGGTGGGCGTAGTGCTTGTCGCCCACGTCGTGGCTCCAAAAGGAGCTGTCGAAAGTGAACTTTTTGTCCTCGTAGACCTTGCGCGACCTGAGGAGCTGCTTCATGTTGCTGCTGCTGCTGCTGCCATCGGCGAGGTCTTGGTCGTCGGGCGCCAGCAGCGTCGTGACTTGGGTGATGGGGTCCATGTCGATGAGGCATCGTGCCTTGCGTTGAAGTTCTGCCAAGGCGGCGGCATCAGCTCAGGTTTCTCCTCTTCTCCCCTTCTCCTCACCGTGCCAAATCGGGACAGCAGGACGAGGAAGGGGGAGCAGAGGGGAGAACAGAGGGGAGAAGGTACCTCTTTGCAAAAAGGCCCGCACGCGGACGACGACTCTGACGTTTCCTCCTCGATCCATCTTTGCGGGCAGGGTGCCATCTCGCGAGCGAAGCGAAGGCGTCGAAGCCGAGGAGCGGACGGCAGGCGGGACGGACAAGAGGTTGCTGGAGGGCCCCCCCGTGGAGCGGGCATCGAGAGCCATTGTCGTCGGGCAATGCCTGGCACTCACGGTCAGTCAGTGAGTTACAGCAGCTCAGGGATGCCGTGGGTTTCCAAGAATGCACCACATTCGTCGACATCTCCACCTCGGGTTATAACTGGGTCTGCATTGTTTACTGGCGTCATGCGCTGTTGCCAGGGTCAACAAGGGTCAATAAAGAGGCCGGCGAGCGGGAAAACAGTTCTCCGGGTGCCGCTAGGAAGCTTCTGTGGCGCCTGCAAGAACCTGATGGTGCAAAGTAGTCAGTACGTGGGGGGCACTGAGCGGAGCGGGCTAGAGTACCTGTCCGGGAAGGTACTCGATACACAGTCTCGCAGAGAACCTCTGTCTGCGGTCAGTTTACTAAGGTAGGCAAGTACCTAATGCACGGCATCGAGCGGCGGTGCCCAGGGGTGGGAGGGGGTGTTGCGGATGAACCCGCAGAAGCTCACAGAGCCAAGTGAATAATAATTTGCAATAATTAACAAAAGAAATACCAATATGCACCCGATAAATGAAGAGGAAAAAAAAGTCCGACACCACAGACGCACACCGTCACACACGAGAATAAAACCGAAGGAGACAAAGGGGAAATGGTTAGAGGAGGCGAGGGCGTCCAGGGAAGACGAGCGAGTACTGGGTACAACCGAGGTGCAGTCTATGTCGGGCAGCTGCCGAGTACAAGGCACATGACAGCCTGAAGCGAGGGCCCCGGGACCCCCACAGCGAGTGACAGAGAGCCTCCAACAGCCAATCAGAGCCGCCCGTGACCCGCCTGTGCCCGTTTGCGCGCCCGCAGGGGGCCCGAAGACGCGCAGCTCTTTGGCAGCAGGGTTTAACGCGTTCCTTGTTATTGCTTCTTGCCGCCAAAGCTCTCTGCCACCACCACCTCCGCCATCACCACCACCTCCCTCTTTCATCCCCATTTTCTCGCGTTTTCCTGCCAGGCCCTTCATCTCTGCCACACGCGCGCGCAAGAGGCCGACTGACCTCCCTAATTTCGCCTGGTATTAACGCCCTGTCCCTATTTATTTAATTAATTTTATCCTTTTTCATATCTTGCCCTCTTTCCTCTCTACAATTCGGCTGCTAACACCATCAGCCAGCAATCCAACTCGCCGACGCGACGCGTGCGTCCATCAAGCCAAGTAGCAGAAACAGAATCAGAAAAAAAGTCCTAAAGAAAAACCATCTCGTCATGGCGCGAACCAAGGAAGACGCGGCGACGAGCGAATCGACTCCTCGCCGCAGCGGACGGGCCCAGGCCGGCACCGAGGGAGGAGTCAAAAAGGCCTACGTCCCCACTGGCCGCCCGCGCGGCCGCCCCAAGAGCGACAACCCAAAGAAGACGTCGGCGTACGTCCCCACTGGCCGTCCTCGCGGCCGTCCCCCGGGCAGCGGCAAGAAAAAGGGCGCGACCAAGGCGGCCAAGGCGACGCCCGCCAGCGCCTCCAAGCCAAAGGGCACCAGCGGACCCGGCAAACGTGGGCGACCTCGCAAGTCGGATGCCGCCGCAGAGACGCCCCAGCCAAAGGGCAAGCGCGGCCGTCCGCCCAAGAAGTCGCTCGAGCCCCAGCCTGAGCCCGAGCCCGAGGCCGACGAAGTCGACAATGCTGATGGCGATGCTGCGCCTCTGTCCGACGCTGCCGATGGTGAGTCTACGTGATCCTTGCCTTGGTCTCCCTGGCTTGGCTTATGCTCAACCGTGATACCACATACAGACGCTGCCAAGCTTGACGTCGCAGGCCAGGACAATCTCGCCACGGATTCTGGAGAGGTCGGTCCATCACAATCGCCGTGGGTCTCTGGCCTCAAAAACATGTTTGGCTGATGCTGGTGGCAGGAGTCGGAGCCGCTCGAGTGACGCGCTGAGACAAGCACGCTGGCGATGGAAGTGAGGATCTGACGCGGCCTCTCCGTTTCGGTGAGAGGCAGCCGGCCGGCGCGTGCTTGGAAAGCAAGGAGCAGCAGGGGAACATGTGGATAAGGGCAAGGGTCGCATTGCCATGTCGTGCCATGTCGTGCCACGCCGGCTGGGCGCAGGCGAGCTACTCAGGCACGGCGCAGGTGTGCTCAAGGGAGTTTTTAGGGCGGTACTGGGCTAGTCTTTACATCTCGGGCGAACGTGGCCGATATACCTCACGCTGTACACTACAAAACCATACCGGTTCTCTTCGTTCTGACCTCAGATGCGCTTCCACGCCTCAAACTCGACGTCGAGATGCTCCTTGAAGCGCTTGAACTGGTTACCAAAGGTCTTGCCGCAGCGCCAGCACCGGAGGTCCCTGCGCAGGTAGCCCATGGCGCCGGGGTCGCGGCGCGGGTCGTCGTCGGCGAGGGGGAAGTCGGCCACATCGACGAAGAAGGGCGTGGCAAACGAGTTGTAGTGCTTGCGGTGGCGCAGGGCGGGCGAGTGCATGTCGCGCGACAGCACATGGATGTGTAGGTGGCGCATGCTGGGCACGGCGTGGACGCCGCAGACGACGTCGGCGGCCCAGTCGCGGCCGGGGGGAAGCGCGGGCGGCCCTGACGACGGCGACGGCGACTCGGGCGCAGCGGAGCCGTCGAGGACAGCCTGGCGGGCGGCGTCGGAGGCGCTGTGGCAGCCAAGGCGGCGGCGCAGCTCGGCGGCGACGAGCACCCTGAGGGAGTCGACCTGGGCGCGGACGGCGGCGAGCAGGGCCGGGTCGGCGAGGGCGTCGAAGGGGTGGCGCAGGACGCAGGCCGGGTCGCGCGGGAGCAGCAGCGCGTGGACGGTGGCCTTGGGGTAGCGGTCGCGGATGGCGACGAAGGCGGCGTCGTGGCGGATGACGACCGAGGCCGGCAGCGAGGCCGGGTCGGCGAGGTAGGCGCCCAGGCCCATGCGGTCCTTGGGGGGCGCGGGCGCTGCCGCTGTCGAGGACGGGGGGGGTGCGGACGCGGCCGCCTTTTTCTTGGGGGCCATGAGTTTCGTGACTGGTGGTTGGGGGGGCGCGGGAGGGTTAGGTTCGGACGGTGGAGAGCTGGTCTGGCTCGAGGAGACGGACGTGTTTTCTTCTTTTCCGCTTCACGTCACGAACGACGTTGCGGGGGAGGGACGAGGGAGTTGAAGCCGGGGAGGGGGGGATCTGGGTTCTTCCTACAAGCATTGGCAGGAGGGCCCCGCGGCGCCTCATCGTCGTCGTCGTGCCTGGCCGTCGCCTCGGGCTCTGTGTCCGTCGATGCGCCGTCCATGATGGAGCCGTTTGGGTGTGCTGTTGCTGGCGAAGCTGGGTGGGACGTGGAACGAGGCTGGAGTGGATGGCGGGGTCTGGTGACTTTATAAATCTACGAAGCAAGCGGTGGGGGCTTTACGCTTGACCAACTAGAAAGACCTGCAAGCTTGTCTCTCATCAGCATCCATTGCCGGGCGACGACGCCTCGGATGGGACCTTGACGCAGAGCGGACCCTCCTGGCAAGGGAACTCAGGATTTGAAGCCTGCCATGGTAGACAAGACAGACAGCATGCCGTTCCCAGGCCCAGGCCGAAATAGAAAACGAAAGCCGGTCAAAGACGCCCGGCCAGTGTATCCGCATATATATATATATATATATACATATGCTCCTTACCCCTGTGCCTCATCCTCATCGCATATCCACAACCAAGCCCTCCAAACTCACGCATCCAACCCGTTGAGCTCAATCAGCCGCCGCACCATGCCAATCACTTCGTCGCGGCCCAGGTCGAGCCCCGGGTTCTCCACCTTGCGCACAATCACCGCGTCCACCATGCCCCTCAGCCTCGCCACCAGCACCCCGATGCGCGCCCACCCGCGGAGCCTGATCCACCCGTCCACCAGCAGCCCGCGCCCGAGCGTGTCCAGCTCGATGGAGCCGCAGAAGAGCAGCAGCGCAAACACGTTGAGAGCTGCCCGCCCGAGGTCAGTGTCAGCTGTTGCAACTCCCCGTCGAACCAAAAGGGGGGAGGGAAAGGGGGGTAGGGGAAGGGGGACCGCCGTCAAAAAAAGCAGCCAGAGGAGGGAAGAGAGAACTCACGGGTAAGATCTCGGATGAAAATCTTGCTCGTCGAAATGATGCTAAAGTACGACATGTACGCCGCGTTGTCCGAGAACCCCTGGCTGCCAAACAGCGTGCTGCTCGGGTGGATGAAGACACGCCCGTTCTCCTGGTTAAAGTACTTGATGGCCCTCGCCTCAGGGTCCAGCTCAACGGCCCCCGACATGGAGCTCGCGTACTTGCGGTCCGGGAACTGGATCCTCGCAATCTGCGGCGTAAAGGCGGCCGCCAGCAGCGCCCGCAGCAGCCGCGGGTCCCGCGACGACACCGCGCCGCCGCCCGCCGCCTTGCCGGGCTCCACGATGCCCGCCTCGGACAGCGCCGTGTAGTATTGCGCCCGCGTGTTGGCAATGTCGGACAGGGTGTGGAAAGACAGGAAGCTTTCGTCGCACAGAGACCGTATCTGCCGCTGGGGCACCCCGTCCTTGACCATTGCATCCCACTGCTGAAACGCCGCAAGGTCCGTGATGAGGTCTCCGTCTCCCGTCGAGAATCGCATCCGCGCCTCCCTCGCCTCCTCCCGCTTCTCCTGCGGCGCCATGAACGGGCTCCTCGTGCTCAGGATGGCCGACATGGTCACGCAGTCGTCCAGGCACCCCAGGATTGCCCCCAGCACCATCAGCTTGCCGCACCGCAAGTCCGCCGGCAGCATGGCCAGCTGCTGGCCCATGGCCGTCAGCTCCTCTCCGTCCAGGGCCCCCATTCGCCGGAGAAGCCTCATGGCGCCCTCGATGGCTTGTGCATCGGGGGCCGTCGGGGATCGCCCCAGGAACGTCGCCACGTCCCGCATGCCCATGGCGCGAACCGAGAGGCACAGCTGCTCGAGTGGCACCCGCCGGATCTCGGGCTCGGGCCGCTCCGCCATTTGCTGCTCGAGGTTCTGCGTGTAGAGCTTGTAGCATTTGCCTTCCTGGACTCGCCCCGCGCGCCCGCGCCGCTGCTTGCAGGCCGCCCGAGATGCCCACGTTTCCTCGAGCTTCCGCATGTTGTTCTGAGCATCGAAGCTGGTCTCCTTGACCTTTCCACTGTCAATCACAACCACAATGTCGTCAATGGTGATGGACGTTTCCGCAACATTGGTCGCCACCACGACCTTGCGCTTGCCAGGCGGCGGGCTGGCAAACACCTTTTTCTGCTCACGCGTCTCCAGTGATGCGTGGAGAGGGAGGACATGGAGCGATCTCATCTCCCGCAACCTACTGCAGGCGTGGTTGATTTCCCCCACGCCCGGAAGGAAAATCAGGATGCCCCCCGACCTCTTCTCGTCCGAGAGCTCCCAGTCGACTGCCTGGACCGCCTCCACCAGCAGGTTGTAGTTGATGCGATGGCCCAGCTTTTGGATGACCCGGCCCATTGTGTCGTCGGTAATGAAGCCCTTGTCGCCCGCCTCGGCGTTGAAGCCCGTCATGCGAATCACGTCGTCCAGGTAGTACTCGTCCACTGGGAATGTCCTGCCGGCAATCTCGACAGTCCCGACGCTCAGGCCTTCCGAGGCAAAGTAGTACTTGAAGGTTGCCGCATCCAGCGTGGCGGACATGAGGATGAGCTTCAGCATGCCCCTCTGCGTCTTCATGACTTCGCGTATCAAGTTGAGGAGAAAGTCCGTGTCGAGGCTTCTCTCGTGAACCTCGTCAATGACGACATGGCTGACATCGGCCAATGCCGTCGCCACGTCCTCGACGTTGCCGCCAGACGTCTGGAGACGCCTCAGCAAGACGCCTGTCGTGACAAATGTGATTCTCGTGTCCTTGGACCGGCGAGACTCCCCGCGAATGGCGTATCCCACCTCTCCTCCCACGCGCGTGCACCGCTCCTCGGCCACTCGATCTGCCAGGCCGAGCGCCGAGATACGGCGAGGCTGAGTGACAATCATGTTTGCGGCCCCGCCAAGGCCGTCCCCATACAAGTCGTCTAAGATGAACTGCACCGACTGCGTCGATTTGCCCGAGCCCGTCTCGCCGCTGATGATGGTGACGTGATTCTCCTTGACCGTTCCAACGATGTCATTGCGCATTTGCCACGCAGGCAACCGCCGGCGTTTAGACTCCATGTCTCGCCAAGCTGGAGCTTGCTGTCGCCTCAGCCATCCTTCCCTGCTCTGGGCATCGGGGATCCAATCGATCGTCTTGGCCGGCTTGCGCCTGCTCTCCGCACTCTTTGCTGCCGGCACGGGGCAGTTTTCGGAAGCCGTTGAAGAAACAGCAGAGATATCCACCAATTTCCCCGGGTTGTCAATGATGCCGTTGATGTTTTGCTGTATCCAGTCCATGATGAGATACATCTTCATGGGCTCGTCTTGTAACAACTCTTGCTGGTACGCCAGGGCCTTTTTGACGATGCTCAGTCTGATGTAGGACGGCAGCTTCGCGATGACGGCCAGAATCAAGCGCTTAGGGTAGCTCGACGGCCTCCTGACCTGTAAATAAGTCTCCACCTCTCCTTGCTTGGGATTCTGGGCGTTCGTGACTGCTTCCAGGCGTATCCGAATCACCTGGTCATCTTGGCGCCGAAAGTTGTCGCCAAACATGGACTCGAGGCTTGCCACCTCCTCCTCCCATTGCTCTTCTGGCGTCCCCATGTCCAAGAACCCACCAGATCCAGTGTCGTCGGGGGATGCAGTTGGAAAGAGCATTTCTTGCAATGCCTCGGCTGCCTTCCCCTCGTCGCCGCCGTTGCTGTCAAGAACCCGCGCGCAGAGCTCAAGGGAGTATCCGGGCTCCGAGAGCGACTTGATGATGCCCTCTCTCCTCAAGTTTGTGGCGCCGACAGATATGCCGGCCGAATAGCTCTCTGGCATGGCCCACTGCGGGAGATCATCCTCGGGGACGTGGATGAGGAGCCATTCCAAGGTTTCCTCTCGGTCCTTGCAGTACTCGACGGCTTCCTCAACGTGGCTGCGTCGGAAGCCTATCTTGGCAAGGTCGGCCACGGCGGCATCCCTTTGAGCCCGGGACATGCGTATACCATGCGGGTTCCAGGAAATGCCACTCCGCAACAGCGCTTCGAGCTGAACCCGAGTCTGCCTGCCCATCTCGACCTTTGGCGCCGCCGTCCACCCTTTCATGGGGTTTGATGCTGCTCCAGAGCCGGCACTGTTCATCAGGACCAGCCCAGACGCGCCGGGCATCTCCTTGGCCCTGGCCTTGGCCGCCTCGGCCTCTTTCCTCTTCTTGTCGGCCGCCGCTTTGGCTTCCTGCCGCTCCAGCAACGTCTTGAAAGGATCAGCATCGTACATCCATCCCTTGCCCTCCTTGACGTCTAGCGCTTTCAGGGCCTGGAACTCTTTCCACAGCGACTTGTGATCTGGCGGGAGCACGGTGTGCTTGTTCTGCATGCTGCAGACTCGAAACAGGGCATATGTTGCCGCTGCGTGCTTGGCCTCGAGCGCCGTGTCTCTCAAGAGGAGATGCTTGTGGCTTTGGGGAATCTTGAAGGGGTCCAGTCTGATGTGCTGCTGTGTCTTGACATCCTTTGCGCCCAAGGTGACCCAGACCGAGAAGCCCTCGGAAGTCTTTCTCGTGTCATAGTCGGGCTTGTCCCACCGTTGTTTCTGACAGTACTCGCTCAGTAGGTTGACGGGCAGCTTTCCGGTCCAGGATGAGCCCCCGATGATTTGCTTGACCGTGGGCTTGGGAGGCCCGGCCGAAGGCACCACAGGGGGCGGCGCTTCCGTCTTCTGACCCTTTTTGCCCTTGGTGCCATCTTTGGAGGGATTCGACGGGCCTGGGGCAGGCTTGTCGGCCTTGTCCTTGGCCTTCTTCACCATGGCAACGACCTTCGCAGGGCACTTTTGCGCCTCTATTTTATCATGAGATTGCCCGGCCTCGGGATAACGCAGACGTCGCGACAGGTGAGCTCCGTTGTGGGGGAAAACTCGGCGCACGAATCGCACTGTATTCTACGCGGCGAACAGGACTAATAGTACAGTTTTTGGCACAGTGTCAATTGCGCCGGCCTACACCTTGCAGAGCAGCCGTGCGCGTCACAGGTTGTCGTCGGCTGAAATCCGGCTACGCAACCCCTACAGCGAATTACGCCGAAGCCTTTGGCTCTTACCTTCCTGGGCATTGCACTGTAAATGCTTTACCTACCAAGCACTTCGCAGAGGCACGCCGAAAGGGGAGCCGAGCATTTGTGGCCTGGGCAGAAGACAGCGCACAAGGACCATCGTTGCCCATCACGGCAGAGCAGACTGATTCAAGCCAACCACATGCCGCGCGACTTCCCGTGCATGCAGCTCTGGATGGTCGACTGTATGTTGGCCATCTTACTCATCTCCCTCAATCAAATCACTACCAACCGAACCGGGCCATTTCACTTGACCTCATTTCAGAGCCAAAGGGCCAAAATGTCTCGTTTGCACTACGTCGCTCTTTTAATCATGATATGCAAACCACTTGGCCGCCATATCAGTCACGACGTGACGCCTTCCATTGTCGAAGCGAGGTGCACTAGCACCAGCCTCTGTCGAATCCCTGGTTCGACGACGCCGACCTGACAATTCCATGCCAGCCGTCCAGAGTCCCACCAACCCCGTCATGCCACATGTGCATCTCATCCGCCAACCACATGGGGGGGCACGGCTCTCCCCAATGCGCCTGTCTGACGAATCCACGTCCCTCCACAACCTCATCTCTCATCCTCTGCGTGCTAGGCTGGAGCTTTCAAGCTACCAAAGGGCCTACATATCCTGCGACTTCTCGCTCATATTCGTGCAACTTCTTCATGCCAAGTGCAAGACAGGGGTCTGTGGTGGTGATGTCAGGGGAGGGGAAGGGGAAGGGGGGGATGGGTACAATGCAGAGTCCAGCTAAAGCTAGGTATGCTGCGACGAGGGTGTTGTGACTGGACAAGGGATGTTGTTACGGGGGAGTCATGATTAAGCTCGATGCAAGCATCCGCACCGCGCCAGCCGCGGCCGTCGGCACCGATGTATTGCCAGTCGGGAAAGGGACATAGAGTCCCTACATGTCCATCGAGTCGCCTCCGTTGGCAAAGTTGAAGCCGCCCGACTGGGCTGGGCCGTTGGTCCCGAAGCCAAACGTGCCGTTGGGTCCCGCCGGCTGGGCCATGCCCTCGTCGGCATTTTCAACCTCGTCCGAAAAGTACTTCTCGATGATGTGGTACGACTTGACGTAGATCTCCTCATTTGCGTTGTTCTGGCATTCGTGGATCTTCTCCATGCCTCCGCACTCCTCAATGAAAAGTGCATAGCGGTTGATGGATTCAGCATTGTCGCCGGCGGCCTGCTTGTCCAGGTCGCCAATCTTGAGGATGTTCTCGAGGCCATCGAGGGCAACCTGAATGATCTTGTTGTCGGGGCACGAGAGGAGATCGCACAAAGGCTTGATGCAGCCCTGCGAGACCAGGTAACGGATCTGCTCTGGCTTCTGGAGACCGCCAGAGGTGGCGTTGCTTATGGCCCAGCAGGCTTCTTTGCGCGTCTTGAGGTCGCCATTTTGGAGGAGGTGGATGAGAGGAGGGATGATGTTGGCATCGACGACGGACTGGATCTGAGACGAATTACCAGCGGTAATGTTAGAGATGGTCCAGCATGCCTCCTTGCGGATGCCATCCTTGGTGGAGCTCAGGAGAGACAAGAGGCAAGGCAGCGCGCCGCAGTTGATAATAACCTGAGTCTGGACGTCGTCGCCAGTCACAATGTTGCCTACAGACCGCAGAGCAGGAGTCTGGACCGAGGTGGAGGCGTGCATGAGCAGCTCAACCAGCCTGCGCGGGATGCCGGCTTCAATCACGGCCTGGATCTTGTCGTTGGAGCCGTCCGACAGATAGGAAATGGCCCAGCAGGCATCAATCAGGACTTCGTCATCCAGCGAGTAGACGAGCTTGGAGAGGACGGGGAGAGCAGGGGCAATCTACATGGCAAGGGGGGTCAGCATGCATTCACCAGCAGGCGGGGCCTGAGGGGCAAGCATACCGTGTTCCAATCAGGCTGCGGCGTCTTGCCACGACAAAAGTTGCTTAAGGTCCATGTGGCGTTGCGCAACATGCTCAGCTTGCGGCTATCGCCGAGAAGGTTCAGCAGCGGCTTCAGGGCGCCACAGCTGAGCACGTAGTCGCGGCAGTGAGGGCTGTCGCCGGCAATGTTGCCGAGGGCCCAGACGGCCTGTTCGCGCACATCAGGCTCGGGGCTGGCCAGGAGCTCGACGAAGATGGGGACGGCGCCGGCTTCAATGACGACCTGGGTCTGGGTGGCCGAGCCCGAGGCGATGTTGGTCAGGGCCCAAGCAGCCTCAAACTGCACCAGAGTGTGCGGGGAGCGCAGGAACTCGACAAATCGGCTGACGACGCCCGTCTTGATGACCTCTTCGATGGGCGGGTTCCGCTCCTTGGACAGCAGTTTCCGGAACTTGGTGGTGGCTTGGATCTGCAGGTCGATTTGCTCCGAAAAGACGCCCTGGACCATCTGAGGGAGGTCCTCGTTCAACTAGACACATGACGAGTTAGTCGGCGCGATGCCCAAGAAATGATCAGGAGAGTCGAGGCGATCATGCTGCAGCGGGGTGCAGTCGAGAGTGTGGGGTCAAAGCAACAATGCCCGCCTCCCCCACATTGCGCTCGACGCACACCTACGACAAATGTTTGCTGGCGTCGCAGCAAAGGCAAACCAGAGAGGGGGGGGGGATGAAAAGGATCAAGCAAACAAAGGCCATGCGTACCTGCGATTCCGTGGGAGCCGACTCATCGTCGCTGTCGGGTGCAGCCCCGAGCGAGGCTCCAGGTCGGTTCTCGCCAGTGCCAATACCTCGTCGCTTGGCCAAGTTCTCCTCGCGCTTTGCCTTGCGGATCTCAACCTGCTGCTCCTCACGGCGACGACGGAGCTCCTCAGGTTTGAAGGTGTTCTTGGCCTTGAACTGTGTCCGGCGATGTTCGGGGATATATCGCTCGGCCATGGTGTCGGCTGGTGGTTTTTTTTCCTTGGGGTTTTTTTTTGGCTTGGGCTGCAAGCGGTGGTGGGCAGGCAAACGGCGCCAGGCGCTGTGCGGGGGCTTGTTGACGGAGGATTTGTTGCGGCCAATCCAGGAGCCACTGGACAAGGCGATATACGCTCAGCTCACAAGGCGTCCCTGTTGTTGTGCGGTCTGTCTTCAGGGGAAGCGTGCGGGACGTGGTGCTGACGGAGAAAAAAAAGTTGGAGGGTGAGGAGGGATAACTCTGGCGGCTGTCGAGGCGTTGCCGGAGAGGCAGAGAAGCTGCTACCGCTTTGGTGCCAAAACTGGGGTCTTTCTGCCTGAGGCACACTGGCTGCACGGTGGGATGCTGCGACAAACACCGGCTACTCGTCGGCCAGACTGAAAGCCTGCGACCCCGCAGGTGCTTTTTGCTAGCAGCCCTACTGTAGAGTTTCGGGCAGGGCCCGCGCGCGTTGCACGTGACTGCTAGACCTTTTGGCGTATGTCACGGCAGCTCCCTTGCAGATTCACGTGCTGTCGTGAATGACATGCGGCTAAGACGAGACGCGGTCGCCAAGCTGCCTTTACGCGTCGTCTTTGACCGACGATGCCGCCCGCGAGGCAACGGGCACAGCTCAACCAAACAGTCTCCGAGGCACATCCGCACTCAGCCTGCCCACGGCAGCCGGAATGGCTCAACTTACAGGCTGCAAGCTGCCCTCGGGCTACGTCGCCGTGCGCGATATTCTTGACGGCAAGTTCGCCGTGGGATCCAGAGTCAGCGTTGTTGGACTCGTGACAGACTTCAGGGCCCCGATTCCAACCAGAGGAACAGGTGAGGAGCTGGCACGCTTGTGCCCTAGATCTAGATGTGTTCTAACAATCTCAGATTGGAAATGCCAGATGCGATTCTACGATCAGTCCGTCGAGGACGACGACAACGAGTCGCTTCTGGTGAATATCTTCCGGCCCGAGAGCGACATGCCCGATGCGAGCTGCGGTGACGTAGTTGCCATTCTCGCTGCCAAAGTACGTGCTTCTCTGCCTGAGTCTCCGGAAGCTAACAAGCCTGTTAACCTTAGGTGCAAAGGTTTCGCTCCGAGTACTTTTCCTTGTGCACTCACCTTGCCACTGTGATCCATGTCTACGAGACCAGTAAGATTCCCAAACCTCCAAGGGACGCGACCTCTGCCTTGCGCCCGTCCAACGCGAAAGAGGCGCCAAGTCGAGCTCAGGGCGAGTTCGTCTCTGTCCTCCATGACTCCATCAACAAGACCAGACTTCCTTCCGATTCGCGGTTTGAATCCATGAAGGAAATGTCCGTCAATGTCAACAAAAAGCTCTGCGCGCTTCAAGACGTGTGGGATGGTAGATTCGCCGATGTCATCGCGCAAATCGTCAGGGATCCGTACGACTTGGTCGACAAAATATGTCTTTGGATATCCGACTACACGGAGAACCCGTCCTTCTTTCACTTTTCGTACACAGGCAACGACGGCCAAACAGGAGATCCTTATGGCTACGGGGCCAATTTCTCGGATGGCACAAAGAACGAGTGGGCAGGTCCATTTGGGAAGCGAAGCATGCAAGTGACATGCTTCGATCCGCATGCCTCAGTAATTCGCAGTAGCGGCCTATCCAATGGATCGTGGATACTTTTGCGCAATTTGCAAATCAAATTGGGGCGCAACGGCTCAAACCTAGAAGGCTACCTGCGGGAGGATCGCTCAGCTCAGGGGCCCAAGATCAATGTGACGCGCCTAGACCCGACTCAAGATCCCGAAGGGATCAGTCCGCTGTTCAAGGATGCGATTCGTCGCAAGCGAGACTACGAAAGGAGTAAAAAGGATCAGCTCAAGGAGATCACCGAGGCAGCCCTGGCAGGACAGAAACGGAGAGCCGACATGGGACCGGATAGCGAGCCAAAGAAAAGAAAAAAGAACAAAAACAAGAGGAAGAAGAAGCGCCAGAACTCGGACGCATTACAGGGGGCGCAGGAGGGAGAGCCAGAAGGCACCCTCGTCTCGGTGCCAGACATGAACACGCAAGGTAAGCTGACCCCCTCAACGTCCCCTCACAGCTGGGACCCGGCGCTGACTAGACAGTGAAATGCGAAAACGAGAACAAGCCTCTGAGCCTCATCGCGGATATCTTGGAGCCCGTGCATCATGAAACGACCGTTGACGGGGAGGCTGTCAAGCTACAACTACCATTCGTCAACGCCAAGTACCGCAGCAACGTGCGTGTGGTCGACTTCATGCCCTCCCACTTAGAGGACTTTTCCCGCCCCAGGAAGGTCTCGGAGTACGACAGCCTCTCAGACCACGAGTCCGAGTCCGAGTCGGAAGCAGAGGCGACGACCTCGGCGGCCACCACGGCCTGGGAATGGCGCTTCTACCTGGAACTGGAGGATGCAGTTGTCAGGCCCGGACAGCAGAAGAAGAGGTTCTGGGTCCTTGTGGACAACCAGGCCGCGCAGTGCCTGATGGACTTGGACGCCTCAGACCTAAGGCGCAACCACGAAGACCTCGAGGCGCTGCGCAGCCGGCTGTTCATCTTGTGGGGAGAGCTCGAGGAGCACAAAGCGCGAGCGGAGAAGCTAGCTGCAGAGAGCACCCATAACCGGCCTCCGGACGACAGCGACGACGACAAGCGCCGGGCTGCCAAGACGACGCGGACCTCAGCGAACCGCCCCTTTTCGTGCTGCATCCGCCAGTACGGCGTCAAGATGGCCGAGCCCGACAGGCGGAAGGCCGATGCAGGCGACGGGAGGCGGTGGCAGAGGATGTTTGGGTTGTTTGGCACCCGGGTGGCGACGATGTAAAGACTCAGGGCTCAAAGCGGGAGTTTTGTCTTTGTTGGTTTCGATATATACCCCCCAAACACACAAAATGAAGCTTTTTTTTGCTTAGACACGGGCGATACACGCATCATGGCAACCTGATCAATTGATAATTGATGACGCTGCCAGACATAATCAACGCCGGGCCTGCGTGATGTTACCACCGGCCTACTTGCTCCATTCTCCCAGCCTTCTTCCCCCCTTCCACGCCGAGGCACCCGAGTACACGCCAACAAGTATTCTCCGTACACTAGAAGAGTAGAAAAGGAATATTGGTTCAAGAGGGGTGACGAGGTGTAGAATACCAAAAAAGGGGTCCTGCATTTCCGGCCACGCGCGCTCTCCCGCTCCCGCTCCCGCTCAATCGCCGAGGACATCATCGTCAATATCATCGGCCAGCGGCTCAGGCTCATCCTCGCCGTCCTCGATGGGGTCATCATCGAGCAGCTCTCTGCGCCTCAAGTCCTCCCTAGAACCCTCCTCAGGCTCGACATCCTCAAGCACGCTGTCTTCGTCGTGCTCCTCTTCCTCTTCCTCGTCGTCGTGGTCATCGTCGTCGTGGACAGTTTCCTCGCTGAGGGCAGCCTTGCGCGACCCGGCCGAGGGGTGATTGTTGCTTTTGGCAGCGGCGGCGGCGGCGGCGGGCTTCTTGGGCCGCTTGCCGGCCATGAGATTGTCGCCCTCGAGGTATGCGACGACCTCTTTGAAGTTGTTGCCGAGCTTGGCTTTGTTACGGAGGATGCGCCGGCGGAGCTTGCCGGCCTGGGAGCCGCGGTTGTCAAAAAGGTCGGCCGTGATGGCCAGCACGTACTTGGCCGTCAGCTCGCAAAGCGCCTTTTCTGCCCTGAGCTCGGCGGTGTAGCGCTCTTCCTTGGACAAGCCCTCGTCGTCGTCGTCGTCGTCGAGCTCCTCATCGTCGGCCAGAGGGTCCTCGTCCTCGGCCGGTTCGTTGAGCGTCTTGTCCTTCTTGGCCTTTCTGGCGTACTGCTTCTCCGCGCCGTCAAAGATGGACATGAGTTCCGGTACCAGCCCCGGCTCAATCTCCTGCATCAGGACCCGGAGCTTGTCAGCCCGCGGTTGCTGGGCCCCGGGGCTCGACGAGCTGCCCAAGCCCTTGAGCAGGCGGCGGAGCGTGGCAAACGTCAGGTGCAGGTCGCACAGGCTGCCGGTGGAGTAGAGGCGGAGCTGGTCGATGGCGGCCCGCGACGAAAACGTCTCAATCAGGTGTCTGCGGTACGTCTGGCGCAGGACCGAGAGCCTGTCGAGCTCGGCGTCGGAGATGCTGGCGCCGCCGAGAAGCAGCTGAGACAATGCCCGCGTTTTCCACATGAAGTAAAACTGGCAGGCTTTGATGGCGAACGAAACCACCTCGTCTTCGAGATCGTCAATCTCGTCCTCTTGCGGCTCAAACTTGCCGCGGTGCACAATATTGCTGAGGATCTCAATGGCAGGCGCATTGGAATCGTTGGACCTCGGCGTGGCCTCCAGAGCGTCGACGCAGTCGGATACGCTGGCCAGCTTGCCAATCTTCAGCAACGTCGTCGACAGTTCACGGAGCGGGGCGGCTGCGAGATTGTCGCGGATTGAGAGCTCGCACGTCTTGTCAAAGTTGCGCAGCGCGTTAATGACGTTCTCCCACAGCAGGGATAGCTTGCTGTCGGTCAGTTCCTCGAGCTCCTCGTACTGGCGGGCGTGCAGGAGAGCCGACGTGGCCTCGGACAAGACTCGTTTGTCGTCGTGCCTGTTGAACTGCGTGCTGATCTCGTCGAGGAGCTTCTCATACTTGGACGCGTCCTGTCGCAGCTGCTGGAAGACGTCGAGGTTGAGGCAATGTTCCAGCCGCAGCACAATGGCTGCCGTCTCGGGCTCCGCACCAAACTTGTTGAGAAGTTTCGGAATGACCGTGGTCAGCTCAAGTGCCGTTTCTTCTTGCGCCTCGGCTGCTTCGGAGCGGTGGCCCCTCCGCTTGTTCCTGTCGTGCTCGCTCGTCTGTGCCAGGCTCGACTTGATTGCCGAGCACAACACGTCGAGCAGTATCGACTCCTCAGCAGAAGTGGGCGCGACGGCCCTCTTAAAAGCCGCCTCGGTCGAGTTCGCTGCAGCATTAGACTTGGGCCTAGACTTGGTGCTGGTCGTATGGTCGAAGAGCAGATAGCCTGCGAGCAGCTCCCACGTCTTGACCTCTGGAAGCTTCTCGTACAGCACGTGCGCGGCAAGGGAGATTCGCGTGTCCGGGACGGCGGCCTCGAGCAAGTCGGCGGCCGCATCCAGATCGACGACTGCCCCATCGTGTTGCGACTCTTCAATCTGTGCATCGTAGATGGCCAGTGTTTCCGAGAGACACTTGATGTTGACCCATTCCTTGCGCGGCGACTCAAAGTCGTCCTCGTCGGCGTCGTCAATCTCGTCCAGGGCATCGGCCCCGCCCATTTCCTCCAGCTTGCCTTCGTGGACGTCTTCGATACAGGCCACGAAGAAGTTGACCACAGCCTTGCGGATCCTCAGCTCAGTGTCGAAAATGAGCTTGCCGATGGCGTCAATCTCGTTGGGCTCGAGCAGCGCTGCGGCGCGCAGGGTGTCGATGACGTTGATGGCGGCAACCCTGACTGGCACCTCTGAGTCCAGCGTGGCCATCTCAATTAGCCTGGGCCGGAACCTGTCGATGAAGTGACCGAGCTGCTGTGCGTCGCGTTTAAAGACCCTGTGGAGCTGTTTCAAGACCTCCTGGCGCGTCGGCGCGTTTGTGTCTGAGAGCATCCAGCCGAGATATCGCAGATAGCCCGGCTCCATGAAGACGGTGGGCAGATTCCAAATCCAAGACCCCAAGGCTTCGACGCACTCGGTGCGAATCTTGGGATCCACGTCGCGGTATCGGTGGACAAAGACGGTGTCGAAGAAGGACTGGATAGCCTCGCTGCACGTCTTGCGATAGCCGTTGGCTTCGGTCAGGCCGCGCTGGATTTCTGCCGCCTTGGACTTGTTCTTGCCCTTTTTGGCGGCCAGGGATTGCTGCTCTATGGTGGCTATTCTTCGATCCAGCACGCCCGCGATATCAATCAGCCCTGCCTGCACCGAGAGAGCCACCGTCGTTGCTGTGTGGCGAAAGGGTCGCAGCGTCGATGACGACATGCTCGCGAGCCATGCGTGGAGATTGTCCATCAAGTCTGGGTCTTTGTAGAGGACGTCGGTTTCATGGAGAAGAGAGATTAAGGAGTGGAAGAATGCGATGAGCATTTCTCGGAACGACCTGGTGTTCTTGGCCCTTGAGATTAGGGGGTATTCTGTGATTTGTTGCTGCTCGGCGTTAGCTGCACGTCCACAAGGTTGGACGAAACAATCAACAGATGGAATGCGCGCACCTCTTGATAGACGTTTTGGAGATCGACCAGTCTGTTGGGGATATTTTCCGGGTCGCGAATGTCATCCGTGGTCACTTCGAGGTCGCAGCCGGCGCATTGCAAGATGCAGTTGACCAGGTCGCTCATAGCGGCCGCGTCGTCCTGCCTGTACCGCTCCAACCACTGCTGAGAGACGGCTTCGGGGGTGTCGCCGGAACCGAAGATGTCGGCTGCGACTGGTCAGCTCGGATCCAGCGGCCCAGCAGCCAGTGCTTCTACTCACCAAAGACGCCTGTTCCCTTTTCTCCAGCGTCGATGCGCACGGTCTTCTTGGGCCTGCTAGGGATGCGAGCTACATGGCCCGACGCGACAGGCTGGGTGCCGTTGATCTTGGGCTTCTTGGACGAGGGCTTCTTGGGGCGTGCGCCTTGCGACGGCTTGCGCGACGATCTCGGGGCTGGATGGTCATCGTCGCTGGCAGCATCGGGCTCGTCGCTCATGTCGTCGTCGGAAAGGGGATCCGCGTCGTCGGCATCATCGCCATCGTGGTCGTCTCGCTTGCGCTTGGACGCTGAGGGGGCCGTGGCCTCGGGCGCGAACTTGGTTGGGGCCTTGACGACGCGTCCGGACCTGCTGCGACGCGCCGTCGAGTCCGGGTCGGGGGATGCGCTGGCGCTGGCGCTGACGTGGTCGTCCATGATGTCTCCAAGGGGGGGTGGGCAGGCAAGGCTTCAGGCGGGCGGCATCTGCGGAGTCGTGGAGCCAAGCAAGCGACTCTGGGGAGGGGAGTTTGGAATCGCGATATTGATGTTTCTTAGCGGCCTGGCGCGCGTTGGCGTTTGGCGGGGGTGGGTGGTTAATTCTTTGGGCAAAAAGTGGATACCGATGCGCGAGCCGATCGGAAAATCTCCGGGAGGGTGGCAGGGACGGCTGGCCAATCGGGGCGTCGCATGGTGCTCTCTTAGGTAATAAGGCAGACCAGAGTCTGTTGCGTGCCCTCTTCTGCTGCTTCCTCTGCAACTACCACACCATCCTCACCAGCGGTACGCAAGCTTCGCTGTGACTGCACACACACTCACGCACCCTCGTCGTGAATTGACGCCTGTCGGCATGCATGGTTGCCTGCGCTATACCGGCCTGGCCTTACCTGCTAGCCAGGGCTCCGCAGCCATCGCCGTCATCGCTCGCAACGGCCCCTGTAGGTGCGTGCGTCTGTGTCTAGTGTTGAAGACTGCGTCTGTTTATTACCACACGACCTCTCTTACGTACAACTTACTACTTCGTACGTGTCTCAGCCGGGCAGGTCCGGCAGTCCAAGAGAGACTGCGCGGGGGCGCCCTGTCGCCTGACCAAGCCCATGCCGACGTCTGCCCATCCAACGACCTCGTTTCGTCTTGGACTGCTCAGCAATCTCTGCTATCTTCTTCTTGCCAGGCCATGCTCCGTGCCCGCTCGCTCGCGCAATGGTCCAGCTGCACACTCACCCCTTTCCCAAGTCTTCGGCCTCTCCCGGACAGGGCAAAATCGTTGCCAAGCTCCTCCCGGGCGGAGGCAACGGCCTCGAGTCCATCGTATATCAATATCCTCTGAAGCTCATCTCGCCCACCACTCCTTCTGGCGGCCAGAAGAGCGTGCTCGTCTTTCTCCTATCCTACGGCGGCGGCCTGGTGGGAGGTGACACCGTCAGCTTGTCCGTCGTCATCCGCGCCGGAGCCAGCTTGAGTCTTGTCACCCAGGGCCACACCAAGATTTTCAAGTCTCCTTCTCCCAACGTCGTGACAAGTCAGGTCATGCATGTGCGGATGGACCAGGACTCGGCTCTCTGTCTCCTTCCTGACCCGGTTCAGCCGTTCGAGGACAGCGCTTATGCGCAGACGCAGATCTTCGAACTGGCCAGCCGATGCTCCCTGTGCCTCTTGGACTGGGTGACTGCCGGCCGCACGGCTCGCGGAGAGATGTGGAGTTTCGTCAAGTGGAAGGGACGAAACGAGGTCTGGCTGCGCGGTGCCGAGGACCGAAACCGTCTCTTGGTCAGAGACACGGTTCTGCTCTCGCGAGACGGCAGCACGGCCGTTGGTCTGCCTTTGAGGGAGACGATGCACCAAATGACCATCTTTGGCACCCTCATCCTGCGCGGGGTCATGCTGGAACCGCTCGCCAAGTTCTTTCTCGCCGAGTTCGATGCCTTGCCGCGCTTAGGTGCTCGCGACTTTCGTTCCAAGGAAGCCCGCGAGGAAGAGGCCAAGAACATGTCCAACTTTGAGCACTGGCGCTCCCGACGGATCGAAGACGAAGCGAGTCAGGGCGTACTGTGGTCGGCGGCGCGTGTCCGGGGCTGCGTCGTGGTCAAGTTTGCTGCTCCTACCGTGGAGGCTGGCAGGGAGTGGATAGGATCCATGTTGGTCAAGGAGGGCACCGTGGATGCTCGGTTTGGCCATGAGGCATTGATGTGTGTGAGGTGAACGTACGCCTAATGAAGCCTTAGTCTTCTTATGAGAAGCCTGCTTAATACGCTTATTAGGGACAATATGGCGAAAAGGGCCAGGCGAGTGGCAGACAGGTTTGTTCGCCTCAGAGTGAAGCTGCGTCCCACAAGTCGAGCTGCAGAGACAGCAATGGCATGATGTATTCTCATCATGATTAGGTCGTTACAGCCTTACAGGATATGTCATGGAGTACGTCGGCGTCAGCATCAAAGGAGGATCTCTGAGAACGCGACGAGCGACAAGATCTGCATCGCAATGAGCACAGCTCACAGGCAACCTGGCCCGTAAGGTCATTCCACGGTCTTTGCAGCGAGGGTAGAGACGCGTCGTGGCGGCGCAGCGCTTCGTCGAAGCCTTACACGAAGTACATGTCATGGGTGAGTCATCGGGGAAGGCGGTGATGCAAAAGACCGGCAGAAAAGCTTCTCCCCACCATAGTGCCCCTCCACCGCCCAAATTTTCTGGGGCTTCACGACATTTCAAACCTTGACCGATCGCCCTCACTCAAATCTCATGACCCTTCCCGAGTCATAGCTAAAGAGTCGCCATGAACCGCGGAAGGGCACCTGCTCGGGGCGGTCGTCGCCCCCGAGGTGGGGGCGCAGCGGAAAGTACCGATGAAGCCGGAAGTTCGACTGCACGCGAGCCCAGCACGACACACTCAGAAAGCGCTGGCGCGTCCAGTGCGACGGCACGCCGCGGCGCCGCAACTTCTCGAGCGACGCGCGCGCCTTCGGCTGGCCGCTTTCGACCCAGAGCCGTCCGACGAGATGAGGCCGATAGAGATGTCCTAGCACGCCAGGAGGAGCAAAAGGCGAGCGAAAGGGCTGCCGAAGAGCGGCGGGCCCGCGGTCGTTCCCGTCTTAGAAGCAGGAGAAGTCGCGGAGATGCAATGGGCAGTCGGGGCACCTCGACCGCCAGCGGGCCGTTCTCTGGAGGGTTTGCCGGATGCACGTCTCACTTCAGATACATGTCTACCAGATGGGCTGTGCTGACCACTTGAACAGCTTCAAGTCGATCGGGCGGCTGGTTCGGCGGCGGCGGTGGCGGACCTGGCGGCGGATTCGGCGGCGGCGGCGGTAGATCCTTCAAGTCTGAAGGCAAGGGGTTTAGCCAAGCAGATGCTTCGCGAAGGCGCGAAACCAGAATTAACGCCGACAGGCTTCATGTCATGACTCCCGCCGAAGAACTCGACAGCGACGACGATGCCACGATGCAGGCGCTGAAAACCCGAACGGCCAGCACAATGCCGATGGGCATATACCGAAGGGAGCACAAGGAACAGGGAGTGGTCGTGGCTACTACGGCCGAGCTGGAGGCGGCGGATCAAGCCAATGGCGAGGAGGAAAGCCTCTGGGTCGACGGGGAGGGATCTGCACCACCAGCACAGCTGCCTGAGGAGGGCGTATGGGATGTCAAGGCGGACAAAAAGGTTCACATTAAGCAAGAGCCCGAGATCGAAGACAAGATGGATCTCGACAGTGAGATCAAGCAGGCGCCTGGAAAGGGAAAGGAGCCTGCCCTGGAAGCAAAGCCCAAGAAGGAGGTCGCGCAGGACCCCGAAGAGAAGACAATCCAGGACGACATGCAGCTTCTCGCGAGCGAGCTGGGGGCCGTCACAATGACCGAGGACGGCAAAATCAAGACCGAGGGACCGGCGAACAAGGACGGCCGGCTGTACTTGTTTCAGTTTCCGCCTCTGCTGCCGCCCCTGAAGATGACGTCTGGTTCGCATCCCAACGTCAAGGAGGAGCGCGGTTCTTTCGGCGGGCTCGACGCGGCGCCCGTCGACCTGACCCGGGAAGATGCCGGGCGGCGTGCAGGGGCCGAGACGGCGGCGGAGGAGGAGGAGGAAGACGAAGACGAAGAGGAGGCGGCAGGCGGATTCCGGTCGCAGCTGCTCTCGCGGGGCGGCATGATCGGCAAGCTCAACGTGCGGCGGTCGGGCAAGGTGGAGTTCGACTGGGGCGGCATGACGCTCGAGATGAGCCCCGCGGCGGGCATGAACTTTTTGACGACGGCTGTCATTGTGGAGGAGAACGACGAGAAGGCGCAGCACGACAAGGTGGGCGGCGACGCCGTGGGCATGGGCAAGATCATGGGGCGCTTCATCCTGGCACCCATCTGGAGCGACGAGGAGGAATGGAACGTTGCGCCTGAGGAGCTGGCTGTGGAGTGAGCGCGAGAAGGCCCGCCCGAACAACCTCCCAGCCCCAGATGTCACGACGAAACGACGCCTTGTTTTGCGGCGTGCCAAGTTGCGCGCGTCTTTGTCTGGGCATCGCCATCGTTGCGAGCATATATCGTGGTCCATCCATGCAGGGACACAAGCAGCGGACACACCCCCCCCCGCCGCCAAAGCTTCCCCCGTCTCACGACCAGCCCGACAAAAACCCCGAGGTCAGCCAGCGCGATACCCGGACGAAAGGCGTTGGACGGCCTGCCTTTCGTCGTTGGCTTCTCACCAGGGACCACCCATGTCGGGGAAACCGTCTTGCAAAGGGGCAAGGAAAGCCGCCTTGGACGAAAGAGGAGTCGGACGCCCGAGATGACCACACCATTTCCTCCCCTCCACCCATATATATATATACCGTCGTCGGGCACTTTTCAAGGACCCCACCCTCACCATCATTATCCTCCACGTCCTTGCTGGCGCTCATTTTCCCCCGGGTTGAAGCACGGGGACCTAGGGCAGCGAAGTAGGCAAAGCTAGGTAGCGGCTTTATTACGAAGTACACGTGCCTCGGCAAGCAAGTGATAAATCAGCCATGTATTCGCTGCCTTTCCCCACCGTTGCGTCGTGGGGCAGGAGGGTCAATGCAGGGCGCGAGGCTGGCAGCGACCAATAGGCGAGGCATCACGTTGACGCAAGAGGGGTCGCATTTACGGAATAGGCTCGTCTGGACGCGCGCAGTAGGGTAGAGGAGATTGATTCTCCCATTGTCAAGCGCAACCAACACACGGCACGGTATGCCTACGTCGCGTCCTACTGTCACGTACGCAGACAGCCAGATAACTCCCCCCTCCCACCCCCTGCGGCAGCGGCTACTTCAAACTTCCGCAGCTCGCCCTGCGCATCTGCTCCCTGCAGCCTGTATGCATGGCATGTATGTATTTCGGCTCCCTTTCCTGTGTTGCGATGGGGGGGCGCGGTGCCGCACCCGCTTGATAGCCATCATCACGGGATCCGTGTGGCCGTGGCGCGGAGCAGACATGTAGGTGACAGCAGGTCCAGCAGACAGGCAAGACATGAACAAGCACAAGAGAAGAGAGCAGATGAAGCGGCCCGAGGTAGAAGAGAGTGAGAAATTCAAGTATATACAGTGAAGAAGAAAAATGGCGGAGTAAAAGGGAAGCAGAGTATGTACAGTAATTACACATATGTACACACATATAGATACAAGACTTTTCCGTAGACCTCAGCGAGGGAACAGGTCGAAAGGCAGTACTCCCCTTGGTATCATGGCCGTAACAAGAAGCCACCCCAAAACGACAAACGCCATACGCCCTCGGCATCCTGGGCCCGAGCAAAGGAAACATCAAGACTCGGCGAGTCATTCCTCGTCAACGTCTGCTTGGAACGCCGAGGCCGTTCTGGGTTTGCGCCTCCAAGTCGTGAGGCCCAAAGTCGTGCGCCTCCGAGTCGCTGGCCTCGTCCACCGACTGGTTCGCCTCCTCGTCGTCCTTTATACTGGACGGGATGCTGTCCTCCATGGCGAGAATCTCGCTTATCGAATCACCTCCCAGCATATCCTTGGGCCGTTTGCGCTGAGGGCGTCCTTTGCTCTCGAGTGCCACGTTGGTGTTGTCGGCCTCGACATCCGGCTGTCGAAAGTCGGACTCATCGTCGATATTGTCCAGTGACATGTCGCTGACGCCGGCTGTGGCAAACGTGGTCCCATGCCTAGTCGACATCTTGTTATCATTCGAGTATCCCCGGGCCGTCGACATTTCCGAGTTCTGCGTCCTGCCGGCGGAAGATCTGCCGCCAGAGGTAAAGCCGCGGATTCGAAAGACGCGCAGAAGAGGCCGGACTGTCGCCAGACTCGACGCAAAGATGGCGACGCCGGGTTCCACAATGGTCCAAATCATGGCATCGACGGCCGAATCTGGTAACGATTAGCCCCAGCACTATCCTCGGCATCGAAACGCACTCACACAGCAAATCCCCGGTATCCTGGAGCTTGTTCAAGAATTTAAGTCTGATGAGAGTGGCGATACTGGCACTGCACGGGGTCGGTCAATGAGGAGAGTCTTTGACGAGACGAGACGGGAGAGAAAAGGGGGAAGCATACAAGATGCCGAGGCCAAGGATAGCCACGACGGTCCACTTGGCTTGCTTGGTCATCTTGACGTTCCAAACCATGGGAACTGGTAGAAGCGCCTGTGTTCCACGCGTCAGTCTCACCATGGTCGTGCCGTTGTGGAGTCACTCACATAGAGCCAGTCCGACAGCACGGTCAAGACGCTGAGGGCATAGGCCGACGCGATGATAGCATCGGGGCTGGCGCAGAAGCCCCTTTCGATACGAAAGTCCCATTGCTTGGCCACGGGGGTGCACTGGAAGATGTTCCAGATGAAGATTCCCAGGCCCCAGAGGGTGAAGACGACAAGGCTGATCCAAAGAATCCACTTGTAGGCGGTCCAGACGGCTAGCCGGAGTAGGAAGACGCCGATGCTGAGCTTGATGAAGACCATGTTGAGGACGTACACGGCGGTCGCGATGGCTTGCCACTATTTGCGCATGAGCAACGGCCGATGGCCATTGGGCGGATTTTACAGCAAGGTGGACACGTACCATGAGGGCTGCAACAAGGTCGTCGGGGTCCGTGACGGCCGCATTGTGCTTGCCCAGTCCTCTCCTGGTGCCCTCGATAATCATGGCACAGGTAGCAGTGAATATGACCTGGAGTGGTGCGTTAGTCGGCGTCACGGACACTGAGACGAGGAACCAACCTGAGCTATCAACATGAACCAGTCGTCAATCTGGAAACTCCTGGTCAGGACGGCTCTCGTGTACGTTCGCAGGCCAACGGCGATCCAGGTGAGCGGCAGCAAGACGGCGCATGTTATGATCAGGGCCGAGACACCGTCTTGGTTGAGGTCGACGTCTTGCGTGACCCAGCCGGCCATGGCTGCCATGTCGCCCATGTCGGTTCGATGTGACGGGCCGAAGCCAGCAGGCAATATGATATCCGGGCTACCTTGTCGGTGCGAGCAATAGGGGTGGTGATGGTGGCAGCAGGTACTGCGGTTGACTGATGGGTCTGGAGAGAGCGCGAGAGTCGACTGGCAAGCCGAGGGGTCGTAAGCGCGTACACATGGGAGCGGTGACGGGGGCGGAAAATAGGAGATGGCGACGGATAATGTATTGCAGTGGCCATGGTCGTTGGCTGTCGAATTCAAACGTGAAGGGGCGGGTCCAGTCTAGGCGTTGAAGATGGACTGACATGGCTCGGGCCCACAAGGTTCCCGAGAGGAACGCAACGCAAGCGTCTGGACGCGATTAGGTTTGGAGGCCGAGCCATTGGCTTGGCCGTGCATCCGTCAAAGGGTCGACGTGCAGGTGCATGCACGAGCTTCCGATTGGGCAAGTTTGTAACCAGAATGATTGCCCAAGTTGGGAATCAAGTCCGCAGGAGACGAGGTACGCGGTCCTGGGACTCCCAGCAGTGCCATGGCGACTCGACGACGGAGAGCTGTGTGAAGAGAAGGCTTTAGGCCAGCTTGGCGGCTAGTGAGTTGGCAGCTAGCAGTCGACAAGGCCGGATGCAGCACACGCCGACTCCATTCGGGGCGTTAGCGCAGAGCCGGACTGGGCAAGCAGCCTGTGGAGGAATGGACGGGACAAGTCCTTGGTAAAGGAGCTCGCCAATCGTCCAATGGTGGCGCCTCGTCGAGAGACACGGGAAACAGGCGATAGATGGGGCTCGGAATATCAAGCCCAGTGGAGCATCATGAGCCGTTTGCCAGCCTCAGGCGACTGCCTGGTCCATATTGACTCGGCAAGGACGGCGCAGTGCAAGGCGGCTAGCACGTCTTGACGCCCGTCGATCCGTCGTCAGTCGGCGCCGGAGTCGAGGCACATTTCTGCCATGCGGCGCACGATGCTGCGCATGAGGCCACGAGCGACATCCGTTGGCTGAGTCTGGGCCGGAAAGGAAGAAAGGCCCAAGTGAAAAGGGATGAGGCTCGAGAAAAAAGTGTGCGGGTGGAAACTCGGTGTTCACGTGGCCCCAAGGCGTTGTGGATGGATGGGAAAGTGCGCGGATGGTGCATCCTTCTCGAGTCAAGCAAGAGTGATGATGATGATGATGTAAGAGTGATGTGAGAGTGAAGTGGATGCGCCTGCCTCCGCTACGTTCACACCGAACAGGCGCGCATCGCCGCTGCCTTTCTTGCCTGGAGGCGAGCGCAGGCTACCGTGACAGCATGTGTTGACGATGGATCCCCGAGAGAGGCCCGGCAATGGTTGTCCCTGTCGTTTCACCATGTTCCTCCAGTCGATCCTCGGGGGCCGGCCGATTGGGCCACCTGGGAAACCTTGCGCTCGGCCGACGGAACAGGTCTAGAGCTCTCTCATCAATCGTGAAGTCAGTCGCCCTTGTTCAAGGTTTGCTCGGCCTCTCGTGCTCCCGCCCTCTTCCATTCTTGCACCGTATCGACTTGCCTCCGCTGTTACCACCGACAAGGGGGCCCCCCATGTCTCCATCTCCGAGGTCCCCGCGCGGCACGACGTCGGGTCCTGCATGTGCAGTCTGGTTGGCAGTCGCGGGTATATGTATGAATGTACTGTAAGCCAAAGCCACGCCATGTCATGAGGCAGTGCGCATTCCCGAGCGTGACCGACGAACAAGGCTTCGGCGTCCATGGCCTCGGCCGCGGCGATTGGGTTTGAGCTTTGAAGCTTCACCACCCGTCCACCCACATGTCAGGTCAGCCCCGACACTTCTCGTTGCCGCACAAGCTGTACGGAAGCTGGTGAGAACAAGGGCAACAACGAAGAATAAACCGAGAGCGCATGTATATGTGAAAGACAGAGCGAGACAGAGAGACAGAGCGAGACAGAGAGCGAGAGCGAGAGCGAGAGCGAGAGAGAGAGAGAGAGAGAGAGATATGGCCCATGACCTCGACTACACGTGCCGGCAATACGGCAGCCATGTGCTCCAGCGAGTCGGCGTATGGCAACACAAGGCTCCAGCCCCCCAGCACGCGCCCTGGATAGTGTCTGTGGCTCTGTGCCATTCCCGCCCGCAACTCTCGTCCAGGCGCGGCTTCTCGGCTGACCACGACCCCCAGCTTCATCCACGGCGGCGCATGGCGAGACCCACGCAACACCCTCGACGACTTTGCGCCCTCCATCGCCCATCTCCTCGGCGCACCCATCCGCGCACCCATCCGCGCCTTCGCCAGCATCGACTACAGGCTGTCGCCTAGCGACGCCTATCCGCAGCACCCGGCCGACACCCCCGAGCCGGAGCGGCGCACCGCCCGCCACCCGGACCACGTCGCCGACGTCGCCGCCGCCCTGCGCCTCCTCGCCGCCGAGCACCGCCTGGCCGACGACGGCTACGTCCTCGTCGGCCACTCGGCCGGGGCCACGCTGGCGCTGCAGCTCCTCATGGGCGGCCATGACGGCGGCCCCCCGGTCCCGCTGCCGGCCGCCATCGTCGCCATCTCGGGCATCTACGACCTCGTCGGCATCAACGCCCGCCGCGCCGGCTCCTACGCCGCCTTCATCAGCGCCGCCTTCGGCCCCGAAGGCGACGGCGACGGCTGGCGCGCCGCCTCGCCGGCCTGCTTCTCGGGCAGCTTCCGCGACCGCTGGCCCGGCAACAACCGCCTGGCGCTGCTGGCGCACTCGCCCGACGACAGCCTCGTCGACGCCGCCGAGACGGACGCCATGGCTGCCAAGCTGGCCGCCGACGGCGTCGACGTGTCCGTCGTCAAGGACCTCACCGGCGAGCACAACTTTGTCTGGCAGGACGGCGAGCAGGTTGCCCGGCTGGTGGGCCAGGTCCTCGCCCGGCTACGCCAAGGAAAGGCGGGCGACTAACTACTGTAGATATCACTTGGCGAAATACGACGTGACAGTGCGCCTATGTGCATCATTATTCTTGTTCGTCTCCGTCTATCCTGAATTCTGCGACTACCGACTTTTTCTACTCTATCCCGGATTACTACACTGCTCGTTTCATTCCATCTTGGCCTCGTGGTCCCCCTCTACTCACCGTGGGTTCCCGGGCCCGTCTCCCTTGCTCGGCCCCCTCCGGCCCCCCTCCCGCACTAGATCTTGACCCTCCATCTCCAGCCCGTGGCCGCAACGCGCGAGGCGGCAAAGGTCAGCGCGGCGGCGGCCAGGACGACGCCGCCCCAGACCTGGGCCAAGCGGTACTCACCTCCGGAGCGGTCGATGATTGCGCCGGCCGTCGGGGGCCCTGCGAGGGTGGCAAAGGAACAGACCGTCTCGACCATGCCGAAGCGGATGCCCATCTTCCTGGGGTCCTCTGTCAGGCTCGCCAGGGCTGCGACGAACGTACCTTGGTTGGCGCTGACGGCCACGCCGAACATGACGCTGTAGACGTACATGGTGGTGCGCGTCGCCACGCCCATCCACCCGAAGACGACGCCGCACAGCAGCACCGTCGACAGGGTGAAGACGTTGATGGGGCCCAGGTGGTTGTTGGCCAGGTAGCCGGCCAGCGGCCGCGTGGGGATGCCGAGCGCGTTTGTGATGAGCAGCAGCGTGACCGAGTCGAGCGAGGAGAAGCCGATGATGTTGCGGGCATAGCTGTTGATCTGATGCTTGTCAGCGCCCTCCTTTTTCTCTCTTCATCTTCTTTCTCTCTCTCTCCCTCTCTGTCTCTCTCTCTCCCTCTCCCTCCTCGCTCGCTCCTCGGCTCTCCTCTCTTCTCTCGCTCACAACAGACAATCTCCTCCTCGCCCCCTCTGCTCACTTACATAAAAGAAGCCAAAGTAGAGGACGTAAAAGTTGAGAAAAGAGCCCAGGGCAAAGAGCATATACGGCAGCTCCCGAAACGCCTGCCACTCAATCCACGGCCCAGCCTTGCGCGGCGGCAGACACGGGCGCAGCAGCAGACAGGCCGCGGCACACACGACGAGGGCGACAAACGCGGAGCAGCGGACGGCCCAGGGGAAGCCCAGCGTCGGGGTGAGGTAGTGGACCGTGGCCGGGAAGACGAGGCTGCCGACCGAGGTGCCGACGGCGGCGACGGCCAGCGCCAGGGGCCGGTTTCGGCGGAAGTAGGAGCTCGCGACGGAGACGGCGGGCATGAAGGCGATGCCCAGCCCGAGCCCCGTGCACACGCCCTGCGCCAGGAAGATGTGCCAGTAGGTCGTGGCCAGGCTCGTCAGAAAGGTGCCCAGCACCGCCAGCGCGCACCCGGCGGCCACGGTGGCGCGCGCGTGGCCGGCGTCGGCGAGGCGGCCCGACACGGCGCACACGGCAAAGGACAGGAAGACCTGCACCGAGCCGATCCACGACACCTGCGCCGCCGGCAGGCCCAGCGTGTCGACGTAGTGCAGCTGGTACACGCCAAAGGTGGCCGCGTAGCCCCATGTCATGGCGTTGATGAGGTGCGCCGCGAGCACCTGCGACCACGCGCGCCAGCCGCCGTCGGGGGGGTCGAAGTAGTAGTCGTCGTCGTCGTCGGTTGCGGTGGATGGTGGTGCCGCTGGAGCTGGCCTGGTGGACGGCAAGGGGGGCTCGCCGTTGGTGTTGTTGTCATTGATGTTGGTGGTATATTCGTTGTTTCTTGGTCTGACGCTTCTGCCGCCCTGGTCCAAGCTGGCGTTATTCCTGACGCCATGCTCATCGTCAACGCCGTTGTCCACGTTGTTGCTCTTGTCGTCGAACCCCGTCATCGTCATCTTCCCACCATCGAGGGCGAAGTTGTCCACGCCCTCGACTCGGGCTGCCACAGCTCGCTTCTCGACGTCATATATCTTCGGATCCATGGCCTCATTGACCTCGCAGCGTTCGCAACAGTATATCGGCAGCCAACCTCGTCGACCATGCTACGCGTGTAAGTGTGTCTCCGGGGTACGACGCAGCTGTCCCAGATCTCGCTTCCGCTCCAAGAAAAATTCTCAGCATGATACACAGCTCTATATATGTGTGTGTGTGTGTGCCTATATGGATGTCTGGGTATACGGATATATATGTGTGTAATTTTTCTTGGCCATTCGTGTCCTCCCAGGGGCCCCAGAGAAAGCAGTAGAATTTTCTCACCCGTCTCCATAGACCATGTCTTGGCTCCCACCCGCATCCACGCTCCTCCACACGAGTCAGAGACCCTTCCACGAGCCATCGTGACTCTACAGCTAAGCGGGTCGATTGCCGGAGCCGTGGACGGTGGACTCTCAGCGGGACGGGGGGCCCGATGTCGCCGCAGTTCCTCGGCCCGGATGGACGACCCTTGTCGATGCGCCGCCGGGTGATGTCGCTCGAGGGAGAGGCGACGGCGGGGGAAAAGTGGAAACTCAACTTGCTCCCTCGCTTGCTACTCGGCAATTACAGTTGCGTGGGATTCGACCCCGTCGGCCGCCGTAACTTTGGCCAATTTACCCGTGTTTTTGTGCACGCACTCGGGCGCCGAGTCGCACGACCAAGGAGACGGCGAATGCGCTGACACGGTCTCTTCTTTAAGGCGCGACTGTGCATGGCGTACTACAAGCATCGTACGGGAACGGCGATTGCCTCGCGCGACATGTCCACCTCCATCGGGCGCATGGCTGCGTGTTAAAGCCCTATTTAGGGTAGGAAGCGCATGGTGAGTGAACCACCAGCCTGTAAGTACTATATAAAAAGAAGGTTGCGCCTCCGAGACCGGCTCGCCGAACTGAAAACAAGGCAACCCTTGAAGCAACAACGAGCTTTACTGTACGTAGCGGCGCGCATCGACGTTTATGCGCTGTGCGCCTTCCGGCCTCCGATATCCGGCGCTACGTCTCCTTTCTCTCTTCCCACTTTCCCGCCTGGCGCCACGCAATCGACAACAGTATCTACCACTCCACATGCCCAAATTTCTTTCTCTCTGCGCAAGCTTCCCCTAACCTGTCATCTCTCCGAAACCGCAATCTCCTCCGCAATCGCAACTTCGATCGCGACCGTCGACGAGCTTCCCCAGCTCAACCCCTCCAAAAGCGGGGCTCCTGCCATGACGTAAACAAGCCCTCGTGTGCTTAGTCACATGAGACTAAGTTACATCCAATCGGCTCGGCTCCCTGCATGTCGCACCCCTGTCAACGGCTTTTCCCGTCGCATTTGATCTAGCCGCATGCGGACTAGCGCATTGAAGCCAAGTCCAACGACCTGTCTGTCTGATCGCCTCTAGAAACAGCATCTGCAGCTGCGGATACAACATTGGTAAATAACATCCTGCGTTGCGTCTACTCTGAGCGTCTGCTCGCATGCGGGGGGGAAAGCTAGACAGCAGATAGTGTTCCCACTTGGCCCGTCGCTCGCCATTCTCCAGCACAGTCACTTTGGTAGCCCACTCATCTTCCCCCTTCACAAGGGACATCCAAGTCCATGCACTCGTCACCTCAAGCCATGGGATAAAACGAATCATAGTTGTATGTCTGGCGCTATCGCGTCTTTTTTTTTCTTCCCCTGATCCATATCGACACTCCGTCTCTGTCCCCAGAAACCCCCCCTCCTTTTCGGCAGTCAAACAGAGCCTCGCAAAACACAAGGAAAACTAAGGAGTGAGTGGTCAGGAGCGCAGAATCGGGAAACGAAAGGAAATCAAAATCGAGGCGCAAAATAAAAACACACACGGTTCCAGACAGGACAAGGAACCTCGAGAACCTGCCGAGCCAACGACAGCGACTTGGGGTAGTCTGGGTGAGACAGACACAGAAAATCAGAAGAAACAGTAAACCACCCTTTCCCCACTTCTGCAGTGTCGCCTGGACCAGCCCCTTGCCCCTTTCCGCCTGACGGACTCAGATGCAAAGAGGCTAGGCATCCAGACGTTCATAGTTCCGCCTGCATCTCGCAAAAAGGCCGTACCTGACAATCCACGCTACAGGACACTTCGCCGCCCCCGCTCCGTGGAGGCAAGATATTTCCAAGGCTCGCCTTGTCAGCTTTTTCTCTCCTTTCATCGCATCTTTTCTTGCTGGAGCTGTCCTGTCAACCTTCCCTTGGCCCGCAACTGACTCTTCACGACGAGCCCAGGGAAAACCTCGTCAGTCTCGCGACGCCACCGGGAAACCCATGTAGGGCGATTCCAAGAGGGGCAAACGGCGAGAAGCAACGAGTCTTTGAGGTAGACTGGAAAAGTGAAAGAAAGAAAGATTCCAGACCGTTGCTGTTGAAAGCGCCAAACACCACTTCTTCTCAACGCCAGGTCAAGGGAACGTAATGGCCCGGCATAGGGCGACGTGAGATTACACTCTCCTAGAAGAGTCATAAACAATTCAATCCGGAACTCATACAATAGGCTGAGGCCCCTGTACGTAATCGCCCGATGACGGCCCGACACTCGATTGTCGTTCCGGGTCATAGTCCAGAGTTGAATGCGACGGCGGCGCATGCAGTCGCTCCCAGCAATGCGCTGCAACCCAGAGGGACCGACACGCGCACCGAGGCGTGACCGTTGCTCCCCATCGCAGTCGCAATGGCGCCGGATTGACTCATTTCCCTGAGTGGGCATCGAGAATCCTTGCCGTCTTGCGCCTGGATATGGCAGCGCGTGCCGCCTACCGCTTGCGCTTCTTGGCCTTGTCGGCAGTCATGGCCGCCGTGGTGATGGGCGCGGCGGGCAGAAGAGCGGGCTGGGCAGGGAGAGGGGCATCGTCCTTGACAATCGGAACGCCCATGTGTCGACCATATCGGCCCTTGCGACCATTGCCCTCGTCTTCGCTGACACACTGGTCCGCCGAGAGCCCCGCGTCGCGGCAGCGACCGCACGGGCGCTGGCGATCGCAGCCTTTCTTACTCTTCCGGCATCGCTGGCAACGCGGTTTCGAAGACAGATCCGGATGCTCGTCCTCACCGGGCGGGGGCATGTATCCGGTGGAAGCCACGGACTGCTTGCGCGAGTGCGTCATTGACGCCGGCGACATGGGCCCGGCGCCGGCGGCGGGCTGCTTCTTGGCCTTGACGCTGGGCGGCCGCGCGGCCTTGGTCTTTGGCGCTGCCGGCTTGGAGCCAGAAGACGACATCTTGTGCTTGACCGACGACGGCTTCTTGGCAGGGAGCGACTTGATTTCACCCACTGAACTGTTTGCGCCGTCCTCGAAGTCGGCGTCATCACCACTGACATCAGCGCTCTCGGTTGTAGGAATGAAGTGCGCCTCCGTCGTCTCAAATATGCGCTTGGCGCCGGCGGCCACGTCCGGGACCTGGCGGCGCGGCGCACCATGCTCACGGTCGCTGTCGCTCTCGCCATCGCTAGTGGCGCCCGTGGACGAGGCAGCGTCGGCTCTGCCGCTAAAGGTGTCGTCCGTGGTGGAAGCCGAAGTCCGGCCGTGGGAGACGTTTGACGACTCGCCGAGTCTCATAAGCTGAATGGCGACATCTTTGTCCTCCTCCGACATGCAGCTGCCGACGGTGGGATCGGGCGTCGGGAGGACACCCAATCCGGTAGCCACACCACTCCCGTTGCTGGCGTACCCAATGCTGCCGCGGGAGCGATGGCCTTGGGAAGCGGGAGTGGCATACATGTTGGAGTGAACAAGGCCATTGTTATAATTTTGCGGGGACTGCATCGGGCGCGGGTTCGTAAAGGGATTCTGGCCCGGATGCACAAAAGGCAGCGACGGCCGGTGATGCTCGATTCGGCGAGCCGGGGAGACGGAAGGGTTCGAGGTTGCCGCTGGCATCTGCGGGGGCGCAAACAGAGGCAACTCCTGGGAAGAGTATCAATACATGACGTGGACGACTGGCGGCAAGCATGATTTCTCGGGCCTGTTGGGTCGGTGTGAGACGAAGGGGGGAGATTGCCTACCGAGCTCTCAAACTTGGCCCTCTTGCGACGACCACCCTCGACAATGTTTTCGACGCTTATGTCCGTATTGCCCAGCTGCTCCTTGTTCTTTCCAGACGTGGTGCTGGGGGCGCCGTCTCCGCTGCTGTACCCATTGAGGCTATCGCTGTAGGTATCAGCATGGCTGTGGGCCACAGATCTCCGGTTCTTGACAGACCGAGACCGCCCTTTCTTGCTCGAAGTGCTCGTGGAGTCGCTTCGCCGACCACGGGTCGCATTGGGGGAGGGACTGCGCCTGCGCGACGCCCGGGAAGCTGGCCTGTGCATGTCCTGATCAAAGCGCTGCGGCTGCTGAGCCTGGAAGTCCTCGGCTGGGTAGTATGACTCTGACCCAACGGTTGCGGGATGGAACGGATGCGGCGCAAAGGCGGTAGGCGGCTCCTCAATCACCCGCACGTAGACGACCATGTTATTGCGAAAGTTCTCGTATCGCGCAATCAGTGTGTTGGCATTGTCGTCCTCGAAGCTCACACCCTTGGAGCCGGTTGGCCCGGAGTACAGACCGTAAAAATTCTTGACCGTCGTGACGATGGAGTCGGTGGTGTCATGGGGGTAAATCTGCACCCGCATGGGCAGGCGCGCGCGATACTGCGGCGAGTTGGAGAACATCAACTCGAATGCGACGTTCTTGGGCGTTGCCGTCTGCCGCGGTGAGACACTGCCTCCATTGGAGGAGGGGCCGGACGCGGCAGCAGCGGTATCTATCGGCGACATGGAAGCCATGGAGCCTGGGTATTGGCTGTCGATGCCGATGGCAGGTTGTGCGGTCGATGATGGAGAGAGGTTCGAGGGAAGATGATTGGGAAGAGGGGAGAGAGGGGGTGGTTGCGGGTTTTGTGTGCGTGAGCAGACTGGGGAGTCGTGCACCGCAGTATCGCTCAACAAGACGGTCGGCAATCTCGCGGCGGCCGGCGTCAACAAGAGTCTGTTGTAGCCGCCGACTTGAAGACGGTGGTTCGTGAGGAGATCAACTCAAGAGGGCAACACCATCGAGGCCGCAGACGGTAAGCGCCGACTTGGTTCGTCGGCCCCGGGGCTTGCGCGACGAACAACAGCGACCGGTGCCACAGGGTGGCGACGACTGGGGGAGCGACTGCGAGACAAGACGAGTTGATTAGCAAGGAACAGCTCGCCGAGCATCGATGTGAGGGCAGAGGCAGCGAGGATGAGGCGGCTCGCTGCCAGCGACGGGGCGTCCCCAAGGTCGGGGGGCGACTGGGCGCTCGGCAGACGAGGCAGGGCGGCGCCCCGAGGATGTGGAGGATTGGGGAGGGCAATATGAAGGCATGGAAGCGATCGCATATGATGGGAGAGGCGACAAGACTTACCAGAGAGGCCAGGAGTGGATTGTGCTGGTGGTGCTGGCGGCGAAGGCGGAAGAATGTGTGCAGAGGAAAAGAGGAGCAGCTTAGGCGAGGTCGAACGATTTTGTCGCTGGCTGGATCTGGCGCACCTGTAGGAGCCCTGAAGGTTAGGTGCCTTGGGTCTCCTCACTTGGAACTGCCGGCGGCGACGGGCCCCAGGTTCCAGGTTGTTCCACCACTAAAAGCGAGAAGCGCCAGGCCTGAAGCTCCGGCGCCTACAGGGCGTGGTAGGCCTGGCGAGCCACTAAGTAGCCAGGCGACTGCCCGACCTGGACTCTTGTTGATGTCCCCGACTTGACTTGCAGGTGCCCAAATCGACAATGAGTGCCGTCTTGTTTATGGCTCCGAGGCACAGACGCGATGAAAGAAGAGAAAACGCTCTTTCGCATGAACGGCCAGGAGACAAGCCGAAACAGTGACACTCCTTGTTCGTTGCCGTCTCTACATTGCAACACAGCGCCGGCGCGATCTACGTCACGGAGCTTGGTCGAGACATCAAGACGCCGGGTATTAGACGTTGGGCGCACCGCCTACTCTGCAGTACAAGAGGCAAGGAGAGCGGAAACTGAGCGGGGGGAAGAGTAGGAGAAAGAAGAGGGGTGGGATTGTGCATTCGCCGTCGATCACCGAGCTGGGGCGCACCACACACACGCGGCGTCAAGCGATAGCGCACTGTACATGTCCAAGGAGCCAATGTGAGCCAATGTGAGCCAATGTGCAGTCGAGCGCTCACGGGGTGAGTTGTCGACCTGTTTACGTCAACCGCCTGCCATTGCCGCGTTTCTGCCGCACAATGGCAGCGTTTGGGGACGGGCCATGGTCGAGGGTGGTGGCGGCCACTCCGCAGCACGGCCGCGAGCAAACAGGCGATATCACCTGGTAGCTTTCCACTCTTATGTTGAAATCCAGTAGCCCTCGTGGTTCAACAACCTGGACACGGAGTGCTTCCCATGCATGATGATCTCGTACTCTTTTGACTCGGCAGAAACCAGACGTCGTGACCCTCCAGGAGGCGGCTTGCTGCTGGATGCCCGTCATATCCCACTTCGTTCCTGTTGTTGCTGTCTATGGTATGACAATAGTCTTGGGCCGCACCGTAGTACTTACACCATATGTGTGTGTGTGCTCGCGGCCGGCCGGCTCAACGTCGTCCCTCATGCTACCAGACCGCTTACCGGCCCTCGCAGCGGCGGCCAGCTCGCGACGCCACAACCCCTCCCACCTCTTTATTCTAGGCCTGTATGGAGAGGACACTTCTTGCGACGATGGGGAGAGCGGCGCAGAGATTCGTGGTGGATGTAGGCCAGAACTGCAGCGAACACGGAGAGCGAGGTTAGCGGAGCACGGCGAGGACGAAGACGACGAGGACCAGCTCTAGCTAGGGACAAGGCGCGCGCATGTCGATTGAAGACGTCAGACGTCGAGGGTGTTTGCGCCATACCGTGCCAGCCAGATACAGATATATGCGTGTGTGTGCGGGCTGGTGTTGGTATATCTGCGTTCGCCGCTCGATTCGTCGCTCGAGGTCGAGGCGGAGGAGATGCGGCCCAAAGGAGTACAATGGATGGCCATGGGGCTACCCGGCGGCGAACGCGTCTACATCGGAGCAGCAAGGACTCTCGCAAAGGCCGAAGGTACCCACGTTCCCGCGGCAGGTGGTGTTTTATCCTCGGCTTGTACCCACCTCACCAGGACCTCAGGGTTGTTAGGGCCAGCACCCACCCAACCCGCCGCCAAGGGTCACTTGCCAGGAATTACCGTAATGCAGCTTCAGGTCATCGCTCCCCCCGTCGTTCGTCCTAGTGAGCCAGATGTCAAGAATGCGCAATACGAGACAAACAATAGCGCAGGATGATAAACGGCAGCCCGGCCTGGTCTGCGACGGCCCCCTCCTCCACACCCTCGTCGTCGTCATTGCACGTCGTCGTCGGCCGCGCCGTCGCGGGCCAATGAGTGCCAGTGCCAGAGGCGCCGCCGTTGTCTCCTGCGACAGGGACTGGGGCAGAGTCACGCACGAGCGATTGTTGTATGTACGTGTGAGTGGGGGGAAGGGGGAGTCGGTCCCTGCCTGGACGATGATGGGAGAGCCTGGACCTGCTGCTGGCCTGCTCGCTGGACCCGTGGGCGACGCCAACTGGACTTTGGGTCGGGTGGCTGGTTCAAGGGAAGTCGGGTCAGGGGGCCAGCCAGTGCCCGACTGTGCCGTACGCGACTCCAAAAGAAGCCGACAGGATGGCTTTGCATGACGGATGCGAGTGGCGGGCAGCCCTAGTGGGCAACAAAGTATTGCTGGTTTCAAGGAGGAGGACGGAGTCGCGGCTCTTCTCCCAAGCGGGCGACGACGGGATTGCGCCGCGAAGCTGCGACGCTGGACTCGAGGCGACGACATGCGACGAAGCCAAGGTCCCGTCGGCGGCCCAACGACGGCCAGCATTGGATCGCTTGTCCATCATCAATCCACATTCGCAGTCGTTTCCCCTCCCCACGCCAGCACTTTCCCCTTCTCGGACCGGCCGCTGTCTCGCGCGAGCGCTTGCAGCACTGTCCTTCATGGGAGGGGAGAAAAAGTACTGTGGTGGCTTGGGCGCGCGCATGGCCTCGAGAACGGGACGGGGGGCTCGCTCCATGGTGTGTGTGTGCATGCATATCTACCCCGTCTGCGGGCTTGGTGCTGTAAGTTACCGTTCAGTCCACACATATGCAGTGTTTCCAGGACCCGGAGTCTACATGGTTTTTCCTTTTCACTTTTGTTATGTCCTTCACAACCTCTGGACTCGTCATCAGAGAGAGGGAGGAGCAGGTCCTTGGCGGCGCATGCGAAGGGGTCGGATAATGCCTGTTGCGGTCACCGCCCGTTGTCCGGATCGGCATGCCGGTGTAAGGTGACATCGAGGGGACATGCGTTCTGCCTTGCATCTGGTAGTGCTCAACCTTGTGCCTCGATGCTAGACCACACCCTGCCTAGGCCGTCCTTTGGGTGCCATGGACGAGCAGTCTACTGTTTTGGTGTCGTTGTACAAGGGAAGTCGTTGCCTTTCAGGTCTATATATCGAGAGTCTGGACTGGGGCACGAGAAGCATCTTGCAATGGCAAATTGCTCACACGTACGTGCGAAATGCTGTGTGGCGTATGGACCGACAATGGACGGCGCATAACTAAATGATGGCGCGTGCCAGCAGCTCGTCGTGGCCACGGTCTGTGCCTCAACACATGCCGTGGTACGTATCGGCTCAGGATATGCAGTAAAATTCGCCTCCACTTGCGTGCCTGGCCTGCGCCGAGATCCCTGTGTGAGATGTATCGGAAAGCTCCTGGGGGATGCGGCCATCGAGGCAGGTTGCTGGCTGAGGCACGGGTTTTATGAGTAATATTGTAGCAGGCCTTGCGCTTCGCAGTAGGCCTCCGCTTGGCCGCGGTGACTGGCAGCACATCATCATCATCATCACCAGATACACGCCTAAAAAGATTGACGTGGCCGGCCCGCGGAGGGGAAGAGGTGTTGTGGTCAGGGCCGAATGGGCGTCGGCCAAGAGAGGGAAAAGGCCGGTGAGACGGTCGCTTGTTTGAAGTCTGCCGCTGCGGACGATACCGACTGGCCAAGCCGCGCTGGCGCCTCTGCCAGAGGAATTCTCCAATCCGGCAAGGTCGGCTGCTCAGGCCCTGGCCCTGTCTGGGGCGCGCGAGAATATGTCGAGGATATCCAATGAGGATGCGTCGAGCGGGCGCACACAGAGTTACGGTGTGCGCGGCGGCGCCGTATGTCTGTCCTTATGCGACTCTTTCTCAACAAACATCAGTCAAGTCTGCAGAGAACAAGCGGGGCAGACCATGTCTCTATTCGCATGTTACTGCACGTCTGTACAACAAGACGAAGACGAGGAATCAGGATAGGAGGGCTGGAGAAATGGCCTCGAGACGGCCAGGCGTGTATGTGCACGGCCCATGCGCCCAAGATGCGCGCATTTTCTCCCACTGGCATCTCGCCCTGTGCATGATTGGCGAGACTAGTCAACAACTTGTCCACGGCGAGCTCTTCCTTCGGCGCAATGCCTCCTCTGGCTGACATGTTCGCAAACGAGCCCCCACGACGAGCAGTATGGGGCACATCGAGTCACCGTTGCCACCGTCGCCCGTGCCCCGCCGCCGCCGCTGAGCAGCACCGGACGAAAGCAGTCGTTTGTGTGCGTGTGTAGCGAGGCCGAGGGCCAAGACACGCTCGATGCCAACGACGCAACCTGCCGAGAGTCCCCTGCTCGCCTCGCCCGCTCAATTGTTCATCTCGCGCCGAGGGGATCAGTCTGGTCCACTGCGCTCAGCTCGCCCCGACACGCCACGGTTGGGCGCCCTTGCCGGGGCGGCGTTTCTGAGCCCAGATGATGCCCTCAGCACCAGGGCACGGAACCTGAGGCTGACGGCCGGCGGACAAAAAAAGTAAAAAACCAGCCTGGAGCCGCTGGCGCACCCATGCGAAACGACAGCTTTGCGGACCAGAGGCCGGCGCAGAGTGAGCCCGGGCCAGAGCTGTTGTCGTCTCCCAACCGTCTCCAAGAGGCTGGCCAAGGAGTCGAGTCGGCCTTGCGACGGCTGCCAAGAGAGAGATAGTGCGGCAGCGACAATGTCCCGAGGGTGTATGCAGGTTATATGGCGCAGAGCAAGGCATTCGCCACTGTTTTGGTTGCGTTTCCGACCAGGCCCAGGCGCCCATGTCTCGCCCCCCGGCGCGGCGCCCCGTCGGCGAGGGGGAAGTCCAATTAGTATGACACGGGCCCTGGTTGATGTGCATTTCGAAGACGCAAGATTGAGTGCGTACCGCCGCTCCAGGCCGACGCTTGCACTCGCACCCAGTGACCGGCCGCCTGAGGAGTGAGAGAGAGTCACAGGCGAGGAGCAAAGGTCACGTGCTGTCGTGTTGATTTGGCGCATGAGCTTGGTTGCCGCCGCCGCGTAAGACCCAGGTCGACTGAACCCCGGCCTTTCGTCCTCCGGGCGACCTTGGAGAGGGGAAAAAGGCCGCCCGAGCCTTGATCGATTAGGAGACCAAGACCTCTGCCCGGTTTCGAGCTGCTCAGCTCGGTGTGCGCCCCGTTGTTGTCACGGCCGTGAGTTTCCTGCCTTGGCCGACGGCTCGGTGAGACGCGACAGACGGGATGCCGGGCCAGACTGGGACTAGCGCACGTCTGGGCGGGAGGCCCCGGAAAATCGTCATCGCCGGGACGACCAGAGCGACGCGGCGGGATCGCCCTGTGGCCCGTGCGGCGCATGCCTTTGGTCGCTTTTGGTCGCAAGCGCGCTGTACCGAGCCCCGGAGCTCTGGCCCTTGTGGACATGCGCTAAAAGCGGCTAGCAACGCCTACAAGCATAACTTTGAGCATGTACCGGCCAGTAGCTTGCAGAGCATAAACAAACAAACAAAGTCGAGCCTCATAAGCCGTAGCCCTCAGGCCACTGCAGCCTATCTGTTTTGCTTCCGTCTTTGCCTTGTTGCTCCGAGAGTCTTTTCTCGCAACCCATTTTTCTCGTCAGCTTCTTTGCGAGTTTCACTCCTGAACTCGACACCGTCGTCGGGACTTGCTGGTCTCGGACCTGAATCCTGCTGCGCACGCCCACGATCCTCACCCCGTCCCCTTTCCGTTTCGGTCCCCGAGGACCCTGTTGGACTTTCTCTGCCGTGGACAGAACCCAGTCTGCCGTTCTTGCTCCCGATTTGACAGCCGACTTGCCATCCTCAACCCGCTGGCTGGCCCCGACACGTCTCTTCGGCCGCCCCACGCCTTGGACGCTCCGGCTCGAGCTCGAAAAAAAAAAAAAGGGGACGCAATACACAGCAATACACGCTCTCGCACGACCAGACGCAAAGTTTTATGATATCTTGACGCGACGACGAGGCATCACCAGGGCCTGCTGCCTTGCAAGTCGCTCCTCGCGCTGCCGTAAGCGCGTCTACAGGATAAGCCATTCCATTATCCTTACCAGCAATTCGGCTGCTGCCAATCATGCAAGCTCGGGTAAGTTCATCTGGCCGCCACTGACGTCTCAGGCACTGGTCTCTAGAACCTTTTTGTCTGTCCCTCCCCCAACCGAGCGTCAATGTCTCGTTTGCTTGATTATTTTTGCTTGGCCTGAAACTAACGTCGTCTTGGCCAACGCAGCCTTCCCGACCGCGCGGCGCGGAAAACGCTGTCCCTCTCCTGCACCAGCGGCACAAGTCTACGGGGAACCTCGACATGTCCAACGCGTCCGCAGCCGGAATCCGAGGCCCTGCCAAGCGAGCCGCCTTTGGCGATGTCACAAACCAGAGCAAGAATGCCTTGGGTGCCCGCGACGAGGCGAAGGCCGGCAAGCATCAGCCCGCCTTGGCTTCACACAACGCACAGCCACTCGGCGTGGTCAACAAGGAAAACCTCTTGTACAACAACGGCGGCGGCTCTCACAACAACCACAGCAAGGCCAAAGATTCCTTCCTTCGCCCTGCACAACGGCCCGCTGCTCTGACAGCCAAACCCAAGACTGCTGCTGACAACCGGCCGGCCGAGGTGACGAGGAAGCCCGTCCCCGGTGCGTCTCTGGTCCCCGGGGGCCAACCCGGCAGAGGGGAGGCGGCTGTTTCACGGCATACGGCAACGGATGAAATCGAAAGGGCCCTTGGCCTTGCTGCCTCTCAGGCCTCGCTTGAGGGCTTGCCCTTCCCACAACCTCGGCACTACAAAAGCCAGCCGCAGTTGAAACAGCAGCCGCCAACCCTACGCCGCACACAGAGCAGGCAGTTTGAGGGCACCAATGCCGTCGCCGACAAGGCTGCCAGAGCCGACGCCGACCCTGGGGGCTTGCCTTCGCGCCACCTCGAGCCTTCGGCCGACCACGCGGCCTACCTTGGCCACCTGTATCCCGGCCCTGATCGCGAAACGCTCTCGCACGTGAGCCGCGACGACGGCTACGCCGACCTCGCCGCGAGGCTTCCTGAGATCTCAGAGGAACCACAGCAAGCCTTGGCGGCGCGACCGGGTGGCCAGACTCCCGCCATGTCCGAGCCAGAAGATTGCTGGGACGAGGATTACGACGAGGAATACGACGACCAGGACCAAGCCTACACCACTGCCCACTCATTTCGCTCGCGTGACATGACCATGGGCGGCGTCACCACCTTGCTGGCTCCGCGGGTCACCGCCCGTGTTCAGCGCGAGCTGGAAGAGGCCAAGCTGGAGGTGCAGCAGACTCGGTCGCCCGAGGACGTCGAGGAGGAGCTGTGGGATGTCAGCATGGTTGCCGAGTACGGCGAAGAGATTTTTGACTACTTGCGAGAACTCGAGGTATGTTGCGGTGTGACCCCGGGCCTGGCCACGGGTGTCCACCGACCAATGCTGACGTTTGAACAGATCAAGATGCTTCCCAATCCTCACTACATGGAGATTCAGACGGAGATTCAGTGGTCCATGCGGTCCGTTCTCATGGACTGGCTGGTCCAAGTCCATAACCGCTTCAACCTGCTGCCCGAGACGCTCTTCCTTACCGTAAACTATATCGACCGGTTCCTCTCCTGCAAGGTCGTCTCCATTGGCAAGCTGCAGCTAGTGGGCGCAACTGCGATCCTGGTGGCCTCGAAATACGAAGAAATCAACTGCCCGTCGCTGGAGGAGATTGTCTACATGGTCGACGGCGGTTACAACCTGGAAGAGATACTCAAGGCCGAGCGCTTCATGCTCAGCATGCTTAGCTTCGAGCTTGGGTGGCCAGGTCCTATGAGCTTCCTGCGGCGCGTCAGCAAGGCCGATGACTACGACTTGGAGACGAGAACCCTGGCAAAGTACTTTCTCGAACTGACCATCATGGACGAGCGGTTCGTTGCCTCGCCGCCGAGCTTCCTGGCGGCAGGTGCCCATTGCCTGTCCCGACTGGTACTGAGCAAGGGCGAATGGGTAAGTTTTCTTAATTCCATTTCCCTGCGTGAGTTGAGCCTATGCTAACCCAGCTACAGACCAAGCAGCACGTCCACTACTCGGGCTACACCTGGGCCCAGCTCAAGCCGCTGGTGACCATGTTGATCGAATGCTGCGACCAGCCCCGCCTGCACCACTCAGCCGTGTACGAAAAGTACAAGGACAGGCGATATAAAGGCGCGTCGACGATTGTGCAGCGCGCGCTCGATGCCGGCTTCACGCTGCCCCATCACTCCATCCCCATCCGACGGTCCCCGGCGCATGCCGGCGCCATTGAAGACGGTTCGGGCCAGCTGCCGTACAAGAACGGCCTACTCGTCTCCACGGAGGGATGAATGCGTGGCGAAAGCGCAGCATACATGCCCGTGTTCAAGTCCTGTCTGAGTGTCGCCCTGTATCGGTGAACCGATGGTATTGGAGCTCCCCGCAACACACTCTGAGACAGCGGAACTCCGATGGCAACGGCCTCTCCCTTCGAGCCGGCTTCTCTAGCCCGTCAGCGAGGTCGCCGCACATGGCCTACTTTGTACACAGTCGACAGACTTCTTTTCTTCCCCCGACGCCGAACTCTCTAATGACCATTGGCGGCCTTGGCTGGTCCGCACCCGAGATCCATGAAGACCGCCCATGGGTTCCTTACGAATACATTTAACGAGGCTCATGAACTATTTTCATTATTTTTCTTTGCAGCGAGGCTTGCGCCAGCAATTTTCGCGCACTCATATCCGGCGTTTTGCGGAAGTCGCTGCTCTTTAGACTTGACGGTTTTCGAGGGCATGGCGCGTACATGAATGAAGGAGGCGCAGGGGCATGGGGGGCCCGAGGAGAGGATGGGTGCGATACTCATCAAGCGGTCGGGCAAGCACATGGAAGCCAATGGCCTGCTCGAGACGTGGACCCTGTATGGACTATAATAATGCCGCCCTCGGCCAGCTGGGGCGACACGGGGACCACGAGAGGGTTTCCCTTAACTAATTACAGCCAGGCCGCGATGACTGATGTAGACATGCAGAGAGGGGCGGAGGCAGAGGAGGAGAGGATCCAAAAGAGAACACTGGCGGTATTGATGGCGTTGTGCTTGAGCAACCAATGTGACGTGATGTGTAGAAGGGCATGAGTGTCGTCAACTTGGGTGCAGAAAGACCAAGGTATTGCAGCAGTCGGTAAATGCTCGTCTGTTGACGGATGACTGAACTGATGGTCCGCCGACATCGGCCTCGCCGGCTGGAACCAAAGCCCCGTTCCGAGCCTTGGCTTGCTGGCATGCGTCACATGACGGTGGTTGCGGATCGCCCGGTGGCCGTGGCCGTCGCCTCAGCCCGGTACAGTACGTAAGGAGGTTGCAATATCGCGATGCGCTAGAAAAGGCCGAGAAAGGGGTTGTTGAGCCCCTTTTCCTGTCACGGGGAAATCGTAAATCCGGGCCACCACCACTACAGCGCTGCCCCTGGCAGCTGACAGCCCCAAAGTTAGGGGGGAGATGCGCTGCAGGTACCTCGGCAAGGCAAGCTGACAGACAGTACAATCCACCCAACGCAATGTTGCCGGGGAGCTCAGGTACTGGCCGGTGCAGCGATAGGCGAGGTACAAAAGCTATCGGGAAAGCTACAGTGGCCAGCTGCAGCTAAAAGTTACAAGTCGGATCTGGCTGGGAGCGTTTTCTTACGCGCAGCAAATGTCCGATTGAGTCGAGCAATTTTTTTCTAGTCTCCCTCCCTGTGTGCTTCATCGATTGCGGCTGCGCGTTGTCGGTTATTTGGAGCACCACTTTTCCTTGCACGCGACTCGCGGCCTCTACTTTGTCCATATCCTCACCTTGGAGGCACCGTTGGACGAGCAGCTTTCCCTCCTGGTGCTGCGAAGTTGGTCGGGAGCGGTACCCGTTGACCCTTGGTGTGATCCGTGTCCTGTGCGGCCACTTCCCCCGGACAAACAGACGCTTCGGCAAGGCATCGAAGCGTCGTTGGCCCATCGACTGCTCCCAGCCTCGTCGGGAAACTCTCGCTGCCGCCGTCGGAGAGGCTGCGACTCGGCATCATGTCGAAAGCCACGGTGGTCAAGGAGGCGGTCAAGGAGACGCTGCTGGGCTCGGACGAGCCGGCCCAGCTCTCGGCGCAGAGCAGGGCGCGCTTCATCAGCAATGCTGTCAAGGATCCCGAGACGGGCGAGCTGTCCATGGGGCCCGACGAGTTCATCAACACCATTGCGCCCAAGAACGAGGATTACGTGAGTCGCCCGCCGTGTGCCGAGAGAGGACGCGAGCTGACGCACACATTGGCGCGGGCAGCACAAAATCAAGCGGGAACAGTACTCGATCCTATTTCGCGTCGCCGATAACAAGGGCGCTGGCAGGATCAGCATGACGGACTGGGGCGTCTTTGAGAACCTGCTCATGAAGCCCGATGCCGAGTACGAAATCGCGTTCCGCCTCTTCGACATTGACCGCACGGGCAGGGTCAAGTACGACGACTTCCGGCGGCTGTACGAGCTCAACAAGGGCCCCAACAGCACCCCCTTTGACTGGGACTGCGAATGGGCCCGCCTGTACATTGGCAGCAAGAAGAAGCGCCACGACCTGAGCTACCCCCAGTTCTCGCAGATGCTGCGCGGCCTCCAGGGCGAGCGCATCCGCCAGGCCTTTCAGCTCTTCGACAAGGACGGCGACGGCTACATCAACCCCGAGGACTTTGAGCGCATCATCCTCGAGACGTCACGCCACAAGCTCTCGGACCACCTCCTCGAGAACCTGCACACGCTGTGCAACATCTCCACCGGCAGCAAGATCTCATACGCCAACGTGCGCGCCTTCCAGAACATGATTAAGGAGATGGATCTGGTCGAGCTCATCATACGGCGCGCCGTGTCCAAGAGTAGCGACGGCAAGATTACGAGGTCCGAGTTTGTCCAAGAGGCCGCCAAGATCACCCGCTTTTCCCTCTTTACGCCGATGGAGGCCGACATCCTCTTCCACTTTGCCAGTCTGGACGAGCCATCGGGCCGCCTGGGCCTGGGCGACTTTGCCAAGGTCCTGGACCCCTCGTGGCGAAGCCGGGTCTACGACACGGACGAGGCCGGGGACCTGCACCGGGCCGCCACCAAGAAGGGCGCTATCCTGAACAAGGCCCTCGAGGCAACGCACAACTTTTTGCTGGGAAGTTTGGCCGGCGCGTTTGGCGCCTTCATGGTGTATCCCATCGACCTGGTCAAGACGCGCCTACAGAACCAGCGAGGGGCGGTGCCCGGCCAGCGGCTGTACAAGAACTCGCTCGACTGCTTCCAAAAGGTCATTCGCAACGAGGGCATCCGCGGCCTATACTCTGGCGTCTTGCCGCAACTCGTCGGCGTGGCGCCGGAAAAGGCAATCAAGCTGACGGTCAACGACCTGGTCCGCAACTACTTTACCGACAAGCAAGGCAAGATCTGGTGGGGGTCCGAGGTCCTGGCCGGTGCCAGCGCCGGTGGATGCCAAGTCGTAAGTCTCCTCTGCTCACATGGTGGCCCGAGATGCCGTCGGGGAAAGAGACGGGGTGCTGAATGCGTCTCGGTTTAGATTTTCACGAACCCGCTGGAGATTGTCAAGATCCGCCTGCAGGTCCAGGGCGAGGTGGCCAAGACAGTCGAGGGCACGCCCAAGCGATCAGCCATGTGGATCGTGCGCAACCTGGGGCTGGTCGGGCTGTACAAGGGGGCATCGGCGTGCCTGCTCCGCGACGTGCCCTTTTCGGCCATTTACTTCCCCACCTACAGCCACCTGAAGAGGGACTTTTTCGGCGAGTCGCCGGCCAAGAAGCTGGGCGTGCTGCAGCTGCTGACGGCCGGCGCGATTGCGGGCATGCCGGCGGCATACCTGACGACGCCGTGCGACGTGATCAAGACGCGTCTGCAGGTCGAGGCGCGCAAGGGCGAGGCGACGTACACAGGGCTGCGGCACGCGGCCAAGACCATCTGGAAGGAGGAGGGCTTCACGGCCTTCTTCAAGGGCGGGCCGGCGCGGATCCTGCGGTCGTCGCCGCAGTTTGGCTTCACGCTGGCGGCGTACGAGGTACTGCAGACGATGCTGCCGATGCCGGGCAAGAAGGCCGAGGTCAAGATGCACACGGGCGTGGCGGACGCCATGTCGACGATTTCGTCGGGCAGCCTCGACACGAGCCCCTTTGCGCGCAGCCGGAACGCGCTCAAGATCATCCTGGACCTGGACCAGGACTTTGGCAAGATCAAGATGCCCAACGAAAAGGGGTGGCGGTCGCTGCCCAAGTTTATCGGCGGCGGCGGCTCGGCATAGGCCTGACGACGTTGCCATGACCTGGTGGGTTGAAGCGGTCTCGGACCGGGCGGGAAGAGGGGAAGAGCAAGGAGAGACAAGAAAAGAAGCCGAGGGGCCTTGGTCTGGTTCGCATGGCATCAGACGCGCTGGCGTTTGGGAGAAAAAATGAGGCATTGCAAGAAACTGCTTTGGTGTTTCCCCTTTTTTTTCGACTTCTCTCTTTTATTTTTTGGGTTCTGCTCCTTTTTCTCTTCCTTTGGCCGATGTAATCGCCCCGTCGCCCGACAAGTCCCTTGTTTGGTCTCGTTGCTTTACCCCTCTCCCCTCACCGTGTTCTTGTGCGGGTTTTGCGGCATCAGTCACGAAAGAATGGCTGGGTGCGAAGGAGATTGACTCTTGTTGTTCTGGCCTTGGAAAAACGAATAGATGTAGAGGTATTAGACACGGGCAGACGGACGGCAGAATGGGAGAAGTAGACGAGCGTACCGTGCTATTGACGGTCTCTCAATCCTGTGTCTTTGCTGCTCTGTGATGATTGGCTCCGGGCAGGGCCTGGACCGGGCGACGAGGGCCATGCCGGGCAAGGGCGGAGGCGGAGGGCACGGGGCCGGGGGCGGGGCGGGCGGACGGGCTGGAAGGTGGTCTCGTGTATTGATCAGCAGGACGTGAGCCGACGTGGTGGGAGGCGACTGAGCTGTGAGAAGACGGGTACGTACGGTACTGCACAGTCGTACTGTAATTAATACCTAGATACCTACTGTACAGACCTATGTAGAGGGGCTTGTGTCATGGAGGCCTGCCGTTGCGTGCTCCCTCCCATCTCACCCGGTCCAGGGCAACCCAACCGCGGGGACCTGCGTCGCCAGCAGGCAGCGGCAGCGGCGGGTAGCAGTGGGCAAGGGTTCTGTGTAGGCGCTACTAGCACTACTAGTCGGCACTAAGTTGCTTGTCGCAGTGACTACTGGTAGGTAACTTACAGCGCTCCTACTAGTGAGCGCGTCACGTCCCGGCGCCACACAAGAAAACGGCGGGACCTCATGATTACGCTCGTGATTCTGCGGCCGCACGTGGGCACTTTTCCAAGACTCCTGCTGCGAATGTTCCGAGTTTGGCAGGTCAGGCAGGCCACAGGCCAAGGCAGAGGAGAAGCGGTGCTTGACTCGTGGGTGTTTGGACGCGACTCAACCGCTATCAGAGTGACTTGCCTCTCCGGCCCGGCCTCTGCCCGCCAATGTCGCCCTTGGCTTCGTGCGTCATGGGATACACCTGTCCCTTGCCCTGGCGCAAAGTACCTCGTCATAGGCACCCTCGTGGGGATCCATCCATCGCAACCCCTAAATCGCCTGCGACCCGAAATCCCTGGCGCCAGACGTCGTCGAGATTAAAGCCGGCCGTCCCTTGCACCGACCGCGCGCCTCCCTTCGTCCTGTACGACCTCGTCGACCAGCTATACCCGTCTTCTCTCTGCGCTCGGTCCGGCTTCGCGTCCAACAGGCTCCGTTCCGCCACTTCCGCCCTCTCTCTCTCTCTCTCTCTCTCTCGCGCGCGCGCGCGCCAACGACCAACTCTCCTTCTCTCCCTTTCCCATGTGATACCCTCGCATTTCTCTCTTTCTTTCTTTCTTTCTTTCTTTCTTTCTTCCCCTTCTCACTCTCCCTCCCTCCCTCTCTCTTCCAAATGGCATCCTTTCTCGCCTTCCTCTCGGCCCTCTTCGGCTGGGTCTACACCTTTTGCTGGAGCGCTTCCTTCTATCCCCAGCCGCTGCTCAACTTTCGCCGGCGCTCCACCTCGGGCACGACGGTTGACTTTCCCTTTATCAACGTCCTCGGTTCGTCACTCTCTTCTTCGCAGAGGCTTTTAAGTCGCTAACCTCGCCGTGTCGGCGCATAGGCTTCGCCGCGTACCTCTTCTCCAACCTCGCCTTCTACTACTCGCCCGTTATCCGCGACCAGTACGCCGCCCGCAACCATGGCCTGACGCCCACGGTCCAGTTCAACGACATCACCTTTGCCCTGCACGCCCTCGTCCTCTCCCTCGTCACCGTGTCGCAGTACCTCGCCCGCCCCGCCTGGGGGTTCGCCCCGTCCACCGGCACCCGCCCGTCGCGCTTCATCGCCGGCGTCTCGGCCGGCTGCCTGCTGGCCCTCGTCACCATCTACGTCGTCGTCGCCACCGCCGCCGCCCAAGGAGCCCCGTCGGCGTCGTCGGTCGACCCCGCCACGGACTGGTGCGAGCTCGACCTCGTCTACGCCGCCGGCTACGTCAAGCTCGTCGTCACCCTCGTCAAGTACACGCCGCAGATTGTCGCAAACTGGCGCAACCACAGCACCGAGGGCTGGAGCATCTGGCAGGTGCTGCTCGACATGGCCGGCGGCGTCCTCAGCATCGCCCAGCAGGGCATCGACAGCTACCTGCAGCGCGACTGGAGCGGCATCTCGGGCAACCCCGTCAAGTTTGCCCTCGGCAACGCCAGCCTCTTCTACGACTCCATCTTCATGGCCCAGCACTACGTCGTCTACCGCGGCGCCTCGGCCGGGAAGCCGGGCTGGCGCAGCGAGGAGGAGCCGCTGCTCGACGACGGCCCTGCCCCCGCCGACGCCGCCCATGACGACGATAGGAGAAGAAGGAGGCTGGACTAGTGGGCGCGGGGGGCCACGTGCTTGTGTGTCTTGACCGAGTACAGTAGCTTGGAGAGCAGGGGCTGGGGGGACCGGGGCTGACGACGCACTGGGGCTACGGCTCGCATCGAGACACAAAGCCTGTGTACATAGACGGTCGGGGAGCCGCGAGGCCGGCCTCTGCCCTTACAGTGCTTTGCATCGCTTCGATTTACATCCATGATACCACGCCGGCGACTCTTTTCTCTCCGTGCAAGCCATGAGTTGGCGGAAACGAGCCAGCGACTCGACATGCATGACGCAGTTTGTCGGATATTTAGCTGCAGAATGCAAAGAAAAAGAAAGCAAACGTCTCGGACCGTTGTTGGCGACGGCAGTCGGCGAGGCGATGCAGGGGTTGGGCACACGAAGCACAGATGGTGGCTAATGCGCATGCAGCGACCGACTCACCCATCCCCCCCCAACGCCTCTGACGTCCGGTATTCACAAGTTCGAACGGAGGGTACAGCGTATACATATCGTCTCCCACGATCGGCTCTTTCAGCGTTCATGTCGCGTAGAGGCGCCTCTCGGCGACATGGCCAACTCCCCTCCCCTCCCCCCTTTCTCCCGACATTCTTCGCCGCTGCTGATGCTGCCTCCCCCCCACCCTCACAAAGAGAGCGAGGGGTGCGACAGCAGTTTGGGGTTGTACGCGGCAGGCCTGCGGGCTGACGATGGACCGCGACGACGGGGGAAAGGGGCTGAGACAGCGTCGTCTTACCCCGTGTCGGCGTCGAGGCGCTCCTTGCGCGCATGCTTGGTGATGGGCATCCCATGTTGAGCTGTGCATACATACTTTTTTACAGTCTGTACGCTTGCATGACGTACAACGTTAAATCGCCCAAGTAGCAGGATGGCGCACGACGCTACGGCGTGTACGCACCCAACGGCTCGTCTCCTGCCACGCCTGTCCATGCTTCAGCTTCTCGAGGGTATATCCTACCTCTTCCTGGTCTACGTCTGCGGGTCCTGTCTATACGACAAAATTTACAGCCCGGCCCCCCTTGACCGCAATTGCCCGCTTGGCCCCCTTGACGTCGTACCGCCCCCCCTCGCCGAAGCGCTCCCTCCCCAGCTCCGTCTCGAGAATCGCCGCCGTCATCCACTCGCTCAGTCCGTCGCCCTCGAGCTCCCCTGGCGGCGGAGCAATCTCCACCACGCCGCGCACCCTGCCGTTGACCTGCACCGCGCACGCCTGCCGCCGCGGCTGCAGCATTGCCGCGCATGCGCTGCCGTCCTCGCTGGGGAACGAGCCCGTCTCCAGCACGCTCCCCGCCGACGGCTGAAGCGCGCTCCAGCACTCCTCGGCAAACGCCGGCGTGATGGGCGCCGTCAGCCGGATCAGCGTGCTGAGAGCCTGCCGCTTGACCACGTCGCCGGCCTCGTCGTTGCTGCCCAGCGTGTTGGTGAGGCTCATGAGATCCGACACGACAGTGTTCAGCGAGTAGACCTCATCGTAGGACCGCCTGACGGACCCAATCGTCCGCTGCACCTCTCGCCACACTGTTACTTCCGCGTCCCACTGCTTCAGCTCTGCCCTCGTCATGGAGCCGAGCCTCTCAAACCTGGCCTCGAGGTAGTCGGCGACCGAGACAGGCTCGTCGGGCGGCCCTGCCACCGCCATCACCTGGTCATGCAGCCTCTGGAGCCATCGGGTAACTCCCGAGATCTTACTCTCATCCCACTTCAGCACCTCCCCAACCGGAGCTTGGAATAGCATATGGGCCCTCGTCGTGTCCGCGCCGTACTGTGCAATCGTCTTTGTCGGGTCCACGCCGTTGTACTTGGATTTGGACATCTTCTCAAAAGACACGGTCGCGGCCCTTGCTGTCGCGGCCACCTTGGGTGCCGCGGGGTCAGAAAGGTCCAGCTCGTCGGGCTTGAGGAACCTTCCGTTGTCGGGGTCGACGTACGTCTTGCCCTGAACCATGCCCTGGGTGATCAAGCGCTTGAACGGCTCGGCAGAAAGGGCTGCCGTCTCGTCCGGGTGCTGGGGCATCAGAGGCGTTGTGGCCATAAACTTGTAGATGAAGCGAGCATAAAGAAGATGGAGAATCGCGTGCTCGATGCCCCCGATGTAAATGTCCACAGGTAGCTTCTCGGCAGCCTTAGGGGACATGGGTTGCTCGGTGTTGTGTACGTCGGCAAACCGAGCATAGTACCAGCTCGAGTCCACAAACGTATCCATCGTGTCTGTCTCTCTGCGGGCAGCTCCGTTGCACTGAGGACACGTCACGTTGACAAAGTCTGACGAAGACTCCAACGCGTTGCCCGTCTTCCCTTCGGCCCAATGCTCATCGACTCGGGGGAGCTCGACGGGCAGCTGGTCGTCGGGCACCGCGACAGGGCCGCAAGAGTCGCAGTGAATGATGGGGATCGGAGCGCCCCAGTATCGTTGGCGGCTGATGAGCCAGTCGCGCAGACGCCATTTATCAACGGGCTTGGCCAGTTCCGCGGCTTCGAGCATGCGCACCATCATCTGCCCTGCTTCGGTCGAAGACTTGCCTTTGAAGAGCCCGCTATGCTCCGTCATGATGCCGTCCTCGAGAAAGGGCTCGTTTTCAATGGCCGCCGTGGCGCCGTCCTCGGACGGTGCCAGCACGATGCGGACGGGCTGGTCTTGCTGGTGCATCCGCCAGAATGAGTGGTCGCGCAGGTCGTGGCCCGGCACGCCCATGACTGCCCCTTCGCCGTAGTCGCCCAGGACATAGGGGGCAACGTACACGGGCATGGATGCCTTGGTGGCCTCGGGTGTGTCGTCGTGGTAAGCGACGGGGTTGATGGCGCGCAGCTGCGGCAAAAGGTAGCCGACTTTGGAGTCGGGGGGAAGGCCTGGGAGGGTGTCGAGGAAGGCTTGCAGTTCCGAGTCGCTTTCGGCCAGCCGAGACACGATGGGGTGGGACGCAGCGAGTGCGACATACTGGACCCCAAAAAGCGTGTCTGGCCGTGTGGTGAAGATTTCGATGGCGGCTCCGACATCGACGCCGTGCGACATGAGGGGAAACTTGATGGAGGCGCCCGTCGACTTGCCCAGCCAGTTCCTCTGTTGCGAGAGAACACGCTCGGGCCATGCACCGTCTTTGGCGAGTGCCTGGAGATTGTCGAGGAGAGAGTCGCGGAAGTGGGAGATGCGGAAGAACCACTGCTTCAGCTTCTTCTTCTCAACTTTGGCGCCCGACCTCCAGGAGCAGCCATTGGCATCGACTTGCTCGTTGGCCAAGACGGTCTTGTCTATCGGATCGTAGTTGACCTCGGCCTCGGCTTGGTAGGCTAGTCCGCGTTGGTAGAGCATGAGAAAGAGCTTCTGAGTGTGCTTGTAGAATTTGGGGTCGGACGTCGCAAGCTCCTGGCCTGGGTGTTTAGCTTGGGCGGCGGCAACGGCGCAAGACTAGTCACTCACGCGATGCCAGTCCCAGCTGCCGTTCATGAGGTCGAGCTGCTCCTTCATCTTGGCAATGTTGCTGGCGGTCCAGTCCTCAGGCTGGATGCCTCTCTCGAGGGCCGCGTTCTCGGCCGGCAGACCAAAGGCGTCCCAGCCCATGGGTAGCAAGACGCGGTAGCCCCTGAGCCGGTTGTAGCGGGCGACGACGTCGGCAATTGTGTAGACGCGCAGGTGGCCGAGGTGAAGGCTGCCGGAGGGATATGGAAACATGGGCAAGACGAACTTGTCTTTGGGCCCATTGGCAGTCTCGGGGACTGCGTCGCGCTGGTCGGCGGCTTTCCATACTCGCCGCCACTTGTCGTCGAGTTCTCGGAGGTTGACGGCGTACCATCTTCGGGCCAGCGAGGTCGAGGCGATTCGGGGGCGCGGGCCAGCAGTGAGCGAGGCTGAGACATGGAGGCTCGCCGCTAGCTGTCCGGCGCGAAGCAAATGCATTGGAGGCTCCTTTGTGGCCTTTTCACATGACTTGCGAAGGGCGATGATGGGGGAGCTTCATCGTGTGGCGAGATTAGAGCTTGGAGGCCGATTGGAGGAGGAGCAAGTGGAGGTGACGCATGCCGGGTAGGAGACGCCCAAGTTTATCCGTATCTTGATAAGACGAGGATTCGCAATCGGGGGAATTTGCCCAGGGGAAGCTCGGGCCACCCTGGAATATGGCGTTGAGGAGGCCCTGCAGGCGCCTGCCGCGTTGTGGTTTATTTCGATAGGCGGCTTGAGTGTTAAGTGCGTATCTAGGTACTAAATCGATAAGGGCTGCCGCTGCAGCGCCTCGAGCGCCCCTAGGTACCTCAGAGAGCTACTGTAGTATAGTAGGTAGTAGCCGCTGCTGCAACAGCCATTCAGCCTTATTTGCACGCGGGCTGAAGAGCCATATACACGGAAAAATAAACAAAAAAAAACAAGAGACGGGTGACCTAGCCTCATTTATAGACTCTCACTTCATATTCACCAAGCAAGCCAGCGAAAAGTGACAGGTACCGAGATCACGTCCTAACTTGAAATACTTCCTTGACCGGGAAATCTTGCAGCAAGTTCCTTGTACTCCTGTTTGCGAACTGCCCCTCGTACCTTCGTTCGACGGCCGCTCTCGTACAGTGCATACTGTACGGAATACGCCCGGAAAGGGCAGGAAAGAGAATGGCGACCGTGATATCTGCCTTCCCGCCCGGTCTCGGCACGACCTCATTCTCTGTCCGTCACGCAAGCCCAACACTGGCGCACTCGTCGTTCGAAGGCGTGGGCTTGTCTTTTCCTCTCATTTTCCTCTCTCGTCGTCTTTGACTTGCCTCGGAGCCCGTCGCGTCGCTGCAGCCTGACCGAGCGCCTTGCTGCTGCCCTGTCGCCACATCAAATTCGCTTCAGTTTCCTCATAACCATCATCACGTCGCCACCTCTTGCTCTATCTCGGAGTTTGAAGCACTTTCAAATACCATCAGTCGCATCGCACTGTATCGATCCGTACCCTAATCATCACCCTCCTGAGCATCACCTGATTTCACTGTCCACATCATCACCATGGACAAAATCACGGACAAGATCGCCGCCCTCCCCGATGGCGCCGAGTACTTCTCGCTCGAGTTCTTCCCTCCCAAGACAGCCATGGGCTTCTCAAACCTGAGGCACCGCATGCAGAGGATGGAGCAGGCCCTGAGGCCGCTCTTCGTCAACGTCACCTGGGGCGCCGGCGGCTCGACTGCAACAAAGTCCCTCGAGCTGGCCGAGCTGTGCCAGCGCGAGCTTGGCCTCACGACATGTCTGCATCTGACCTGCACAAACATGAGCCGCCGCATCCTCGACAAGGCCCTGGAAGACGCCAAGGCCCTCGGCATCCGCAACATCCTCGCATTGAGGGGAGATGCCCCTCGAAAGGAAGAGTATCGCGATGCCGGCGGCGACCAAGACGACGGCTCCGACGAGCTCACCTGGGCCATTGACTTGGTGCGCTACATCCGCAGAAACCATGGTGATTACTTTTGTATTGGAGTCGCCGCCTACCCCGAGGGCCACGCCGACGAATCTCATCCCGTGGGCCAGAGTCTTGAGCACGATCTCCCCTACTTGGTCGACAAGGTCCAAGCCGGTGCCGACTTCATCATGACCCAGCTCTTCTTCGACATTGACGCCTATGAAAATTTTGAAAAGACCCTCAGGGAGCACCCCAGCGGCGCCTTTACTTCCATTCCCATCATGCCCGGCTTGATGCCCATCCAGAGCTACCAGATGATCAAGCGGACAACCAAGCTCAGCCATGCGAGGATGCCTGAGTCGATCTTGACGCGCCTCAACGCCGTCAGGGGGGACGACGAACGAGTCAAGATGGTGGGCGTCGATGTCATCGGCGAGATGGTGGAGCAGATCAGGGCCATCAAGGCCGGTACCTCTGGCCACAGAGGGTTTCACTTTTACACCCTCAACCTGGAAAAGGCCGTGTCGCTCATCGTGGAAAAGACTGGGTTGATCCAGCAAGATTCGTCCGAGAGCGACGAAGCCGCCGTCGTCGATGACGTCCCCCTATCCCCCCTTCCCACCATCCAGCTCAACGGCAATGCGCCATTGCGGCCGAGCAGCCACTCGCGGACAAGCAGGAGACATTCCTCGGTCGGATCTGATCCCCATAACAGAGTCATTGTGGGCAGCCGACCCCTGGCTCATCCGGAATGGGAAGCGTCGGGCCAGGAAGCGGGCGTTCCTGCCGAGGCCATCAACTCGCGCGCAAATACGCTGGCCATCTCGGAAGGCGAGGGAGCCCTGGGGCGCGAGGCCACCTGGGACGACTTCCCTAATGGTCGTTTCGGCGATGCTCGATCGCCCGCCTATGGCGAGATTGACGGATACGGCGTGAGCTTGCACATGTCTGTCACGCAAGCCGTGCGGCTGTGGGGTCACCCGGCAACTCGTCAGGACATTGACGGCATTTTCGTCAAGCACATGCAGGGGGAGCTCGCGGCCATTCCCTGGAGCGAGGAGGAGCTGATGGCGGAATCGTCGACCATCCAGCCCCGCCTCATTGAACTGAACAGCAAGGGCTGGTGGACTGTCGCCTCCCAGCCCGCAGTCAACGGGGCGCCGTCGAGCGACGGGACGTTTGGGTGGGGCCCGGCAAACGGGTTCGTCTTCCAAAAGTCGTTTGTCGAGTTCTTCCTCCCGTCGGACGACTGGAAAACGCTCCTCGACAGACTCAACTCCCCCCGGGTGCGCGAGTCGATCTGCTTCTACGCCACCAACGCCAAGGGAGACTTTGTCTCGTCCGACTCGAGCGGGGGGGTCAACGGTGCGAGCTCGTGGTCGAGCACCAACGCAGTTACGTGGGGCGTCTTCCCGGGCAAGGAGATTGTGACGCCGACGATTGTCGAAGAGGTCAGCTTCCGGGCCTGGGGCGAGGAGGCGTTTGGCATCTGGGGCGAATGGGTCAAGGTATACGGCCGAGGGTCGGACAGCGAGAATCTGCTCAACGGCATCAGAGACGACATATGGCTGGTTAACATTATTCACCACGAATTTGTGGACAAGGATGCGCTGTGGGAGTTGCTCCTGGAATAGGAGACTGAGACAGGAAGGGACATGTTTACTGTGCGTATATCATTGCGTGTATGGCATCGGTGACGCCGTTCCAAGCGGGTTCTGGGAAGGCGATGGGACATGGTGAGGAACGATCATGTGGATCCGAGCCTGGGTGACGTGTATCGCAGTATACTGGACGTTTGTAGGCCTCGCGGCCCGGGGAGCGCGCGGGAGCGTGAGGAGAATGTGAGGTGATGCGGGAGATGGGCCTCACAGTTGCCCAGGCTGCACGGCCTGGACGCCATTGACTTTGCTGAGGCGGAAGCCATATACTTTCGGTGCCTGTCTAGTGCAGTCTACTAACGGTCAAGGGATACGATAGCTTTAGAGACAAGTTCGGGTGAATGTGTGAATTTCTCTCATCTTCTTAGTCTTTTCGTCTGTGGAGTCCTTGGATCTGTAGACAAAGGGGAGGCAGTATGGACACCGACTTGGCTTCTTTTGCCGTCAATCATTGCCAGAAAACCACCATTCGCAATCGCGAAAACACAACAAAAAAAGTTTCATCCTCGTCTCCTCGCCCCCCTGTGCCCTCGTAGCGCCGTGGCGGCGCGGAATCCCGAGTTGCCCCTGTCGCTCCCCCGTATGGCGAGATTGACGAGACTCTCTGGATGGCGAAGCGTGAAGCAGGGTGTGTGGCAGGAGAAGTGATGTAATGATAGCAGAAAGAATATTGAGCAGAAGTAGAACCGAGCGAGCGAGCAAGCAACATGAGATGAAGCGAGAGGGCGAGGTCAGATCTCGCCATCGCCGTAGCCGTCGTCCATGTCCATGGCCGAGCTCCAGAGGCCGTCGGGAAGGGAGCCGCGGCCCATGTAGGGATCGGAGCTGCCGACGGCGAGCTTGGGCGGGTCGACGGGCCCAAAGATGGAAGGGCGGCGCGGCGCGGCAAGGCCGACGGGGGCGTCGATTGGGACGGGCGACTCGCTGTCCCGGAGCTGGGCCGCGGCATCTGCGATCGTAACGTTTGCCTTCTGGGCAGCCCGGCGGGGCGTGGCGGTCTTCTGGCCCGCAGCGCCCTTTGCGCGCTTCGAGGGCGTGTCGTCGCGGTCGCTCCAGTTGTCCCCAGCGCCGCCGGCGTCGTCTTCCTTATCGTCGTCGTCGTCGGACGAGGAGCGCTTGACGGGGAGGCGGGTGCGCTTGCGGCCCGTTCCGGAGCGGGTGCCGCCGGTGCCGCCGCGGGCCGGGGTCGGCTTGGAGGGCGTGGACACGGGCGTGGCCGCGGCGCCGGCGTTGAGGCAGTTGGCGACGTCGCCGCCCGCGGCCTCGACGGCGCGGAGCTTGTCGGCGTCGTGCTTGATGCCTCGGAACTGGAACTGGATGCCGTCCGGGGTGGACTGGCCAAAGTATTTGGCGATGTCTGGGCCCAGTGTCAGCTTTCTGCTTTTCGACACGCGCTTTCATCCGAACGAGTGGCTTTGGAGGCGTCGACAACAGGAGAGTGAAGGCAAGAGCAACGCGTTGGACATTCGAGGGCAAGCCAAGCAAACTTGAGACCAAAGGGCGTACTGTTCTTGTCCACGGCTTCCTTGGTGTTCGGGAGGTCATCAGGGGCCATCATGTCCTTCATGTCGAGCCCCGCGGCACGCGCCTCGTGGATGATGAGGGCCTGGGCGCGCAGACGACGGAAGCGGTGGTTGAGGGCATGCTCAGTCATGTCCGAGCCGTAGCACGCCGATATTTCTAGGGGAGGGACGAAGGGTCAGCCTTCGTCCCAAGAGCGAGACAGAAACTGACGGGGATGGAACAAGAGGAAGGCAAAAGGGCTAGAGAAATAGCGGATGCAGATGAAATTCAAAGAAAAGATGCCATCTACCTTTATAGTTCCATTTGACGTCGGGATGGGCGGCTACAATGGCGCGGACCATGCGCGCCTGAGCCTCGTACGACTTGTAGTTGGCTTTGGAGCTTGCGGGAGCCATTTTGGTTGAGTCGCTGGGCGTTGGCCGTCAGTGGGAGAGGGCACAGGTGGAGAGGGTGAGACGATGCGTCTCTTTCGAGCCCCGGCAGAGGTTGCCAGCACACGACGGGTGATTAGAGCAAGGCTTCAACGGCGATGTGTTTTGCGTCAAGCTGAAGCGCGGGCGAGGCAGGAGAAGAGACTGGGGTCGTGCTCAACTCACCAGCTGGGAAGATGAAGGAAGGAAGCAGAAAACTGTCGAAATGGAGACTGCTGCTTTCACAAATTAGCAAAGGCTTGAGCGAGAGGGAACAGGAAGCGAAGTGCGTACAGACCTAGGAGGGCAAAGTGCGCGTTGCCTGGAGCGAGATGGTTCTGGCTTCCGCTCACGGGGGCGCAGAGTGGCTCAAGTATGAACGCCTTGCGAGACGATGGAGGGTTGGTGCGCGAAGAAAGGTCAGAGAGGATGGAGCGGGTTTTTTTTGTGGTAGCAGAGAGTGCTTGTTGCCGGGGGGTGCGAAGGGGCGTGTTCAGGCAGCTGGCGAGGTGTGCGCGTGCGCGGGGGCCCAAGGCGCGGTGGTAGAGGGAGAGGGAGAGATAGCCGAACGGGGCGAGGAGAGGCAGCTGGCGGGCAGGGCAGAGCTCTGGCCGACGGGGCTGGCGTGGCGAGGAGACGGGGGAGCGGTGCGGACAAGGCGAGGGGTGTAAAGCGGATGGAAAAGGAGGTGGAAAAGGCGGTTGGTAAAGACTCGCAGCTGGGCAGAGGTGGTGGGGAGAGGAGAGAAACTCGACGGTGAGCTGCGGTCCGGGTTCAAAGCGGCGTTGAGGTTTGGAGTTGCAGACTGAACGAGGATGCCTGTCAGCTGGTTGAATCGTGAAACTGCAGAGGGAAAAGAACAGAGCAGAAAACTCCGCAATGGGGACGGGGGGGTTGTGGACGGTTTGAGGGGGGACGTGGAAGTGCTGGCGGCAAGCAAACGGGATGAGCGGTTATAGAGAGTGACGAGTAGATGCGCTGATAGACAGAAACCGGTATGATAAGGACGCGAAATAGAGAGGAACTGGATGTACCTTGAGAGAAACAACGATGCTTCGTTTCCCGCCTCGGCGCTTGAGGGTTATGTCTGCTCTCTCTCTGATCACCCGGGAACCAACTCCAGGCAATCAACCCAGTCTGGAAGAGCAGGGCGCAGCACCAGCAACAGTCCGCAACCAAATACTCGTCCGAATCTGCACACACACATATATATATAACCGTACAATGCAAGACTCCCCTGAGCCGGCGCTACTGAGCCCGCAGCAGCAGAACAGGCTCGAGTCACGAAATAGACGCGTCGCGCGGCGGGAGGCGGACAGGGGCGAGTAAAGAGGGTTTTTCTTCGAGGGGGGGGGATAAATGATGGACGATGAGAGGTCATGGCTGGGATAAAGGGGATTGGGGGGATTGGGGGCCGTTGGTTGCTGGGTCAACACAGTCCTGGCCGGAGACGCACGCGCCACTCTTCTCTTTTTGCTTTTTCCGTTCGTCTGTGTTACTTGCCAGGGGGTCACTGCACGAAAAAGCAGCCCCACGTGGGATGGAAGACGTTGCTGTCAAACAAGCGAGCGGGAGCTTGTGGACTTGGGGGCGGTTAAGAACGGGGCTGAAGAACTGGGATCATCCAGGGACGGATATGGAGGGACAAGCTCGCTTCACCATCGGCCGAAGCTCGACAACCCGCAAACAAGAAACAGGCGTGGCCGTGGACAGCTCACGTCTTGCTGCATACGGAGTACAGTTGCGTATATTATTTATTCATCGCCTTGGGGCCCTCGCCTGCGCCCTGCAGAGCAGAGCAGCCCGCGGTCGTGGCCGGAACCGCTCTATCGCCGCCCAAACGCCCCTTTGCCCGAGTATCCAAAAAGTCAAACAGAGTCGCGAGCGCCGCCACGTCGTGCTTGTGTGGCACAAGGCAAGACGAGGCTCGGGCGAGTCCAGGTGCGAGTCCAGACGGTGTTGGTCTCCGGGGGCCATCGTTGCCCTCCCCTCCTTTCGTCCCGTAGCCAAGCCCTCACCTGTGCGTTCCGTCCCTTATTATTGCTCTTGCTGTTCTTGTATATGGCCATTGCCTATGCGCAGACACCCTGTGCGTCTCGAATGGCCCGCGGACTCGGCGCCGCAGGCCCTCTGCCTCGGCCGCACTTGTGTCGTCGACCGCAAGACCCAGGCCAGCGTCATCCATACGGCAGCCATCTAATCCACCTCGGAGTCGCTGTAGGGCGCCGACCCCTTGGTCTGCGAGAAGCTCCTGCTGTGCGGCCGCACGCCGTGTGTGAATGCGCTCGACCACTGGCCCTCCTCCAGGGGATGCTCCTTGACAATATCCTCGCCCTCGCCGTACATGAGGTACTGGGCGCCGAGGAGGCAGTCGCAGGCGGCCTGGAAGAGGCCGCAAACCTTGAAGGCGACGGGAATGTCCGTCGTAGTGGTGAAGAACCACAAAATCTTCATGGCGTCGCCTCCGAGCCAGGCCACGAGGACCGACAGGCGAAAGCCCTTGCACGACCTCGTCTGGGAGTTTGCGAGGATCTGGGGAATGGCCAGCGTGGCCTCGACGCTGAGGCCAACGTATCCGAGCATGGCCGAGTAGAGGGTGAAGAGGGAGGGTATGGGGGTCATGAGGAGCTCGAGGACGAAGAGGCCGGCGGCGAGGTAGAGGAGGAACTGCCAGTAGCTGCGAGGCGTCAGCCGGGACGCGACGGCCCCGACGGATGGGATCAGGAGGGAGAGACTCACGGCTTGGGCGAGCGCCATTGCCAGAAATTGTAGGGCCGCGGGCCGGAGAGGATATTGTCGCTTTGGGCGGCGGCGGCAAAGGGCACGCCCGTGTCGCCTCCCTTGGACGAGGGCGGCGGGCGGTGGTCGAGGGCAATCTTGAGGAGGACGAGGTGCATGGCGACCATGATGAGGGACTGGAGCAGCAGGCTGGTGTCGAAGCGGGCGCCGTGCCAGTAGAAGATGCGGAAGAGCGAGGCGACGAGCATGATGAGCGGTATGTCGAGGGAGAAGCCGGCGCTCGACTTGTTGCGGTGCATGGCCAGGGCCTGGTCGCCGTAGGAGAGGATGGGCGATATGACGATGAAGAGGGGGGCGACGTAGGCCGCGCAGGCCGCAAGCCAACCGCTCATGGCGTCTGTTTGGCTTTGCTCGCTGATGGATGAGAGTTGGCGGAGATGGACGAGAGACGGGTCGCGTTGGCGGGAGGGAGGAAGGGAGGGCGAGAGAGCGGAAGGGGAGGGGGCGCGGGAAAGAAAAAGAGAGAGAGAGAAGATGACTGGCCGGCTTCACGCAATGTCCATTCGATCGAAGCAGACACGGCCGGAAGTTGGCGGGTGGGCGACGGCTGATGATGCTGTTGGTCGACGAGCGCATCAGCGACACAGATGCAATGGATGGGGAGACAGTTTTTCTCGACAGTACGGGATGCGGAGCGGGTACTCGAGGCGCTAACAGGCTTCAATTGACTTTTGGTGGTTCCGTCACCTCTTGGGGTTAGTAATTGCGCTAGCGCACATGGTGTCAGCTTTCGTATCGACAACAGGACACATCAGCAACCACCAACAAGGAGAGTTGGAATGGCCATGACGAGACCTATCGTGTCCCTTGTCGCCGGCCTATTGCTTGGAGCACCATGCCCAGTTGGCGCTGTCTTTGAGGCCGACCAATTCATCGACTCTCCTTGAGCCCTCCTCCGAGGCCAAAATTCACCTTCCACTCCTCCCTTGTCGGTGGACGGACTGCGAGGGAGAAGCCCGCGGATGCCCTCGTGCAGGCGGCATGCCTTCCGCTGTTCAGCCGAGACTTGAGCATAACCATGAGCCTTGTTGTCAGATCCAGTCCAGCCTCGAACCGCTCTGCATGCAGTCATGCACACGCGACTTTGCTTCAACGTGGCTTGCATATGCAGCTCTGCTTTAGGATGCAATTGTTGCCAAGCATCGTCTATTCGGCTGGATATAGGTGCGGATTTTTCATTTCACCCAAAAGCAAGTCCCCAGAGGCAGGCACCAGTCAGCCAAAGCGAATCCCAATAAAGCAGTATCAGGCACGAGAAGGGCGCTCGGCGGCGTCACCTTCAACACTACGTTGGCGAAGGCCCATTCCCGTCCATGACGCAATTATCTTCCCTCCCTATGCTCCGCACGATTTGGAGTCTCCGAGGCAATGCCAGGTCACCGCTCGCTTCGTCGTCGGGTTGACCGTAGACGAGTTTCTTACGCTTACAATCGCATTATTTCCGGAGAACTATAGAGTATATGGAAGCGAGGTGGGCTCCAGGACCTCGAGTCGGCTTAGCGCAGAGGCCCCTCAACAGATTCAGTCTCGCCGGGCCTAATGAAACCATCCACCCATGCGCTCCCCGCAGTTGATTTCGGCTGAGTTCAGTTGAGTTGATTGAAGTTAACCTAGTGACAACTCCGTGGTCGACGTTGAGATTTGGCTTGATTGCCACCCTGCATTTGGTCGGCCAAGCTTAAACTCCAGTGGAGAACTCCATACAACGACCAAAGCAACCCTGAGCCTTCCGAAGCGATCCCGCGAATGATACTGCTAATATGGCTGCCTGCCGGATCAGTATGCAAGCAAACTCTTGTCAGTCACGGAGCAGGAATAGAAACTTACTCGCTAGTCACCAGTTACGTCAACATATTGCCAGCCATGAAATGCTCCGACGGCATAGGGCAGGAACTTACATACTAAGTTCCAGCTACGTTGGCATTTGGAAAATAACCGAACGCGCCTCGTCAGTCACGGGGATAGGAACTTACAATCTAGAGTCCGCAGCTGCATTAGTATATCGCCAGAGTCGCCGTCTATATTAGCAATCCACCAGTATTCAAGCTGCATTTTGATCACAAGTTAGGAATTTACGAGCTAGAATCGTCGGCTGCTTCAACGTTCTGCCAGAGAAGAGATGTTATATCAGTCACTAGAGTGGAGCTTACCACTAGAATCGCCAGCTATTAGTATACCGCAGCAATCTAGCGTCCTATTATTCAAGTAGTAGGAGCTTACAGGCTAGAGTTGCCATCCATTAGTGTCGCGCTAATCACAAGAAGCCATATGAGCCATGGGGTAGCAATATTTAAGCTTGGAGCCACCAGCAGACCAGCTACATTAGTGTACCGCCAGCCTCAGACGTCCGTAAAACCTTGCAGACAAAAATCGCCAAGCCATATTAACATGACACTAACAGTCAGACACTGTTTCTGTTCTAGAGTAGAAACTGAACGCTAGTGTCGCCAGCTCTATTAGTATATCACCGACAACCAGATGTAGGGTAGGAAATTACTCCCTGGCGTTATTCGAATTGTTAGCATATCGCCAGAATTTAGATATTATGTTCATCATAAGGGTAAGAACTCACTTGCTTAATTTGCTAGCTATTAGCATTCCGCAAGCATTTAGACGTCCTTTTGTACTACGAGGTAGGGACTCCCACACTGGACTCACGGCCGTTAGTATACCAGCAACCTAACGTTCTAATAAGTAACATTGAGGAACTTATAGATGAATCTGAATTCACGGCCATAGAGGGCAGATATATTGGCGCGAACGGTTGCTTGTTGGATAGACTCAAATCCGTACTGTGTCGTCGTCAAGTCCACACGGCCCATTACGCTGTCATGACTATATGCGCAAATCTACTCTATTATTTCGCTTCGTTTTCGTACATAACTTCTAGTAGCTCTCTCTCGTCGTTGACCTCTCCCTCGAGCGCAGCCGATGGTCCGGGGCGGCGGAAGAACATGCCTTCAAACTCCTTTGGGAAGAAACCAGCGTATTCCCAATCGAGGATCGCTTTCACCTTTAGCGTCGCTGGGTCGACAATGACATTGTGAGTGGACAAATCGTTGTGACAAAAGACAAGGTCCTTCGTCTCTCTAGACTTCATCTTCCACTGCGAGCGGGCCGAGTTGGTCATAATTCGATAAGGTGGTATAACCTGTGTTCCAAATGTCAGCTTTGGACGAAGCGAGAAGAGGCTGTGTTGATGCTCCAGTGTTGGTGGAAGGACAATGAACCCACGATTCCAGAGGGCCCACCCCACGCATCAGACCTCAAGCCGCTCAGAGTCTCCACATAACGCTCCAATTCCGTCTCAACGACCTTGCGCTGTTCAAGGGCAAGATTATTCATAGTCACGCCATCAATGTATTCCATGACGAGGTAGACGGCGCCGTCGTCCTCGAAGCAACCTGTACAATTTCGGTACTGGAATATCCGGTTTGTCGGCGACGAAGCGCATGGCGGCAGCCTCGTTGAGGATACGTTCATTGCCGAAACGTGGTATGAACAGCATGCCCGCGAAGGGGTTGGTTTGCCATTCGGATGGGCGAAGGCTGCGCTTGATCCACGCGCCGTCGACGTGGAAGTATTTGCGCTCGGTAGTAAGACCGACGCACTCCTTTTCGCGCCGGGCATTGAGCATCTGGTTCGTGACAGGCGACATTGCGAGACTTCTTTACCCGACTCAGTTGGCGAGGAGCGGTGAAGCGGAGCCGCTGCTCTCCAAACTGTGGCCGGTGGCGGTGCCGTGGCTGGAGGGTAGGGGGCTCCAAAGATGCTTTACTTCTGACGGACCATTCCATTGTAGCGCCGCAATCGGTGCTCCGCCACACCCACCCCGCCTGGACCCTTTTTTTGACGACCGGCCGTTAGCTTGATAATTGCTATACGGGCAGTCCGTCCCCTCTTTAGGTTAAGTAGCTAAATGTATAGTACACACGCCTATATAGCTAGGTACTTGGGCAGGTAGCTACGCACACGGTGCCTAGTAGCGTCATCATCTTCCTTGCATCTCTTCCGCATGCCTCCTCGTGCCAGCTTCCACAAGAATAATCCACCCATAAAACTTGTCTAGTCCCCTCCTCAACCTGATACCATGTTGATGATACTGACATCTCACTCTCAAGAGTAGCCATGGCAAGTCGGATACTCGTGAAATGCTCTTCCGAGCTGATACCGGGTAACCCGGTATATCGAGATATGGAAATGGCCAAGATCATTTGTATGCACGAATGGGGACGCGGCTTTGACGAACACTCCGATACCCTTTCCTCCTTAGGTCAATATGCAGTTGACGGTGTACGATGCTATTTTCTGCTTGACAATGGACCGGCCGAGTCCAAAGACCCACATATTCTTGTCTACCGGTGGGATGGGAATCAACTGTAAGCTCCTTGCCGAGACCCTACAGCCCAGAAACTCACTTCGTTCTGCAGAGATCAAAGACCGCTTTCTCATTCCATCATCGCATATATGAAAAATATACCGTTTAGACCACAGCGCAAGAATGATGTGGGGCTTTCTGATGACGAATTTCTAGCTACTCATGGCGAAGAACAGTTCAGACAGTTGCTTCTACAGAGGATCGAACAGAAGAAGAGGTGGGGTTACAGACTCCTGCCTGTGGAGCTCAGGTTGCTTGAGAAGCACCCAGAACTTGCTTGAAAATCAAGGACCGAAGAAACAAGGGATCCCAAACAGGGCATGTCCGAGCTCATCCTCGACCAAGGGACCATCATGCTGGACACTTCTCTCGTCAAGAACCGTCGGCCGACCCGTGTCACTGGCTGGACGTTGGAGTCGTCCAATGGAAGTCCCTGAGTCTGCCAGAGCAACGAGGAGCAAAGACCGGGACCCACAAAATTGTCAATGTAGCCAAGCCTCTTCCCAAGCTGGAGAATGTAGACAACCTCAAGGCTGCCCTTGTCGAGGCTGGTGTCAGTAACCTAGACGCAACTCACTCCCTCTATCTGAGCCATTCATCGAGCCCCTCAAATCGGGTAGCTGGGTTCAACAGCAGCCCGTCAAGTATCATCATGTTGTACCTCCCGCCGGCATCATCCTTAATCGGTACCGGCTTGGGCTCGTTCGCAAGCCGGCTGGTAAAGCCCCGACATCGTAGCAGCCCTAGAACCGTCGCGGCCTTGATGGCCTTGATGGTGTCGTCGCCCAGTCCGCCAACTTCATCACTGAAGGATTCCCAAAACGAGTGCACCAGGTCATCGTAGTCCTCGTACCTGCTCCGGCCATTTTTCAGGTGCAATGTGCTCATTAGACCTTGCAGTGAATCGAGGTTTGTGCCGAAGGGGGCAATCTCCGCCGCAGCCCAATCAATGACGCCAACCAAATGGCTTGACGGCTCCTCTACAATGATGTTGCAGGAGCTAAAGTCTTCATGTTGAAGGACCATGGGCAGAGAGAAGATGCTGGGCAGGGATGCTAGTGTGGCGCGGATTATAGGGTGAAATCGCTCGGGTAGGTTGACGAGCAAAATCTGCAGGTCTTGCTCGAACGTCTCAGCCATGTGATTGCAGTAGGCTTGGTCGACCTCCTGAGGCGCCTTCCACGCAAGAGCAAAGAATCTGCGTCAAGTTAGACTAGCGTAGCATAGATAAGAAGCCAGCGGCAGACCTTGCGACATCCTGAATCAGGTTCTTACGGCAGGCCATGTTCTCGGGTGAGTTGTTAGGGAACCCATGTGCAAGTATAAAGTCCATGTGGCTCAATCCTCGTACACGGGTCATGATGTAGACAAGCAGAGGCTCTTGCTCCGCCGTCGTCGAGTCTTCGCCCAGCTGCCGGATGAACGAAACGTCTGGTGCGAGCGAGCCGAAGATCTGTCGGGCGAGAGCGACGGTCTCTATCTTGAGCTCGAGAGACTTGAGGCGGAACTGAACGACATAGCCAAGATCCTGCCCGGCGTAAACCGTATACGAGCAGAACCCCTGGGTGGAGACTGGAACAATCTCGTCGCCACCGACGAGCTCCTTGGCCACTGCATCGCATCTTTCGCGGCGTACCGACGTTTTCGAGAAGAAAGTGGCGATTTCGTCCTCGACAGAATATTCCTGGCTTTTCGAAGCCATGTTGGTCCGAAATCTATTGTCAAAGTAGGCACTACAGAAAACGGGGCCGTCTATCGTGCAGTGGACAAAGACGATTCAACCTGCTTGCTGTCTGAGGGATGGTCCCAGCGCCCAGAGCGCGGGCCACGAGGCCACGGCGCCGTTGCACCCTCCCGAAGGCCGGGAAATTGATAGCCTGGGCCCCTGAGCGGGCCAGGTATAACTATAGCGCCTACCGCGGCGCTTCTTATAAGAGTTATCCTTCTTCTTACCCTTTACCTGACCCCTAAGTTTACTAAATTGGTTGTAGTTTGGATGGATTCACGCTGGCCGGGTTGAGCTGATGTCGGTGACGACGCTACCAGCTAAAGGATAGGCGTCGGCAAAAACAGGAGCATCAAACGTCGTCGCATGCTCTTGATGTTGATCCCAGGGCAGAATGTCAGGGTAACCGGCTTGCAGAGACACTGGCGAGCAAGCCGAGGGGGGCTAGTCTGTTGGATCGAGGGGGCATTGCGCCCTGCATATAAGAAGAAACCCCCCCTGCCTGGTCCGTTCACTCAAAGGGATGGGGAAAAGAAGGGAGCCGGGAAGGGTTTTTTTCCGCCCAGGGAGAGAGGCCCAGCAGAGATGGTATCCAGCCAATGAGACAAGGCGAGGGTTGTTCCATTAATAGCCGCGTCTCAAACCAAGCGTGGAAATAGGGCGGCTGAGTGGAAGGGCAAGGCAGGGTCAGCCAGCGGGATGGACCGCCGAACTGGTTGCCTGTGAAGTTGTGAACCTCCTTGGATGATGGACTCGCCCTTGATGCGTCTCGACTCCAATATAGTTAGCCAGTACAATACATGGCAGACTTGGAGGTTGCAAGCTCGGGAGCACATCTCTTCTATAAAAGAAGGCCCTCCACCCGCCTAACCAGTCTCCTTCTTCACTACAGCTCGACTCAGCCATAATCCAGCCATTCACTTCCAGACTTCACTCTACTCCAAAGCCACCTTGGTTAGGTTTCTGACACTCTTTTGCCTCACCAACACCACCAACCAAACCACCCACCGCAGATATGAAGTTCGTCGCTGCCGGCTTTGTGCTCCTGGCTTCCGCCATCGCGGCCCCCCTCGAGGAGCGCGCTGCCGAAGGCCAGAATGGTTATCCTTTGGTCGCCAGCCATGGCTACGTCAACGACGCCAGCTACCCCGGTCCCAACAACCACCACCACGATGGCGACCACCACCACGGCGACTACCATAACGGCGGCGACTACTCCAAGGACGTCGACTACCGCCTCCCCAACCACGGCGACGCTCACTACGCTGGCTACCGCCGCGGCGGCGACTACCCGGTCAAGCACGATGGCGACCACCACAGCCACAACCACAACGATGACTACCATAAGAACAAGGGCTACTCTCACAACGGTGGCTTCCCCCACGACGGCGGCTACCCTCACAACGACGGATATCCTTATACCAAGGGCTACCCCGGCAATGGCGGCCACCGCAACAACGGATACCCAAGCAACGGATACCCGAACAACGGCTACCCAAACAACGGCTACCCGAACAACAACGGCAACCATGGCTACCCTGGTGGCAACGGTGGCGGTAGCCCCGACCTCTGCCCCAAGGGACTCCTTTACTCCATTCCCCAGTGCTGCCAGACCGGCATCCTCGGCGTCGCAAGCCTCGATTGCCAAGCCCGTAGGATTTGACCTTCGATCCCGCTCTATGCTCTACTCGGCTAACCCCATCTACAGCGAGTTCGATTCCCCGCTTTGGATACTCGTTCCAGTCCATCTGCGGCTCCAAGGGACGCAAGGCCCAGTGCTGCTCCGTACCCCTTGTGAGTCTCTCCATCAATCCGCCTGGACATCTCTTCCATGGATACTTACTAGCTGCAGGCCAACCTCGCCGTGCTCTGCACCGACCCCGTCGGATCCTAGGAGCATCAGCCATCGTCTCTGCTTGGTGGTGTTGGATCTCTTCCTCGGCCGTCCACGTCGACATATCAACGGCTTAGGATCGTGGAAATATTTGGCCTTCTTTACCCATAATGTATTTAAACTTTCTTCTTGATAGAGGCGCTTAGGCGTGACATCAATCAACTGGTGCTGGTGGTTCTAGAACACTTTGCATCTGCAACCTTGCTTAGGGTGTGAGACGGACTATGAAGACTTGATTATTTGAAATAGGAAACTGTCAGCTGCCACCAGCATTTCCATGGCATATAGGGTCCACTTCCAGGTCATCTGTTGGAGTGTCACTTCACTTTTGCCTGCACACCCTAGTGGTTTTCCTCACAGAAACTGTAGATTGCTGAGTTTGATTCATCAATAGTTTTGATATAAGACACGATCGAGCGGTTTCGAGATCAAGTCGTGAGAGCCATGTTCTTATAATCAATCCGTCCAATGCAGTCGGTCTTGGGCTTGCAGTCTGCGTATATGCCAGAAGAGGCGACGAATGCCATCATCCTTCAAGTCAAATGGAACAGAATGAAAGAATGGACGCTAAGCAGATGAGAGAAAACCCTTGGCCACCTCAAGAAGCTGTATTCAAGGCTGTGTACTGTGATGCATTATACTGCACGCGCTGTCTGGTGTTAGTGCCGTCCACGTTGAAAATCATCCACAGTACGTTGGAGCAAAGGGAGTCAGTTCGTCTCCGCTCCCATCACTGGGGGGGACAAACTAGATGCAGGGCGCTCAAGCTTTCGAGCATGACCATCTCGGTCTCTCCAGCTATTGAACCTGTAGGCAAGTTGCGCAACGTTAAGAATGTCGCCAATCTGCGTAAGTTCGATGCTTGGGTGGTGAAACAGTCCCTCCATGATTCCACATAGGGCTGCAACGTCGACCCCTTGGAAATCCTTCTCCACCTCCTTCACCATTGACCACTATAATATACTTCGCCAAGGCGCCCGTGCGGTGCCTCTTCGTATCGCGCCGCCACTCCCCCAGGTGTCAAGTATGAAGTCGGCACTCACTCTTCCGAGGGCTCGTGTCAGAGCAGGCCGGGACTTGCAATATGCGATAACAACGCCCCGTGCCCCTATTTTACCAACTTGACAGCTCCCTTGTCGACTCCTCTCTCTCTCCCTCTCCCCCCTCATCCCCCCGCCCCAATCTCTCTTTCTATTGCTGGAAATCTATTTCCCTCAAAGTGTATCTCTGAAGCAAGTGTCTGACGGAGACGAGAAAAAAAAGGGCCAAGATGCGAATCTTGCCAGGGGCCACGGCGGGCGACGAGCCCTCTCCCAAGACGGCAGAGGACAAGAACCAGCACCGCCGGATGCAAGTCCGCAGGGCCCAGATCCACCATCGCCAGCGCAAGGCAAACCACGTCAAGCAGCTCGAGCTCGACGTCTGCCAGCTGCGGGACCTCATCGCCCTCGCCAAGCACGACGCCCGCGCCCTCGAGCGCCAAAACGACGACATGCGCGCCGTCCTGCGCACCGGCGCTGACCGTCGCCAGCAGCCCGTCGCCGGCCCTCCGCCTCGGCACTCGTGGCCGCTCCCCGAGCCGGCGTCGCCCGAGATGTTTGGCGGCGTCGACGTCGACGACTTGACCGTGACGCTCGGCGTTAGCGATGCCATGGGCACGCCCTGCTTCCAGATCAGCCCCCGCTCCTCGTCGAGCGGCAGAAGCCCTTCCATACGCGGCAGCAGTCCCTCGGAGTCGTTGGGACCCGAGGCGCCGCTGACGCCCGAGCAGGAACAGCGAGCCATCAACTTTATCCTTGCGTATGCTGCCAGGCCCTCCCCGATTCTTGGCCTTTGTCCACGACTAACACGCTCTCCCCCTTGTGCCCCTTGAACAGACTCGAGCACATCTGCTGGAACCACTTCGCCCCAGGCGACTTCCACTCCCACACGCACCAGTCAGAAAAACCGCGCGGCCACGCCCTCACCGCCAGCGCCTACCTGATGGCCAGCGCTCCCGAGTCCGTCTATAAAGACCGCAATGCACTGAAAAGCAGCGTGAGTAGCATCTGGCGTCGCCCACGATCCTCGCCGCCGCCCGCCCTCGAGTGGCCCGCGCCGGCCATGACGCTCGCCTCGCTGCTCGGCCTGGCCCGGTCGCTCAACCCGGGCGACAAGGAGACCACGCCCGTCCAGGCCTGGTTCGAGCTGGCCTCACGCTACCCCGTTGGCCTGCTGCTGGGCGGCGACGCGCTCGAGGCCCTGTTACGCGAGTTCAAGGGCGTCGTGCACTGTATCCATTTCGGGGCCGTCATGGAGAGGATGGCGTTTGAGAGCGTCGTGATGAGGGTCCTGGGCCCGCCCGAGGCGCCTGTGTGCGCTGCTGGCTGAGTGTGCGTCCGAGAAGACGTGTATGAGAAGAGCTTGATGCAGTCACTAGAGTAAGGAGAGGGGAAACACGCCGATATTTTATAATCGCGGTCCCGTCCGGGGCCAGCTGACAAAGTCGGCATCCGTTGGGAACGCCAAGTTGGCTCCTTTAATCGGTGCGAACCCGCTGGCGGTGGTGAGGCTCGCGGCCATAGTGGCATTGGACTGCAGGGGCGCGGCCAGGGAAGTCATGCAGGGTTTGCAGTATGACACTATCAACCTTTATAGATATTATCGGCTATGAGCTGATCATCAATTCTGCCGTTATTATACTTGGAGAGGTCCACGGTCGGTTGAGCTCACTGGTCAGGGGGCGGAGGGGCGGCTTCACCATTACTAGCATTGCAGGACTACACCTGCTCGACTACGGCAGAGCTGGGCATCTTAACCGGGCGGTTGCCAAGGCCGTCGCGACGATGGTGGCTGATGACGATGGCGTTTCCAATCCAAGCGACGAGAAAGAAGAGGCTGAACGGTGGCAGACAGCGCCGGTCAGTGTCGAGCTCAGTTCAGAATTCGGGCCGAGGGCTTGTAGACGGCCGCGCTTACCATTGACTGGCAACAAGAAAAAGGAGAATGCCTTCGACAGTGACAAACGGTTGAGAGACGTAGCGCTCTTCGCATCCACCCCTCACGTATCCGTGGTAATTCCTGTAAGGGGAGTCGGAGTCGCAAAAGACGTATCGATAGCTCCCAAAGCCCACAGCTTCGACGAGAAATGATATAGCGAGAATGCCCCAAACAACCCAAAGGACGAGGTCGAGTGCCAGCGACGCCCAGTAGTTGAAGGCACCGGGGACGCGCTGGTGGGCGGCGATGAGCCAGAGAGAGACGATCAATGTGGCGACGGCCTATCGAAGACACGGTAACCATGGTCAGCCGACGAAAAGCTTGCTCTGGCCGGCAAGTGATGATGCGACGGACGGAGGGCTTACCACGCCGACGGCAATCAGCGAGGTTCGTAGCCGCACTGTGGCCAGAATGTAACTGCCCAGCCCGATGATGAGGAGGCCTCTTTTTTTTGTTGCCTAAAGATGTTTATCGTACTCTGTTTTACTGGTTTCCCTGTGGGGTGTAAGAAAGTCTCTCTCTTGTCTACGGCAACCGGTTCTATTGATTGATCTATGCAGGCAACTGCCAAGATCCAGGCAACACTCGCCAAGGATCCCCTGGTGGGCCCAAACTCGTCGCATGGCAACGGCAATTACCGCCCATGGGCTGGCTCCCGGGCTCCTAGACCTAGTAAGTGAGTGGGTGGTCATTGATAAGTGGTCATTGACAACATGGACGCGTTGGGTGCAGTGGACGTGTCTTCCTCTTCGACTCAAGCCTGACACGCCTTGTCCAATTCTAGTAAATGCTTGCTTTCCCACGCTTGACAGAGAGAACAACTCATCAACAAACTCCGGTACCGAGTAGTGATAGCCTCGTCCGTCTTTACCGTGCAACCGCCGGCGGACCTAAACACGTCCATAATCAGAGCCTGTGGACCTGGGTCATTCCTTGCCGCTGAGTGGCTGGGCTATTAGCCACTGCGCCCCATATAAGGGCTTTGGTATGACCACGGTCCCTTCTCATAGTATGTACGCACGCCTGGCAGGTATCGGTACCGTCTAAATGCCAAGCCCGCTTGCCCGGTAGTCTTCCGGGCAGTCTTCCAGATAATCGTTTAGGCGTGCAGTCTTCTAGGCATCATCATCTAACAAGGGCAGGCAAGCTTGAAATTTAGACGGTACCGATAATACTGGCCAGGCGGGCACTATAAGTTGGTGGGGAGGAGGGTAGCGGTAAGTACTTTAAGATTTGATGCCTTCGTCGCGGGCAACTTCTTTCCCGGCAACGACCATTCGCGCCTGACCAGGCAATCCACGACTTTTGAGCGAAGTTTTTATTCAGAATCACATATTACTAGTTGTACGTTAAATAGCGACCTTCTACCCGAGAACCCCGACTTCTCGAAGACCTACCCAGATACCGCACCTCCACCTCACTCCATTCGCCTGACAGAACCAACCACATTGGTGAGTGCCAGAGCAGAGAAGGACTTATAATACGCGTTAATAACACCTCCAATGGGGGTGCCCCTATATTGCACAATGTAGCGGTATTTTACCAGCTTGACAGTGAGTATAGATCTCAATTCCTTGAGGAGAGTCCCTAGCCATATTCCAATGCAAACACTCGGACAGGCGCCACTCAGACGATGAACGATTTGATGGACCTGATCTTCCACGCTGGCGCATATACTGACGAAATTCATTCTCGGCGTCATGACTTTGATTTAGGTTTGAGGATAACGTTCTGGAACGATCTTGATGTAACTTATAGCGACTGGTATATGTGGCTGCTCGGGCTCAATGAAGTCTGAAAGTGAAGGTAATGGGGAGCAATATGTTCACTGGCAGCCCCTCAATACACTCGCTAAATAGATTTGCCCGTCTCTTGGGTAGACCTAATTAGGAACTCTGGTGATGTTCCAACCACGGGTCAGGTGAACCATGTAGCCGAAAGCGCGTAGCAAAGACCTCTTTGGGTTGAGTCCAGCCACGTCTCGCTCCCTTAGTTCGAACAACTGACTCCCACGAAGCCCTCCTTTCCAAAAACTTGACATGAATTCCGCCTGATAAAGCCCCTCGAGCGTATTGCCCCATGCGACTATGCTTGATTGCCTCATTCTTCCTTTGGATCCATTCCAAGTCCACTGTGTCTTGTAAATCTAGGTTTTCAGAACCCCATTCTTCGGATACATCACTCCCATCAACGACATCACAGAGCGACAGAATATCACTCGCATCTAGAAAACTTTGGATAAGAGTACCGAGTCTAGGGTATGGGAGACCGTTGGAGCTTCGTTGAAAGTTGGACGGCCGGCAATCGAAGTGGATATCGTCGGAAGGGACGAGGACAAAGCAGGTTCGAAGTCCTACACACTGGAGGTGGGTGTACGTGTGTACTAGGGAAGCAGGCTGTGGCAATGGCGGAGGTGTAACGGTGTAGAGACTGGAGTATTCTTGGGACCTCAAGAGAGTCTCTGCCTTCTTGAGGAGGTCTGATGGGACACATATCTCCCAGGCCTAGTTACCCCCTTTAGAGTCGAATTTGTCGAGGTGATTTGTGCGGTGTAGAGTATAGACTCACTACTTTAACCCGTCCGGCCCCGTAGTAAATAAGAGCAGCCACTCCACAAAAGCAGCAAGGTATTCCGCCAGATTCAAGGATTTGGGTTACACGTAGAGCTTCAAGGGTTCTTTGGTCGCCAGATGATGCGGTCTTGACTTGTAAGTCCATCGGGGAACGGCGAGGTGGGGAGTTGTTAGTTGTTAGTTGTTACGAAGGGTCAATCAAAGCAGAAGCGAACGGGGCGGTGAAGAGTTTATTACGTGACAGATGCGGGGTGATCGGATGCGGATAATCCCCCACGGACCGAAGCGGAGCTGGGCATGACAACTCGTGCGGTCACTATAGCACTATAGGACTCTGAATGCATATTAATAGCGTGACGTAAGATATCGATGTTCATACATCCTTGTTAATACTGGCAAACTGAAAAGCAGCCCGATTTGACCCACAGAGCAAGTCCCGGGACCAAATCCAAAATGTGCCCGTTTCCACCCCGTCTCCGCTCACCTCGAGGCTTTGACAGAGGCTATGCATGCATGGCATGACTGATTGCTCTGGGCAAAGCCGGTGTCTTGTGAGAATGTCCCGGTAGCTGGGCATGCCCGCAATTATATTCCCAGCCTCGATTATCCTACGGCCCCTGTTGCCCGAGGGTTTTGTGTTGTGCCGAAGCCTGCAAGCTCTTGACTATATTTTCCCCCAGCCGCTGAGCAAAGCCGCAGACTTGACTGGACCCATGCTGTCATTCGCATCCCCAACCCTCCGCCTCCCTCTCTCCATTGAACTTGGACGGCAACTCCCGGCCCCCCGGGGCTGAGCCCGCCGAGCCATGACCGACCGCTCCGCCACTCCGCGGTAGCACAAGCGCACTTGACCATCTCGAGACATCTCATGTTCGTCAACAGGTCGTATAGTACATGAACCCCAGACCGTCTCTCTCCGAGCCTCACAGTCATTCAACACTTTCACCAGCGTCTTCATCAGATGTCGCTATTGCGTCGTGCAAAGCTGGCACTGTCCGGAAAGCAGGCCCATGTCGACCCGCACTGCTGGCGGCTGCCGTCTTCATACTCAACCACCACCAAAGGGCGCAATCCAACCGTGATTCCTGACCCCAGCATCTTCGCCAACGCCCATGTTCCCAACCACACAGTCACTGGGGACGAAGAAGCGCTCCATCTGTACCCCGACACTGGTCACGCAGCGCTTCACCTGGCGCTGCTTGAATGTTTTCACAAGCTGAGACTGAGCGCCCGCGAGCTGGTCTCAGGCGTCCGCCACCCACCGTCCTGCAACGATGAACCGAATGAAAAGAATGCATGTCAGGCTTGGACCCTCTTGCTTAGAGTCGCCGTAGATCGCTTCATGGCCTGGTGGTCCAGCGTCGACCTCGTGCTTCAGCATGCATCGGCCTATTCACATCGCGCCGGGCCCGAGGCCGCCGTGCAGCTGACCAAGGAATACCTTCCGCCGCTCGACGTGCTGCTGGTCTGGTACGCATTCATGCTCAACGTGGATGCATATCTTGCGGCATGTCGTGCCCGTGAGCGACAGGTACCGGGACTTCAGTCGCTCAGCTTCCCTTGGCTGGCTATTCGAGACGCCATCGACTTTGACACAATGAGTTTCCATTTGCCACGCGGCGCCCAGACGCTCTTCTCGACCCTCTCGGGGCAACGGGCCGATATCCTCACCTATCTTGAGTCCCCCCCGGCGTATAGCGACAAGAGTGAGCCGTGGGCAGGGGTCGACCTCATCGCCGAGGCGAACAAGCACGCCGGCTTCATCGACAGGGCCCATGCCTTACTCTGGATACGGTCGCCTGCCCTACAAGGCTCACTGAGGCGAAGCCGCGCCCATTACCGAAATCTTGTCATTGGCGGAAACGCCAGCGTTCCAGAGCAATACCAACAATCGTTTGGCGTCGAGCTCTTATGGCGGACACACCAACTGTTTCCCAATCATTACGCACAACTCCGCGCCAGACTTGCCGACGTCTCCCCCGAGCGCGATGGCCAAATTCTTCCGCCTCAGACTCTGCTTTCCCAAGTCAGGCGGGCAGCTCCCGACGTGGCTTCAAGTCTTTGCTGTTGCTGGACATGCGAGCGCATTCGCGACGACCTACCCAGCTTTTGTCGCGCTCCAACAGCTGGAGACGCATCTTTCTCGAGTCCGTCCAAGAGCTTCGGACCTGACGAACTCTCCTTCCTCACCTCGAGCCAGATGCGCCGGGTTCGAGATGATTTGGGCTTCTACCGAGCCGCCGAAGCTGCGCGCACAAAGGGCCATCCTTTGCCCACCCGGCCAAAGTCGGTTGCCGAGGAAAGGCGAGAGCGGACAGCCAGGGAGAATCAAGACCGAGCAGGGTACCTTCCCGACCCGAATGAGTACATGGAAATCCAGTACGATGGTACCAGGGTGGTAAAAAGGCAAAAGAATGCATTTCCTTGGGCGGGGACTGGTTGGATGATGGCACTTTAGCTGCGCAGTGTCTATATCCGATATGCCCACAAAGGAGTCACAGAGTTGGCAGACGCGAACCCCTATTACTGCAATGTGCCGGTGCCTGGGTGATGGGGACTCAAGACGCTTGACCGTAGGACCTTGTCCCTTGATTGGCGACAAGGAAGGGGGTTCGTGATCATAGCTATTTAGTTGCGGTTACTTTGTCTCATGGAATGACGAGATTACTTAGATGGCTCTGCCCACCTCTGGGCTCAACTCGGTTTCGCATAAACTGGAATGTTGCCACCAAGGCTGCTCAGCTGACGATATCATCTGGAAGGTTCGATGCCATCGAACCTGATTATTGATTTCCGACCTAGGTCGTGGCCTGTTTCCTCGACATGAGCTGATCGGCGGTTCAGGGGTCCAAGGGCGTTGGCACAGGGGAGGCAGTCGTCACATCCTCATCAAACGCGTCCATCCCGGGAATGATCTATGCATAGCGTGAGAGCGAATTTTAAGAGCTGATATGGTCAAACTCAGGCCTCTATTCGGACAGCCAAAGGCCCAAGACAACTGCAGATTGTGACGCGAATGACGCAGAGGGCCTTGGAGGCGGGTAGAACTTGAAGCGGCTAAAGAAAGGGTAGTCGATCTTCTTTTTACAGCCAAATCGATTGTACGATCCATGTCCAAGCCAGGACGTAATGGGTCTTTTATAGTACTGTCGCTCCAAAGACAACGCCGAGTCTGCTTGGGGGTGAGTGTGTTCCCTGTCCATCGAGTGTCTACTAGACGCGGATTCGGCTGGCAACTCTCCTCTCCATGAACTTTGAATGGCCCATTCCGTAGTTCCTCGGTCTAGAAACCTACACGCGATAAAATGTAGAAATCTCAAGTTCGAAAGGGCCAGACTGGCCAGCAGACGGCCCTGCCTAACCGGCCGAGCGAACAGGCTGCCGCATTCAAGCAGCATCCAACTCGACGGGTAGCTCGTGGCTTCCTCTCCTTGCTGCCTCAACTGCGTCCCTTGGCCGATCTGTTCCAGCATCCATCCGCCCGCGCTTGTCCAAAGCAATGGGATTGGAGGCGGACATCCCAGGCCAAACTTCAGACCCCTCTTGGAAGCGCTCCGACAACCAACTTGAACCTCAGTGTCGAGAATGCTTTGATCAAGTCCGGATCTGATGAGCCTGGCCACCAACGGCGCCGACAATGAAATCGACCCCGTCGGCTTGTGGCCGAGACTTGAGCGCACGCTGCCGGAGCACCCGACGTCGGATCGAAGAGCGGAATATCTGAAGTCGCCATATCTCTCCCCTCGCTCGCTTGACACGCCCCCAACTTCCAGCGACCGTCTGCCGAGGGAACGAAAGGGTGTGCCATGGCTACTTGGTCATGGATGATGTATGGGAGCGCGACCAAGTACGTGGACAGCGCGTCAGTTCCCTGGGATCATCATCCACGACTCATGTTCAACGGCCGCTGGGAAACGTCTGTTCGCCCATGGATCACTTGCTTCGAGGTTCAACTTCGCCGCGTCGTTGCTTTCCGAGGCATCTAGACTAGCCCAAGACCCATGGAGCCGTCGTCTTGCGCAGCCGGAAGCCGGCAAAGCCTCTCTCTCTATTAAACGTATAATCACTTAGCACAAAGAGGCTTCATTATGGCATGATGGGTGCACAAAGGGGGAGACGGACATTTCCATCTTGTAAGGTGCGAGCCGCCCTGACAAAGGTCGACAAGGCGTGTTGAACGCTTGGGCTCAACGAGGAACACGGGCAGCTCGGTTCAAGGTTAATTCGAAGTGTTGCATCTTTTGGGCCTGGCGAACAGCTCCATTGATTGCCTCATGATTCATGGGCAGCAAGAGCTGCGAGTTGGGCCGCACCGGAGTGCCGAGCTGTCACGTACGACACACGGAACTGGGAGACGCTGTCTATCCCTCTCTCTTGTCAACCGACCTGCCAAGAGCCGCTTTCGTCTACAGCGAAGATGGCAATGACATCAAGTCATAAGCCCTCGGTTTCAGTTGCCATACTCAAGCCGGCTGCATACTGCCTCCCCCCGTTCACAGCCACACACTCACACACACACACACACGCACAAAGTGCCGCGATCAGCAGGCGTACATGGGCAGGAACATGCGTTTCCCATGCATCTGAGCGAATGACGTCCCCCCTCCACGGCGCTTAGGGGTGCGTCCATGTGTGTACACGTCAACAGGTCATGTATGTGGCAGACCAGCGCCAACACCAAAGGCAAGGAAGACGGTTCTCACAAGGAAGGAGGGGGAAAGCACACGTCAATCGGACGGGTAAAGCAGTCGGACCGACTGGAGCAAATCCCCGGCGCCTTGGATTGCTTCACCTCCCTCTTCCCGCTGCTCCCCTCCATGGAAGCCGTGTCGGCGGCAGACAGCACAACGGGGGAGGGAGATGAATGTCCGCCCGTCCTCGGCCCAACAGCATACGGCAAGGGACGTTTGTAGCCCATGCCGACTCCTCTGGGAATCCGCCGGGGCCTGTTGGGAGCCTGAGTCGTGCCGGTTTCCTCTTCGGCGCTGAGCAATGACATGACCCTTGTCGAGACGGCAACAAGCGAGCAGCCTATGCAGAAGCGTGTAGAGAAATCCGATCCTGGACAGCGGCCAGCGCACCAGATGAAGGCGGCACAGGAGAAGGAATAATCGAGAAGGGAGAGAAGGGGGGGGTTCGGGAAAGCAGGGAGGGGGTGTGTGTGTGTGTGGTGAGAGAAGGAGACAGCAAGAGAGCAGGGATAACTATGGTTCTAGGATGGGGGCGAACGAGGAAGAGGCGAGAGATGAGGAGGATCCCCGGATCGGCAGAAGAACCATGAATGGAGAGAGGGGGGATGTTACAGTGTGTTTTGTGTCTCGGGCCGTGGCGGCTGGCAATCCTCGGCCCCGAAGGCCTTGTCGTCCAGCCCGAGTCCCCCAGGCATGAGCAATGACACACAACACGCGCGCGCATGTTGGCGAAATGGCATCATCGTATCGTGGATCCGTGGGGCAACAAACTGCACGGTCATATGAAAAGAAAGGAGAAAAGGCCGCCTCATCATCTTCCTTTCCTCCTCCAACACCCCCCCCCCCTTTACGAACCAACCAACTACATCGCCATACGCCCCCCCCCCCTTCCTGCCCTGTTCTGCCGCCTCGAGATGATGCGCCAACCGTCTCTGCCGAGGCCAGAAGACGGGGAAGAAGGAGAAGAAGAAGAAGAAGAAGAAGAAGAAAAAGAAGCCGGCGCTACTGCTCGGACAAGGATGCCCCCGCAGATGCATGCCGTACAAGCGCACATGGCATGCATCTACAGTGTATATGGCTGATAGCATGTATTCGTACTTGCTTTAGTGTATGTTGCGCAGCCATACAGGCATTGTTGGCTCTCTCTGCCTGCCTAGATGGCATGGCTGGATATGATGTAGGAGAGCATGCATCGGTGACATGTCCACCCTCTCTTGTCCAGCTTGTCCCCTCCCACACTTTCGGCCTCGCCAAGTCCTTGACATTGGCACACAAAGGACCGAGTTGAGCCGTGCCATGGCTCAGTGTACATGGAGAGGTGTGGCATTATATCTTCGGTGATTTGCGAGTCATCGATGGCCGGTCCAGTCCCTGACAGAAGACTCTTCTCCCGGCCTCTCTCGCCTGTTCCTCCTCTGCCGCCCCGTCACTTGGGACGTGCGGTGCGCGTGCGGCGGTGTCATGGCCGAATCGAAAGTCGCCCGCGGCGTTAAGACCATGCATGCGTCGTCGGCCGCCGCCGACACACGGACATGGGGGGCGGATATCGTTCTTGACTTGACGCTTTCGAACCGCGCCGTTGGCTTGCCTCTTTACAGAACTCGTCTTTTCTAAGTCTTTGCGTTTATCTCGCTCAACCTCGGTTTCGATCCTGACTCGGCCCTCGGCTCGGCGCTGTCGACTTGCTCTGGCTGAGCAACCTCCCTCTCTCTTCTCTCTCCCTCTCCCTCTCTCTCTCTCCTTTCTCTCACATTGTGCACATCGCGGTCCAACCACCATACAGTTGAGCGACACACACCCACTCCCACACAGCCACAACTCGGGAGCCCTCGGAGGCAAACATGTTTGTCCAGCAGCAGGAGCAAGGATTTGGGCCCTTTTTTTTAGCACCCTTGCTTTTGCCTGCAGGGTACCATGCAAGAGAGATGAACAAGTAGTTCTACCGCACCGTCCTGTAGAAATGAAGAAAAAACGGCTGACGCTGTCGAATGCGGTGCTGACGTTGGACGCAACGTCGCCTCGGCCGGGGTTTGGGGAAAGGGGGGGGGAGGGGAGCACACATTGCTGCTGCTGCTGTGCGCTCTCGGCAGGCAGACGGCGGCGGGTGTTGCTGTCCGCCGCGGACCCGA